CTGTTCCTCACCTCCAGCAGATTCACCATCTTCATTGTCACTCCATGTGGCTTGATAAACTCTCTTTTCCCTCTTCTTTACTGTTGGACACTCTGATTTAATATGTCCGACTCCACCACATCCATAACAGGTAGGTTCTTGAACCGTCTCTGGTTTTGCAGACACCACAAACTTCTTCTTAAATTCCCCATCGAATCTTTCTTTTGGCTTGTTGTATGTAGTTGGTTTCTGCTCAGGGTATTTTCGTTGAGAACTGGATGTTCCTCCTCCATGATAGCTATTTCTGTTCTGAAACTTCCCAAACTTCAGCTTGGCAGCTCGTTTCTCACTAATCATTCGTGAAAGTTTACGGCTCAGCAGTGCCATTTCTTCATCAGACTCTATCATCTTCAAGTCTTCAGCATTTAGAGCCATGCTTTTGGGTGCTTCATCTTCGATATAGTTCATTTCATAGCTCACCAACGTACCATACAGTTCATCCAATGTCATATTTCTCAGCTTTGGTGGTTCATCGAGCATAATCACTTTCGGTCTGAAATTTTTTGTGAGACTTTTAAGCATTTTCCTCACCAGTCTCTTTTCTTCGAAGTGCATTCCAAGAGCTTCAGCTTGATTCACAACATCCATGAATCTGTTATGATAATCAGCAATCGTTTCATCTTCATTCATCTTCAGTCCTTCAAACAAGGTTTCAACATGATCCAGCTTTGATTCTCGAACTTGTACAGACCCTTCGAATGCATTTTCCAGGATGTCCCATGCTTCCTTAGCAACTTTGCAGTTGGATATCAACTTCGCTTGAGTTTCATCTACAGCATTAAAAATCGAAAAAAGGGCTTTCGAATTGGCGATTGCAGCCGATTTTTCATTGAGAGTCCATTCTCTTTTCGGTTTCTTCACAAGAGAGACGTTATTATCTTCATCTTGGATGGTCTTCATGGGATGAGACCATGCAGACTCAACAGCTTCAGAAACATCTTCACCTTGTTGCATCAGAAAAGCTTCCATCTTGTTTTTCCAACTTCGATAACTTGTTCCATCAAACAATGGAGGTCTCGATGTAGATCGACCTTCCTTACTCATCTTTTCAACTGTGAAAGAATCTACTCAGCAACTTAGAGAACACTGCTCTGATACCAAATGTTGGGATGGAATAAGTGCTACCCCGATAAATTCTTGTACACTTTTCAAAATGGGCCAACTCCCGAAGCGTGGTAAAATCACAGTTGTAACATTATCTTGTCAACGAAATAAGGGCAAAATCCAAAGCAATAAAAGACAAGATATTTGGTAACCCGGTTCGGTTATAACCAACCTACATCCGGGGGATTCCAATCCAGGAGAAGTTCACTAATCAAGGTTGATTATGAACTAAACAGCCCAAAACTCCTATATCCCATACTATGACGCAAACCACCTAGGAAAATCCCTCCACAGGTATAAGTTGTCACGAACTCGTACTGACAACTAGCAAATAGCAGGGTTGCTCAGACTTTGGACGAATCTCCTGATCGGATTTCCAATCTCTTCTTCCTCCGACGATGTCTCCGGCAAGTAAATGTGACAAGCACTCTTTCAATGCATGGAGAAGGGAAGGGTTGAGGTTGAGAGGATTTAACTTACTTTCTCTCACAACAGTTCTCTCTCTCTAACCTATGCAACAACCACAATACTTCCCACATAACAAACCAAGAAGCAGCCAAACAAGGCATACAGGACAAACTCAATTAAAACCCTTTGCACGAAAGTGGAATGATGTAATCCTGCATGAATTCTGTCAAAGGTTGACCACCCCAAAATTCATTCTTTTTGTCTCTTCTAAGGTTCCCAAATCGAGAAGAGTAGACCATCAGAGTTGCAGACAGTCTGTTGAAATGACCTGAATGGAAACAGAAAAAGGCAGCAGGAGAAAAGCAAGAAGAACCATATGCCAAAAAAAGTTGGAGAAAAATATTGTTCCAACAACGTATTTACAATTAAATTTCCTTTTTTAAAAAATTATTATATATTTGTTAAATTACTATGAATATATATACATTTAAATCCGCTAAGCAAGTATGGCGTTAGTATATAAATGACTTATGGTGTGATTGTTACGGGGATTGGATTTTAAATCCACTGTTCATCTCATTTTTTTTTTCAAAAATATCAAATCAAACACTTATTTTTTATATTATAATAAAAATCAATTTGACATTCAAAACATCATATCAACGCCTATTTATATCACATTATACAACTATTAAAATTCAAAATTTTTGTACGAATGAGTTTTTGGTTAAGTATTAGTTTAATAAGTTATTTTTTCAGAAGGAATAATATATTTATAATGAGAATTATATCAGTTGAATATTAAAAATTTTGGTTTGAAAAATGCTAATAAATTTGAGTTTTGATTTAAATAGTATATTGTTATATAGTGTGTTTATTTTGATTGTCTTTCTTTAATATATTCTTTTCAAATTTTATTTTTTTCAAAAAAATTCTCTCATAAAATATTTCATTAAATATTATTAAGTACAAAAATTAAACTAAATGTTTTTTAACCAATCTCAAATAAACAAAGTCAAGTGTTTTTAGATGCATGTGTAGTATTAGATAATATATATGGGGTGTGTTCGTTTGTAGAATTTTAACAAAATTCTACTATTCATCCAATTTTTTCCCCCTAAAAACATCAAATCAAACACCTATTTTTCATTTTTTATATTATACTAAAAATTAATTTTACATTCAAAACATCACATCAACACCTATTTATATCACATCATACAACTATTCAAATTCAAAATTTTTACTATTCAAATCTCAACTCAAAATCCAAACCCCCAAACAAACATACCCATGGTTGGACTGCAACCCTAAGTCTTACATTAAAATATTTGAAGAAAAATATACATTTTATAAATTTCATATGAATTTTATTAGTGCAAGAATTTTTTGGAGAAAGTCGTGGAACACATATTTGTACTTTTTTGTAGAATATTAAAAAATAATATTTCATCGGTCTACTAATAAATTTTTTATTTGACTTTTGCAGAAAATTAAAATAAATTAATATTTTATAGATATGTAGTGATATAAATATAATGTCTATTTTACCGTTGAAAAATAATGTGAGATATAAAAAGTCAAATTATTTTAGTATTTAGTTACAAGTTACTTTTTTTTTTTCAAAAAACAGAAATGATAAGTTTTGATTAGAACATACTAAAAATGACAAATGAAAAATTTACTAGTGGACGGAGGGAACAATATTTTATTGATAAGTGGAAGTGTGTAAAATAATTTTGATATTTTTATCTTTATAAGTAAAAAATAAATGAATATTTTGTAAAAAAAGAGAGTATTTTAGTATTTTTTAGATTACCTATTAAAAAATGCGTAAAATATATACATTGAATTAAAATAAAAAGAAGTAAACATGATAGTGAAGATGACCTAAAACATTATCATGTTTAAAATAAGGTCGTGAATATAATATATAACATGATCATGTTAATAACAGAATTGTAAACATGAATAGCAACATGACTATCTTCACAACACTGCCAAAAATACAACATATGTTTAGAATATGCCATGTTCATAATATGCCTGTGAATAGGAACATAAATACGGTCATGTTTAGTGCAGGGAATGAACCGTATTGGTTGTCTATGAAACTTAATCATTTTTCCGAGTTATTCAACACGGCCGTGTAAATTCTCTATTAGGAAAATCGATAATTGTGATATACATAAAACCAAAATAATCTTTTTTTCAAAACAAAATAAAAGTTTAATGTGTTTATTTTGCGTTTTGATATTTTTTTATGTTAGGTATGAGAAATTGTGTAGATAATAGTATAAAAATAAAGTAGAGTGTGTAATATATTAATTTTTTTGGAAAATGTGTTGAAAATTGTTTGTAGGTATTTAGTGTGTGTTTGTTTTGTGAAATAGTTGAAAAAGATTTTTTTTTTTAATTTTTTATTTTTATGTGGAGTATAAAGAATTGTGAAGAGGATACAAAAATAATGAATGTGTTTTTTTTGAACAAAATAAGCGCGACAAAAATAGAGAAAAAAACACACCCGATGTAATGTAAAAAAAGAGTAAAGTGTTGAATGCATTTATATGAAAAAAAATGTACTCTTTCGATTCAGCTAAAAAAAAATATACATTTATTTTTTACACAAAATTTTAAAAATGATAATACTAATTGTAATGAATAATTAAAAGTATGTAAAAATAATAATGTATAATAAAATAGAAATATTTATAAAATAATATATATTTTAAATAGTTATTTTGTAATTGAACAATTTAAAATAAAAATATATATTACATCCGTCCGGTTCTAAGGATCTCATTTTTTTTTACATATTAATATTTGAATATCAATTATTATATGTACAAATTAAGAAAAATTACAAGAACACTTCCGTAAGTGTCTTATAATACTAATAGAATGACATTTGTATAAATAAATTATACAAATATAAAAATATTTTTAATATTAAGTAAAATAACACAAAACGTAAATGTGACTTTAAAGGGGACGAAAAGAGTATAATTTACTAAGATAATACTCCCTCCGTCCACATCTAAAGTATACAATTACTTTTGCCGCGATATTTAAGAAATAATAGTATTTTAATTATAGTGGATAGTTAAAATAATGTAACGAACGTTTTTGCACTTGCTTTTTGATGTAAAAGTAATAATGTAATGTAAAATAAAAATATTTGTAAAAAAAAAATCTAAATATTTAATTTGTAGTTTAATATCCAAAAATAGAAATACGTAACCACCAGAGGAAAGGGAATAATAATATAACAAAAAGTAAAAAGTTTTCAAATTTTAAAATTATAAAATAAATAAATATACGTCCAAGCATTCCTGTCGGTCTATTTTATTCACGTTTTACTTGAATGCATTTATATAATCTAAATATATATATATATATATATATTTTATATTACCCCACGACGACGACGTGAATTCAGACTGACGCCATTATAGCCAGAGAGATTACTACTGTCCTCACACAGAGATATCAAAACTTGGATCTGATTCATGTTCAATTCCAATCCATTCGAATTCTTCTTCCGGAGTTCTTATCGAGTCCGCGAGCGAGAATGATTTCGTCGGTTTTGATGCACACATAAGCTTCGAGTGACCGACAATTTCGCCGCCGATTCGGAATCACGCAGTCAATCGATTCTGCTCGGCTGCCTCAGTCAGATCTTCGTCGGAGTTCATGTACCAGCCACTCGTCTCATCAGGTTAGCCTAATCGCAATTAACTGTTGGTGTGAAACTGTGAATTGGTTCGTTAATTGAGGAATTTCTGGGCTTCGATTTCAAATAACTGTATATTGTGTCGGTTGTGTGTGATTTCTGTATGAAATGGTTGCGATTGGGTGCTTTTGAATTTATCTATTCGCCCAATTTTAGTGGAAAAGGTAGGGCACACCATTTGTGTATGTTTATGGAGTTCTGATAATTGGTCACTGTTTTGTCGTGTTTGAATTGCATCTATGGTTAGCACCTGATTTCTCACTGAATTTTTTTTTTTTTTTTTTTTATTTAGTGTAATTGCTTTGATCCTAAGCTGCTTCCATTGTTGATCTGCTGTTAAATATTCCATACCTATTGCGACGATGATTCCTTCTGTTTGCACTAAAACTTTCTACACATACTGTTGATTATTCTTACTATTTGAGTCCCTTGGACTTAAAATCTGTCGAGTTCTTATACTTAGTCTAGATAGAGACTTTTCAAATTTTTTAAAAATGTGAAGAACCATATCAAAATTTTTAAAAAATGTATTGAGTAAACTGAGCCTTAGGGTGTGTGTGTTTGTAGGTTTGGGTTTGGATTATTGAATAGTTGTTTGATGTGATATAAATAGATATTAATGTGATATCTGTGGGTTTGGGTTTGGATTTTTGAATAATTGGTTGATTTGATATAGTCGATATCTAATTTGATATTTTTGAAAGAAAAAAAAAAAAAGACTCTGAACGACAAAATCTAAAAAAAACACAACCTAATTTGTTGTTCTTAATTCCCGAGGGAAGAAATGGAAGCTGAAGAATCAGAGGAGCCGCGGCCGGCTCGGCAAGGCCGGGTATCGGCGTGGGGGAGAGTGGTGGCCTATAGGACAATGGCAAGAAAAACGTTCGAAAGCAAGCCGATCTCGCATTGGATTCTCTTATCTCTAAGCAGCGCAGCTATGCTCGTGGCATTCCCGGCGTCATCTCTTCTGTCACGAGTTTACTATTCCAATGGCGGGACGAGCAAATGGATAATCTCGTGGGTAGCCGTTGCCGGATGGCCTATTCCTTTACTTGTTCTGATCCCTATGTACTTCGTTGCGGGAAATTATCCGACTCCTCTGAGCGCAAAACTCGTCGTCTCGTACGTCGGGTTGGGATTTTTAAGCGCTGCCGATAACCTCTTGTATGCGTACGGATACGCATATTTGCCGGCATCCACAGCTTCATTGTTGGGATCGACTTCTCTGATCTTCTCAGCGCTCTTCGGGTACCTCATAGTCAAGAACAAGATCAACTCTTGCACGGTGAACTCAATTTTCGTCATCACCGCCGCGATGGCTATAATCGCGCTCGACTCGGATTCAGACAGGTACGGGAGCGTAACGGACGGTCAATACGCGATGGGTTTTGTATGGAACATTCTGGCGTCATTTCTACACGGGCTTATTTTTGCTCTGTCCGAGCTCGTTTTCGTCGAACTGCTCGGGAGAAGATCGTTTCACGTCGTATTGGAGCAGCAGGTGATGGTGTCTTTCTTCGCGTTCGTGTTCACTACGATCGGGGTTGTAATAAACGACGACTTTTCGGGGATGGTTTCCGAGTCGAATAGTTTTGCCGGGGGTAGAAGTTCGTACCTCTCGGTTATTATATGGGGAGTCATCTCGTTTCAGCTCGGGATTCTCGGGGCGACGGCTGTCCTGTTTTTGGCGTCGACTGTGCTGGCCGGTGTCCTAAACTCGATCCGGGTGCCCTTAACCGCCGTTGCGGCTGTTATACTGTTGAACGATCCGATGAGCGGGTTCAAGATCTTGTCTTTGGTTATTACATTATGGGGATTTGCCTGTTATATATACGGGCATTACCCGACTAGTTAAGGCTCCTTGTAATCGCTTATCGGGCTAAATATCGATGCGGGAAAGAGGTGTGTTCTTGCCGTATGTAGAATGTGTTTGCTCTATTGGACAATGATACGATTGTGTAATAAATTGCCTATCCCAACTTAAAGTACCATTTTTACTAATTTTTTTTTTTAAAAAATATGGCTATCGTGCAAAATAATTATACACTAATAATGAAATACTGTTAATTATTACTTAAATATATATTCATTGCATAAAATCTAATTTATGGTGTCTTTTCCGTGAAAAGGAATTTTGCTAATTAAGTTACTATGCTTCAATTATTGTAGCAAAAGTTTTCTGGGGATGTGTTTGGTTGGAAGGATTTTACTATTCATTAATTTTTATTCTCTGAAAATATTAAATAAATATTTATTTTTATTTTTTATATTATACTAAATATTAATTTTATATTCAAAATATCAAATTAATATAGTTATATCACATTATATAACTATTTAAATCAAAGTTTTATAGTAACCAAACACAACTTTGGGGTGTGTTTGATTGGAGGATTTTACTATTTTTTAATTAATTTTTTCTCAAAAAATCAAGTAAAACTATAAGTTTTATATTCAAAATACATAGCTAAATGTTTTCAATGAGCTTTTATCTTCACTCACGTGTATTCTAGATCCGCTTTGGCGAAGAAAATATGATAACTTATTTGGGTATATTTGATGGCTTCTCAGCTAGTTATGCATAAAAAAAATAAAAATTTATTGAATATAGTAGCAAATATTTAATTTATTATAATTAAAAAAATACTATAATATAAATATATATATATATATATATAACACAAAAGTAGCACCGTCTCATAAAAAAGGATGTTACAATTTTATTTTTTTTGCAAATTTGTAGAAAAAATATGCCACCCTAAAAATAATAATTTTGCTATTTATTTATATACGATGGATTGAAAATGTTTGGAGTGATAAAAGTAATTAACGGAGAGAGATAAAGAGAGAGAGGTGAAGAAGAAAGTGAAAAGGAATGGTGTGGACGTGAACTTAATTTTTAGTGTAGAGGGAAATCAAACAAACAATTCTTTAATGAAAAGGACAAGTAAATTAAGAAAGATGGAGGCGTGTAGTGAAAAAATAATTATTTTAGTAGTAATTTTACTATTATATATACATTTTATATTCTACTTATACCATGGAAGAAATAATTTATTTTAATTTTGATATAAATACAAATATAAATATATATGTATGTATTGGAACTACTATTTTTTAATCAAAATTATGTTATACCTAAAAACATTTCTAACGTCTCCAAACTCACCTGTCCTACATAGTTGGCTGCAAATTCACACATTATAATAAATAAAAAAAAAAAAACCCTAACAATCATCATCTTCAGTAGTTGATCACAAACAACCTTACAAAACAAAGCACAAATATAACAAACAGAACAGAACAACAGAGGTGGTCTTACCAACAACAACAAAGAGAGACAGAGGGTGAAAAAAGTGTCCGAAAAAAAATAAATGCGGAAAAAAGTGTCCGAAAATGATAATCAGAATCCAAATCAAACCTCCTAATCATTCACACTGTGTCTTCAACAGACAGCAACACCATTCTGTCGTCATCTCAACTCATCTTCCCGCTCGCCTGGTTCTTTTGTGCGACAAAATAACCACAAGCTTTGAACTTCCCATCCCTATCGCCACCCGCCCCATGTCGAGGATTTTCCTTATTTGCCCTCGCCAAACCAACGTGTCTCTTCCCCTTCTTATGATTCTCGAACACTTCCTTAGAGTAGGCGCCCACCCGACACTTTTCGCACCAAAACTTGAAATTATCCTTCTTAGGCGCACCACTGTACTTTGGGGCGTTTCTAGTAACTCTCTCGTCATTTTTCTTATTGTCATTGTGGTTTCGGCCCTCTAGCAATTTTGGTTTATCGGAGCAATTGGTAGGTGGTTGATCGACAGTGGGCTTGGCGGGTTTCGTTGCGCAAAACCCGATGCGGTAATTTTTACCGGAAGCTTGAACTTTCATTGCAGCCTCCTTCGACTTGTGCTTCTTCCCCTTGAGGTGATCAATTAAGCCTTGTTCGCCTGTGGTCTGAATTTGACAAATGGAGCAACTCCACTCGGTTTTAGCTTTCTTTGTCGTTGGGTGGTTATCTGACGGAGATTTGGCAGAATCTGGTGTCTCCTTCAGCTTTCTCTTCGATCCAGTTATGTTCTCGTCACGTTTCACCTAGTTTGCATGAAAAACACAATTACGAAACTAGTTGCCGTATAAACGCTGATGGAACAAAATCTAAGATTGAACTAACTATGAGTCTTTTGCAGTGTTCTCGGTAAAATGATAGTAAAAACGATACATTTCTATCTCATATGCATACATATCAAATACATGTTCTTTTAGGAATGCGATTGTATGAAGGAATCTTTTTGAACACCAGGCAGTCGAGAATGGAATATACTAAACAAATACGGTCAAAAGAGTATTTAGTAAAAAATGTGTTCTTTACAACACAACCAGGAGGTCCTAAGAAATCTAAAAGATGCTTATGGTAGTAGAGACACCTCCGATCCGAATACTTGCAACTTATAGATGTGTTCTTTCCATTTCCGCACAAACATGAGATCTCAAGGAATCTAATTAGGTAACTACAAGTTATTTGTTTTGGAACATTTATGGAACATCATTGTTTTCAAGTCATCTCAGCATTTGAACTACGCCTTTCATGTCTTATTTCAAGAATACAAGTCATTCAGTTTTTCATTTAAAAAAATATTCAAGAAAAAGTAGTCATCTTGCAAAATCAAGAATTAAGAAAAGAAACCTTGTAAAATGATATATATGCAAACACCGGCTGTGTTCACTATAAAAAAAGCGCTGATTACAAACTTTCACAACCCCCGAAACCCATGCTGTGAGGGTAAATTAAATCGTTGTAGAAAAAACATAACAGGTTTATTCACACACATTTATATTTGAGAGGGTTTTATTATAAAAATGCAAACTTCACATGAGGTCAGTTATGTTTATGAATTTATGGCTATATTACGTCTTTAAAACAATGAAATGTTGAAATTTTGTGGGGAGAAACACATGCCTTGAAAGGAGACCTGAAATGCCCGAAAGGTAAATCCAAACACTGGAGAGAGGTTAAAAGGCAAGGCTATTTCGGTTACAGCAATTTCAGTCAGCATAGATTCACACGAAATTGAGTGCACACGGAGCTAATAGATAAGAATGGTTAGGCAAGTTCTAATCAGCTATGATTTCTCACAAAAATAAAGAAAAAAAGTCGGAGCTATCACCTAATGTTAAAAGTATAAAAATACCATGATATCTACAGACAAATCCTTACGTACGAGTATCACATTTTATATAGGAAGTACGCTGTGCAAATAAAATAAATCACATGCTCGCATATTTCAGATCTTTGAAATTTATTAATGACTAGATATAGAAGAGGTCTAAAGAAAGAAAGTACTGACCTGCAAGGTAATTATCGGCTTTTCTTTGTTGCTCTCTGAGGAAGCATTAACCTCTGAAATTCTCAACGAAGGTGTCCCTGCCTGAGAGATCAGACCCTCACATCCTCCGGATTCAACCCTACCATTCGGTCTAATTATCTGTGCGAAAGGTTGCACGGTTCCATTTTCCAGCGGCCATGGCTCTGCCCTTGCTCCCAGAAGTGGAAGCCTTGTTAGTGAGTCATACCCCATTTTCGGTGTCGAGCCAAAAACAAACCCATCACTTTGATGCCTAAGAATCAGTTCCCTCTCCATCAACAGTTCCCTCTCCCTCATCACCTCAGCCATCAAAGCACGACTTCTCATAAGCTCAGTCATAATTATCTGACTTCTCATCTGTTCCATCGCAATCTCAGTCTGGACTGCATCTTGAATATAATGAGGACGATGTGAAGGAAAAGGATGCAACGGAGGATAACAACGAGATTGTTGTTGATAGTCGTAATTTAGGGAGTGTGCTAGCTGTGCCCTCCCAAATTCTGGCCCGAGATAGCCAGCTGAAACAATTCAAGTTAGATGCTTGACAAAACTAGCTAACAAAATTTTTTAAAACAAAAATAATATTTTGTTTTAATTAAAAATGAATTTCAAAACAATTTCTAACAATGTAAAACAACCTTTCAGCAATAATTCGATTTTTCTTGCATAGTGCATACATATACATGGATATTCAAAATTTAGTCAACGCCCAATTATTACCCTAATTCAAAACTAAAAGCTAACTACAAAGTATCAAATCATTACATAATATTTTATACCTTAAGGGTATGCTTTACAATCATAACATTATTATTTATAACACAATCATTTTATAATCATATAAACATCCCCACAGTCAGGTCAAGTTTACCTTAAATGGATTTTACGCCGTAAATACTATTTACAGTCAGGTCAAGTTTACTTAAAATGATTAACTAATCTTTACGCCTGTAAATAACGGCGTAAATACTATTTACAGTCAGGTCAAGTTTACTTTAAATGGATTAACTAATTTTTACGTCGTAAATAAAAGCGTAAATACTATTTACAGTCAGGTCAAGTTTACTTTAAATGGATTAACTAATTTTTACGCCGTAAATAACGGCGTAAATACTATTTAATCCATTTAAAGTAAACATGATCAAGGATCAGTAACAAAATAAAACGGTACCGTATTTACGTAATCAAAATTCCAACTACCTATCTATTAAGTACTTACACAAGATCACATGTTTATTCTCACACAGGAAAACACAAAACATTGGGGCCAAAATAAATGCATAATTGCAATACATACATACATACATACATACATATATATATCCATATATGTGTGTTTTTTTTTTCCAGAACAAAGGATGATAAAAATAATCAATAGATGTCAATATAAATATACATCAATTTTCAATCCCGCCATAGACTAAACTTGAAGATTGCTTGATCGTCCACAAGAAAATTTACCAAAACAGCAAAATGTTGAAGAAACAAAAATCGAACTGAAACGTTAAACACGTGTGCAATTTCAACTTTTTCTCATTCAAGAATCAACCAAAAGGAAATCACATTCGAAACGTTCCTTAAAAGGGTAAAAAAAAAATTCCGAAACACATAATCAGTTTCCCGCGCATGCCTCACATCATCGGCGCTTCATAAAAGTTCTAAGCATACTCCGAAAGGAATCATAACAATTTCGGAATGAACAATAACAAAATTGCGTTAACTTTCGCGAAAAGACGAAAAAAAAAAAAACCACAACACAAAAGGCACCAAAAACAAGAAAGAGGAAAATTAACCAGAAACTACAATATATACAAAAAATGAAAAGGCGAAAACGATAGCGATAGCGAAATCGAAAGCAAACCAACATCGAAGAGGTGGCTCCGTGAAAGTGGAGTGAACGTAATCCCGGCGTATGTGGGTCGAGATTTCGCGACGAATCCCTCGATTTTCCGACTCCATTACTCGATCGATGAAATCGAAGCAGCCAAGAAATCCAAAAGGCGGTGGGTAATCGAATTATTGAGTAGAAATCTTGAAGAAAAGAAGAAGATCAGAGAGAGCAGGCGAGCGAGGGTTTTTCACCGCAATAGAAAGAGAAGAAAAAGAAAGTGACTGAAAATTCTGCCCCCGATGGTGTATATACTTGTCGTTCTCTGGGGGCCCACAAGGTAAAACACTCTGTGTTATTTTGTGGGTTATATTATTTATATTATTTTTTTTAAATATATTGCATAAAATAATAATTATTATTTAGTATTCAAATAATTTTTTAAGTATTTAAATTTAAATTTTTATTATTTAAAAATTTAAATTCAAAATCTAAAATTCACAATCAAACTTTACAATTTTTTTAATTATTTATATCAATATTTGTTTATATGTATTTTAATTCAAATTTTTTATTATTTAATCAAACAAATTCAAAATTTAAATCTAAAAATAATTTGATGTTTTTATATTATATGAAAAATAAAAATGAAAGTATTTAATTTTATATATTTTTGTAAAATAAATTTATGAATAATCGTAATATGGCAAAAACTTCTAAAGAAACGCACGCAAGTGTATCATTGTCATTATTATAATCTTTCTATGGTCAAAATTTACTAAATTTTTGTTGACTTTCTTATTTTAATTACCTTTGGTAAAACAAGGTCTTTTTACTCGTGGAGTTTTTACCTGAGTTTACTATTCTAATTTTTATTTCTTTTGAAAAAAAGATTAAATCAAACATCTACTATTTATTTATTATATTATATAAAAAAATTTATTTTATATTTAAAATTTCACGTCAATACATATTTATATCACATTAAATAACTATTTTAATTCAAAATTTTACTATTCAAAATTATACAAATAAAATTCTATACATTATGGTACTGTTTAAATTATAAAAATAAAATAATATTATTTTCTTCTTTCCGGTTTAAAGTATTTTTTTGAATTTCAATATTAGCTTAAAAAATAATACTACTCCGTCTAATAATGAGAGTTATATTTATTTTTGATATAATTACAATATATGTTGTATAAAAGTATATATTATGCTAAAATCAACTGTTGCATGTAAAGACTATATCATATATTGTTGATTCATTTGTTATATTTATATTATTATATTAATATAAATAATATACTGTCAATACTAATGTATTATTTGTTAGTACATTGTGTGTTATTCGACAGAAATTCAGCACATGCCACTTTAAAATAAAGTATGTAAAAACTAATATATAAAATTAGTAAAAAGTAATATAGTAAGTAGAAATAATGACAAATTTATTATCATGTACTAAAATAAATATAATAAAATTATGAGCATATAAACTAATTTATTTTGTTTGAGAGATTGGATTTTCAATTCACTGTTCATCTCATTTTTGTCCCAAAAAATATCAAATAAAATACCTATTTTTTATTTTTTATATTATACTAAAAATCAATTTTACATTCAAAATATCACATCAATGCTTATTTATATCAAATCATACAACTATTTAAATTCAAAATTTTTACTATTTAAATCTCAATTCAAAATCCAAACCCACAGACAATCACACCCTTGATAATTCCTATAATTATAGCATGCATAGATTTAGCGTACAAGCAGAATAAAAATAAAATAAAAAAATGTTTAATTTTCTTTACTTTTTTAAATAAGTGTTTAATTCTTTTTTAAAAATTTAATTTTTGTATGTAATATAAAAAATTGTCTTAAAAAAAATTATAAACTATTATTTTTTAAGAATCTCAATTTCTAAAAATTGTTGAACAAACAGACCATGTCACAAAAAAATTATGGCCATATTATTATTTACTGCACATATGTTAATTTTATATATATATATATATATCAATTAGTATAATTTTTTTATATTATGCATGAAAATCTTGTAAATATTATTAAAATAATATTTTTATTAAATTATTATTTTTTTTATAAATAGATAAAATACAGATATTATATGTATTATTTTTCTTTAATGATATTAGTTAGAAAATATATAAAAAATTATCAAGTGAACACATTCTAATTTTTAATGTTTTTTGGTATTAGTTAATGCATAAAATTTTCAATATAAGCATATTTGTATTTTATAAAATATTATTCAAATTCAAACCACTGTGTTTGTTAGTAGGATTTTGAATTCTACTATTCATACAATTTTTTTTCTTCAAAAATATCAAATCAAATCAAATACATATTTTTTATTTTTTTATATTATACTAAAAATTAATTTTACAATATCACATCAACACTTATTTATATCACGTCGTACAACTATTCAAATTCAAAACTTTACTATTCAAATCCCAACTCAAAATCCAAATCCCTAAACAAACACACCCGAGTCCTAGTAGGCTATGTTTGCTGCAAAAGTAAAGAAATATTAATATTTCTATTATTAATATATGATATGTAAAAAGTAAATTATGAATATTATAAAAAAAATCTATTAAATAATTGGTAAAATTTGACATCTAGTAAAAGATAGTGAATTTTTTACTCACAATTCGTTATAATTCAAAATATTATTTTTATTCGTCTTACATAAAAAATATCAATTTGTTATTTAAAAAAATATTAATTGTACATTAATACCAAAGTATCATTAACTTTTACTTAAATTAAAAATATATCATTACATATACAATTATTTTATACATAAAGTCAAAGAGCAAAAATATTAAAAAAATTTATACACTTTCACAGATCAATGAAATATTATTTTTCCTTAATAACTACAAAATCCCAAAAGGATCATTTAAAATGAACCGAAGGAAGTATAATTTATGATTTATTATAAATAAAATAAATATAAAATTTAACAGACAATTAAAATTAAAAAGAAATGAAAACATAATTTTAAAATAGACTGAAGAGAGAAGAAAACGATAGCATATGAATTATTATTAAATATATCATAATTAATAAAGTTGTAATACATATAATTATAATTATTTTTACAAAATTAATATAATTTTTTATGATTATAATATTACTTTTAATCACACCACTTGAGAAAGTCAATATGAGCAAAGTTTGTATAATAAATTTAATTTTGAATCGAAATAGATTGTAAACTACAATAATCAAAAAAATCTAGAATGAGAAACTCGATAATATATATATATTAGCAATATTAGAATTAATATTACCGACCATTATATCGTACCAACGCGGTTATATTTATAAAACCACTTGTCCGAGGATTTTTCAAGATTTTCTTTATTTATTAATTTTTTTTCCTCTAAAATATCATATAAACATTTTTTTTTATTTTTTTATTATACTAAAAATTAATTTTACATTCTAAATATTATATCAATACATACTTTGAAATATATATATACATATAAAGAGAAATAATACTATGTATTCTTTGTGTTTTGTAATTTTTTTATTGTTGTTTTTTAGATAAAATAATAAAAATGTGGTATCTTATCTAAAAAATGAGTACATTTTTATTAGAAAAGAAAAAATTTAAAATAAGTGATATATTGCTATAATAGTAATTGAAATGTAAATGTTTTTGTTTATTTTTGTGTAACCACAATTACTAAAATAATTTAATGGATTAATTTATGATGAATTAAAATGATAAGATTGATAAATTAAGTTGGGATGAAATAGTATTTTTCATTTCTTATTCTTATCTAGATTGATAATACTAATATTTCATATTTTAATCATAAATATAGATCAACATAGTCACATGTATGGACTGGGCCAAGACTAATGGGCCCATAAGGGCCCAACTCAATGTTTACTCTCACTTTGTTTCTTGTGTTTGGTTATATATATATTTTTTTAATTTTTAATATATATATATATATATATATATCAATACCAAACACTTAAAAATCAAATTTGAGACATTTTCTACTTGAAAAATTAGGTCTTCGATTCCAGGTAAAATATATATATATATATATATATTTGCCAATGTTCACCCAAAGTAAATTTTATAAATATATAAGGTGAAATATCCTTATTTTGATAATTACAGGGGACCTTATAAAATGTTTTTGCAATTAATTTAGATCTTTTTACTATTGTTTAGAAAATGAATTCTCAACTTGCTTTTCTTGCATATAGATTATAAACCCAAACATATCTACTTGGATGGAGATTTTTAGAGATTTGAAAATTTTAAGAATAAATTAAATATTTAATGTGATATTTTATAGGCTAAATTGCACGAAATTCGCCAAATCCTCTATACTTCTAAAATTACATCAAACTTCCTCGTGGTTTTATAAACTCTGCGTCTAACTCCCTCGACGGTCCTTATTTAACAATATTTGACTTAAATGCCCAAAATTGCGAATAAATTTTAGAATCTCAATTTCTAAACCCCTAAAATTACAAATATATTCATTTTTTTATATATATATTTAGCCTAAAAAAATAGTAAATATACTCAATAATAATTATTTTTATAAGGTTTTAAGAGCTTATTTTTACTTTTTTTTAAAGCTAAATATAAGAAAAATAAATATATTTGTAATTTTAGTAGTTTAGAAATCGAGATTCTAAAATTTATTCGCAGTTTGAGCGTATTTAGGTCAAATATAGTTAAATAAGGACTGACGAGGGGGTTAGACGCAGAGTTTATGAAACTACGAGGGAGTTTGACGCAGTTTTAGAAGTACGGGGGATTTGGCGCAATTTCGTGAAATCACAAGTGAATTTTGTGCAATTTAGCCTATTATATATATATATATATAAAATAATTATTTAATATTATATTTTATAAAAATTTAATTTCGATAAATAATATTAAAATTTTGAAGATATATATATATATATATATATGTACACATGGTAGTATATTATATACTATATCTTCATTAAAATAATGGAAAAAAAAAGGATAAAATGGTGTATTCAACAAAAGAACTTTGATCATGTTTAATTGACACATCAACTCATTATTTGTCATTAGTAATTATGGTTTATTTTTTTATGGCTTTGGATTTATTTTGTAAGTTTATAATAAAATATAATCGATTTCAATTCGTAGACCTTGAACTTTATGATTCTCACAAAATCATATAAATGTGTATACATACTGACCTTGGTTGGAAACTATTCTCGCACACGACAAGTTGGATCCTCTGGTTGAGACGATGAGTTGGATCCTCTAATTTGGACGATGAGTTTGATTTTCTGGTTTGGATGATGAGTTGGATCATCTGGTTTCTCCTCTTAGCCTTGATGCCAGAACGCATAAGTTTATTTTCTATGTGTGATAGAATAGATCTGTTCTGACCTTTTATAGACAGAGGGAGAACCGGAATCCTTTACGTTAAAGTCATTATCCCACGTTCTATCAACGTGGGATAATGATAAAGTGGTATTAAATCACTATTAATTTGACTAGACCAATTCTAATATTAATATTATTATTATTTATTTTATTTTATTTAAACCATCAATAAATAAATGACACGAGATCACATCTTACATATTTTACGTTAGAAGATTTTAGTAATTTTTCAATAATTGATTTGGAATGAAAAATTATGGGGTGTGCACCATATCATTTAGCATCTTGATGACAATATATATATTAAATATGAATGCTCAATATAATAAATATAAATCAATAGTATAACATTTAAGCTAATATAATATATACAATATATAATAATCCACGTAACATATATAAATTTCAATATAAAATGTATATTCATACAAAATACTTGTAAAGTATGAACTGTCCATATATAATTTCAATTAACACATATTGTATTTTATTTTGTAATGTGATAATATATTTTATTAAAAATATGTCTAAAATATGCTTCAGCTAGGTCTGATTTTAGATTTATATTAGGTATAATTTTTTTTTTTTTTTTTACACATAAAACTAATTTCTGAGAGAGATATTGATAACTAAATCCTACCAAAATACAAATATTGAAATGATAAGTTAAAAATTGAAGATTAAAATAAAATTTTAAAAGTGTAATGTCAAGTAGTACTACTAGGAATTTATTTTATTTTATTCCAAAATATTGAAAACAAACAACAATTTCTTGCCCAAAAAATATTATCTAAATATCTTCAATTCATTTCATACTTTTAGCATATTTTATGTTCCTAAATGTATTAAAAGAAACATACAATAAACAAACAAATTTGATATTTTACAAACAAAAAAAAATTATTAGAAGTGAGAGTATATTTAAAAAGTCAAATTTATCAGTTTTAATGTCAACTCACAAAAAATCAAACAATTTAATACAAAATATTCTTCTTTTTTTTTTTATATTACTGATACAATTTTTCATAACTAGTAGTATATATAAAAAATTCATCAAAAAATACAAAAATTATGAATGTTACATAGTAAATAATAAAAAGAAAATGATTTGTACGTCATAAATAATTGAATAATAATTAAGAGGAGTCAATAATGGAACCAAAAGTTGCTTCAAAACTCCTCTGCTTATCTTTGTCCTTAAAAACTCACTTTTCTTAATTACTTCATCATTCCACAATTTACCTAAAATAATAATAAAAATTCCTCCGCACATTTCCATATGTGTTACTCCTTCCGTCCAAAAACTATAGTTTGGGTTGTATTTGACGTAAGATTTAAAAAATATTGATATTATATTGATAGTGGATAAAAAGTAAAGGTAAAAAATTTTTTTGCCATTGTGAGTGTATTAGTGTAAAAAGTAGTGGCAAATGTGTAATAATAATGAAAAAGTACAGGATAATTTTATAGTGATATGATTATTTATGGAAATAAAACTATTGTTTTGAGACGGACAAAATCGGTAAACAAGACTATTGTATTGAGACGAAAGGAATAATATATAATATATATTATTAATTAAATTTTTAGTATTATTTATCAAACGATAGTTTTTGTTTTTGTTTTAAAAAAATATTACATCGAATGTTTCTTTTCTTTTACAAAATATAATATCAATAGCTAATTTTTTGTTTTTCAAATTTTTTTTGTAAACTCCAAACTCCCCCCAACATTTTCATATCTATTAATCTATTTATATATATTAGAAATTTTAATATTATTAATTAATAATACTCTATTCGTCCCATAATAAATTATTCATTTTTTTTTATTTTGGTCCGTCCTATAAAAAAAATTTATTTTATTTTTTTTAGTAACTGTATTATCTACATAACATTACAAATACCTTTACAAATTACAATATATTATACGATACTAATAAAATTATTTTAATCATTGCTACTATATTCTTTACGTACATATCAATATAATACTAATATACAAACTCCATGCAAAAAAAAAAAAATTGATACTTAGGACAAAGTGAATAATCTTTTAAAAAAATATTACATAAAATATTTATTTCATCTATTAAAACATTATTTTTATTATTTTCAAAATTTCTCGAAACTCCAAAGCTTAAACCCCACACACATTCCATATCTATTTATCTATACATATATATATATATTTTTTAAATTTTGATATAATTCATCAATAATTATTTATTTATTTATTTTTTCTTTTAAAATCTTATCACAAATTCTTATTTCCTCCTACAAACCATAATATCATACCTAATTTTCTACTGTTTTCAAATTTTCTCCAAACTCAAAAACTTCAAAACCCCCCCTGTTATCTCTTGTATGCATTCTTGTATCTATCTATTTCTATATCTGTATCTATATATATATATATTTGTGTATAGTTTGGTGGGGAAGAAGGATAGAAGGAAAGGCTTAGAAGAAGGTAGTTGAAACAGAAGAAGCTTAACTTGGAGGCAATGACTGACTGACTGAGAATGGAGATCGACTCTGCACCCAAATTGAAGCAACGTATGTCCATTAGGTACCCTCGAAAATGATACAAATGCTACCCTCAAACATTATAATTCCTTCAAAATACATCATCCCTTCATTCACTCGCCTCGACTCTTACCGATCGATCGAATGGAAGCCAGCGCCGGTCTCGTTGCAGGCTCGCACAACCGGAACGAGCTCGTCGTCATTCACGGCCACGAGGAGGTATTCGATAATTCGATCAATTCCGAGGTTTGTGTCTGTCTGATCTTGATCATCGACGTTTTGTGTCTTTTTTTTTTTTTTTTTTTTTGATCAATCTGCAGCCAAAGCCTCTGAAGAATTTGAGCGGTCAAGTGTGTGAGATTTGCGGGGATGAGATAGGCTTGACGGTGGACGGGGAGCTCTTCGTGGCGTGCAATGAGTGCGGGTTCCCGGTGTGTCGACCATGCTACGAGTACGAGAGACGTGAGGGGAGTCAGCTGTGTCCGCAGTGCAAGACCAGATACAAACGCCTTAAAGGTATATGTAATATACGTGTATTTATGTATGTATTCATGTATACTATCTTTGTCATTCAATTGTATGATCGTTTTTTTTTTGTGAAATATAAAAAAAAAATGAGCATAAAATTAAATAAGTGATGTAGTATATATAATAATCTAATTTTGTGCCTAATTTCTTTGTGATATGTATAGGAAATCAACACAAAATTGAATGATTGAAGTAGCTATATATATATAAATTCAATTTTATGGTCACTTTCTTTGTAATATAAAAAGAAAATTGGTACCAAAATTGAATCTTGGGGGTAGTATATATATATAAATTCAATTATGTGCTTGTTTTCTTTGTAAAATATAAAAGAAATGAATGCAATTTTGCAATTTTCTAGGTGTCAAACCTATGTATGTTGTTTGGATGTCCACGAAATAAAAATAAATGAACATACAATTGAACAATAAAAATAGTATATACATAAAAATAGAAAGAAAATTGGCATAAAATTGAAGGACGAAAGTAATATGTATATGTGTTTGTCTAGTAAAAATTTTGAATTTGAATAGTTGTATGATGTGATATAAATAGATGTTGATGTGATATTTTGAATGTAAAATTGATTTTTAGTATAATATAAAAAATGAAAAATAGGTGTTTGATTTGATGTTTTTGAGGAGAAAAAATGGGATGAAAAGTGAAAATCTAATCCAATCTTCCAAACAAACATAAAAAAGAAAATGAATACTGAATTGAATGCAGAGGTAGTATATATATAGATATAAAGTAAATGAGCAAAGAATTGAATGACGGAATCGAATATATATATATATATATAAGAATGTGAAGTCTAAGTTTCGAACCTTTTGTATGTTGTTCGGACGTCGGATCGCGCAGGGAGTCCGAGGGTTGAGGGAGACGACGACGAGGAAGACATCGACGACATTGAGCACGAATTCAACATCGATGAACAGAGGAAGAACACAAGTATTGCAGAGGCAATGCTTCATGGAAAGATGAGTTACGGAAGAGGACCCGACGACGAGGACAGCGCGCAATATCCACCTGTTATCGCCGGCGTCCGCTCCTGTCCTGTAAGAATTTCTTCGAATGAATCGATCGCTGCTTCCCCTGCAAAACAAAACCTTAGTTTAAAATCCTTAAAACAATTAAACAAACACAGGTCAGCGGAGAAATCCCGATTTCGAGCAACTACGCTCACGGAGACCCGATGACGGGAACCTCGTTGCATAAGAGGGTCCATCCGTATCCCGTCGACGAGCCAGGTAAAACTGCAGTAATCGAATCGAATATCATCGAACTACAGCTCATACATACGATTATAGGAAGTGCGCGATGGGATGACAAGAAAGAGACGGGATGGAAAGATCGAATGGACGATTGGAAGATGCAGCAGGGGAATTTAGGAGCTGAATACGATGATTCGGCCGATCCCGACATGGCTATGTAAGCGAAATTTTAAGCAAGGTTTCGATTAAAAAATTTTCGAACTTGAAGCCCGAGAAATCTGTTATGTGTAAAAATGCAGGTTAGACGAAGCAAGACAGCCATTGTCGAGAAAAGTACCGATCGCATCGAGCAAACTCAATCCATACCGTATGGTTATAGTCGCTCGTCTGCTCGTGCTCGCGTTCTTCCTCCGCTACCGTATTTTGAACCCTGTCCACGACGCCATCGGCCTGTGGCTTACGTCGATTATCTGCGAGATCTGGTTCGCGATCTCGTGGATCCTCGACCAGTTCCCCAAGTGGTTCCCCATCGATCGCGAGACTTATCTCGATCGCCTTTCGCTCAGGTAATAATAGAATGTACCTGGAACATATCGTTCGAACATTAAACGAGTCGAAGATCAAATAAAACACGACAATTTATATTCGATTCAGGTACGAGAGAGAAGGCGAACCAAACATGTTAGCTCCGGTGGATATATTCGTTAGCACCGTCGACCCGATGAAGGAACCGCCCCTCGTAACGGCTAACACCGTTCTCTCGATACTTGCGATGGATTATCCCGTTGACAAAATCTCCTGCTACATATCCGACGACGGCGCTTCGATGTGCACCTTCGAAGCGTTGTCCGAAACGGCGGAGTTCGCTCGAAAATGGGTTCCTTTCTGCAAGAAGTTTTCGATCGAGCCACGAGCCCCGGAGATGTACTTCTCGGAGAAAGTTGACTACTTGAAGGATAAAGTCCAGCCGACGTTCGTCAAGGAACGACGAGCTATGAAGGTACGTATATAATCGAAACGACTCTCTTACTTCCGATCCGCACGAGAAATGCGTCGACGAACGTTCGATTTCTGTGTCGCAGAGGGAATATGAAGAATTCAAGGTCCGAATAAACGCGATGGTCGCAAAAGCAGCGAAAGTTCCTCCGTCGGGGTGGATCATGCAAGACGGGACGCCGTGGCCGGGAAACAACACGAAGGATCATCCGGGTATGATTCAAGTGTTTCTTGGCCAAAGCGGAGGTCTCGACGTCGAAGGCCACGAGCTTCCTCGACTTGTTTACGTCTCCCGTGAGAAGAGGCCGGGCTTCCAACACCACAAAAAGGCCGGCGCTATGAATGCTCTGGTAATAAAAACGACATAATCGAACGAATCGTTAGCTTCTTGATCGATACGATGAAAGTTAAGAACGATTCTTACTCGATCGAGGTTTCAGGTTCGCGTTTCTGGTGTCCTTACGAACGCGCCGTTCATGCTGAACTTGGACTGCGATCACTACCTTAACAACAGCAAGGCTGTGCGCGAGGCGATGTGTTTCTTGATGGATCCGCAGGTCGGGAAGAAGGTTTGTTACGTGCAGTTCCCGCAGAGGTTCGATGGAATCGACAAACACGATCGATACGCCAACAGGAACACGGTCTTCTTCGACGTAAGTACCTGCAAAAAAATAAACCAAAAATGATCATCGAAATGTTATCGAACCTTCCTTGATTCGTAATTCGATGTTCGATACCCCTGCAGATAAACATGAAAGGTCTAGACGGGATTCAAGGCCCCGTATACGTCGGGACGGGATGTGTTTTTCGACGACAAGCGTTGTACGGCTACGAACCTCCGAAGGGCCGTAAACGACCAAAGATGGTAAGCTGCGATTGCTGCCCTTGCTTCGGACGTCGCAAGAAGCTCCCGGAATTCGCCAAGAACAGCGTCAACGGCGAAACAGATCTTCAAGGTTTTCAAATTTGTCGAGTCCCTACATTCGAAGCAACAAAAAAACATGTTAATGTCGATTCGTGATTCGTTCTTTCTTTTCGCGCAGGATACGACGACGATAAAGAGCTTCTGAAGTCGCAGATGAACTTCGAGAAGAAATTCGGGCAATCGCCGATATTCGTGACGTCGACGCTGATGATCGAAGGAGGAGTTCCGCCTTCGTCGAGCCCGGCAGCTCTGCTCAAGGAAGCCATTCATGTCATAAGCTGCGGATACGAAGACAAGACGGAATGGGGTGCCGAGGTACTCTTTGAAATCGAAATTCTTATCCTATCATCATCCCGTGTTCTAATACTTACGATTAATCCGACAGTTGGGATGGATTTACGGCTCGATCACGGAGGACATCTTGACGGGATTCAAAATGCACTGCCGCGGCTGGAGATCGATTTACTGCATGCCTAAAAGACCCGCATTTAAGGGATCTGCGCCGATCAATCTCTCCGATCGTCTCAACCAGGTTCTGCGATGGGCGCTCGGTTCCGTCGAGATTTTTTTCAGCCATCACAGTCCCGTCTGGTACGGCTACAAAAACGGCAAGCTCAAGTGGCTCGAACGGTTCGCGTATGTGAATACGACCGTCTACCCGTTCACGTCGATACCGCTTCTCGCCTACTGCACGCTCCCGGCGATATGCTTGCTCACCGATAAGTTCATAATGCCGGAGGTCCGACGCAATTCGTAATCGTCGAAGATTGTTCGATTAATTGATACTAATCCTCTGTTCTTATTTTTCTTGATCCAGATAAGCACATTTGCTAGTCTCTTCTTCATAGCCCTCTTTCTGTCGATTTTCATCACCGGAATTCTCGAAATGCGGTGGAGCGGAGTCAGCATCGAGGAATGGTGGCGGAACGAGCAGTTTTGGGTGATCGGGGGAATTTCTGCTCATCTATTTGCCGTAATTCAAGGCCTGCTGAAAGTTCTCGCCGGAATCGACACGAACTTTACTGTTACATCGAAGGCGACGGACGACGAGGAGTTCGGGGAGCTTTACGCATTCAAGTGGACAACATTGTTGATTCCTCCGACCACCATTCTGATCATCAACCTCGTCGGAGTTGTCGCTGGAATCTCGGACGCCATTAACAATGGATACCAATCTTGGGGGCCTCTGTTTGGGAAGCTTTTCTTTGCGTTTTGGGTGATTGTTCATCTCTATCCTTTTCTTAAAGGGCTGATGGGAAGGCAGAACAGGACTCCCACCATTGTTGTCATCTGGTCTGTGCTGCTGGCCTCCATTTTCTCGCTCCTCTGGGTTAGAATCGACCCTTTCATACTCAAGACCAAGGGACCTGATACAAAACAATGTGGGATCAACTGCTGATGAGAAAATGAGGAAGATGATAATGCAAATTTGATTTGGTGCGTTTTGATGTGATGATCGGGAACACTTAAAGAATTTGATGTGAAGGAAAGGGAATAAAGAAGCTTGGTTTAGGAATTTTGTCGAACAGTTGGTGTACGAGTCGGGTGAGTTTTGTGTAAGAACAGGTGTGGATGTGTAGAGAGACGAATGGGATTGTGTTTGTTTGCTTTGAATGTGGAATGCTCTGCTGATTTCCCTAATTCTTGCAGCTTCTTTTCTGAAATTCTGATGATGATTTGATATTTGGAGAGATACAAAATCAGATAATACATATTGAACGGACAAAATTCTGACGATGATCATATTCGATTTCAAATGGAGGAATTTAGAAATTAAATAAAATAATAATAATAATACTCTCTCCCTCTCTTAACAATTTATCTATTTTTCATCCATACCATAACAAAATAACAAAGTATTCATTTTTTTTTTAATTTTTTATAAGTAATTGTATTATCTACCTAACATTACAAATACCCTTCTAATTTACAATATATTACACAAATGCGATTACCTTCATATCATACAATACTAATAAGGTTAATTTAGTCTTTTTACTTTTATTTATACTTTATCTTAATAAATACTAATATTCCTAAAATCCTGTGTATTAACAAAATAGATAAATAGATTGGGGACGGAGGGAGTAGTACTTATTCCGAGGGATATCAACGCTGTGGGTTCGGGACGGGTTTTGCAGGCTTCGGGACCTGCCGCGTTAGAAAATATTAGGACTCAAGACCTGCCCTGTTCCGCTTCAATCCGGCCCTATGACTCGTCCCGGGCTCCGGGTCAACCCGACAAACCTGTTTTTTTTTAAAAAAAAAAAAAATTAAAAATAATTTAATACTAAAGAAATATGCGTTCAAAGTACCAAAAAATTATAATTCTAAAAATAAGAATAATCAAATATTGACGATAGTTTGTAGTGATAACGGTCAGCAGTAGTCCCGACTATAAAGAGAATTATAGAAGAAACAAATGCGAATATAAATTAAATTTAGAATTAAAGTTCTATTTTATATTTAAAATTTTTAAATAAATAAATAATGTAATTTATATTGTATAAAAATATAAATAAATTATCCTAATTATTAAAATATCCGGGTTCGGGTCCGGGATGGAGCGAATTTATAGTGAAACCCGTAACCCGCCCCGAACCCGGTGGGATCTAAAACTCAAAATCCACAACCCGCCCCGAACCAAATTTTTTAGACCCGAACCAGCCATATTAAGACTGGGCCCGGGGCAGGTCCGGGGCTAACCCGCCCCATTTGACATCCCTACTTATTCCATTCCAAACCGAAGAATATTAAGTAAGATAATTTGACATAATAATTTTGAGATCAGGTAATATTATTGGAGAGAGTAATACATAGTGATGCAATGAAAAAAAAAAATATACTACTCTCTCCGTCCCAAACATTGTGTAACATTTGTGTTTGACACGAGAATTTAAGTGATGAGTATTAAGTATAGTAATTTGAGATAATTTGGATATTAAATCATATATATAAATATTATTAATTACTTCTAATTTGGAACTATTGTAGTGAGTTTGAAACAAACAAAAAATAAAATGTTGTAGGGTGTTTGAGACGAGGGAAAATTTCCATCCGCTTTAACAGTCTCATTTACTTCTTGCCAAAATATATATCTTATAATACTAATATAAAGAACGTTTGCATGAGAAAATTATACTCCCTTCGTCTCAAAAGAGTTGTCTTGTTTTTTCATTTTCGTCCGTTCCAAAACAATTGTCTTGTTTCGTAATCGTAGTTCCCACTTTATAACAAAATTATTCATACTTTTTCAAACTATTCTTAATTATTACTTTAACATACTCTTTATAATCCTTAAAAAAAAACAATGGACATTTTAGTCATTTATATTATACTTTATACCCACTTTCAATTAAATACTATTATTTTTTTTTAAACAGAAGAAGTATAAAAGTATTTTGAATGTTAGAGTAACTTTAGAGGTGAACAGAGATAATATTTATATATGTACATATAATTAATTATTTTTAAATTAAAAATATTGCAGACAAATAAAAAAGAATTAGTTTGTAAGAAATTAAATAAAGGATTCGTTTAGTTTAACTTGACTTAGTTTGAGTTAGAAGCTTTGATTTAAGTATGTGCGAAGTTATTCAATCAGTACATATAAAATAACAAATCAATATACAACAACAACATAAAATTTTCTAAGTTATAGTAATCAACTTGAAAATAGCTCTCCCCCAAATTTGCTTATTATTTCCAAAAATAAATACAAGTGAAAACCAACATAGGAGAGCTCTACCTACAAGGATATATATAACTTAAACTAACTAAACTACCTAACTATTTCTAATACTTAGTGTGCAAACGAAACATCATCGCCTATATATATATATATGTATATACTCACCTTAAAAACGGTTTCTCAGGCGTCGTCGTCATCCGGGGAAGGCGAGGCCTACAGCATAGTCGTCGTGTCTGGATCTGCATCGTAGTAATTAACCAAATGTACATAGATCGATCATTTGCCATTTTTCTCTAAGAACCACTTTGTTTCATCTGCAATGTAAGGGTCCTGAGGTAGCATTCTTCCACCTGCTCAACCGACGCTTACAATTTAGAAATATGCGTCGCCACAAAGTTAAACACGTCTAGTTACGAATGAAGATTTATTATGTCATGAATTGAAAACGAATCTTGAAAGGAGTGGTATGAGAGAAACCGGGAAACCTGATATGCATCTGTAGAGCACAAAAGTGATTGGCATTTGTTGAGCTTGGCTCTCTCGTTCGCCGCCACATCAGCAACCTCTTCGATCAAATGATTCATCTCCTCCACCTGTTTCACAAGGACAAGTTTATTTCCCGATCTTCATAAAGGCAACTGATCCTCAAAACAGATTGTAAGAATGTCAAGATCAAGAATGTTGGAAGAAGCCATTATTATTTGTAACTCAGTGTTTCAAAAAGTTTACACCATATTAAGATTTAGAGGTTCTCTAGTATTTTCAGAAAATATTATACATAATCCCTTAAAAGTTGTACGAGGCTGCTTCGTGTTTTCAAAAATATTGCCCAGAGCCTCATACAGTTTTTAAATCCAGAATGGTGTAAACTTTCTAAACCTTAGGTAGTTTATAACAAATTTTGCCTTTTTTGTGGAGGAAAATACGAGCGAATTAACTATCCACGGGAGAGTTAAATAATACGTTAAATGTGATGCTATGACATGAAAATAGCAATGAGCTAGAAGAGCAAGATATTAAGATCATAACATTAGAATGCTCTAAAAAAAAATTTTGTTCGCTTGAGATCATTTGCCAGTGTCGACTATGAGGTAAATACAGATAAATTTAGAGCTTCTCACCTTTGAAAGAACGGAACCTAATGAGGATTCCACTGACTGCATCACATGAGAAGCCGAGTACAGAGCGGCCTTAACTGAATTAACATCTCCCTGTCAATGTAGAATGATTTAAGCAACTGCACTTTCGTTATATTCGACATGTAGAGTTATTTAGGCGCCATACCCTGGCTCCTCTCGTGAGAGGAATTAGGATAGTGCTGGCCTGAAGATTTTGGGTGAACCGGGTTAATGTGTTCGTATGGTCCCTCTCGACAGAAGCCCATTCATCAAGGGTGGTCACCTGTGAAAATCGAAATTTAGTAAACCAGTAGCTAGTTTGTTAACATTTCACGCTGAAGATAGCAAATCAATGGAAGGTTCATATTCTTATTGAATTGATTTAACGACTAGTGTATCTGATATAAGGAATTTAATACATATATAGATAACACTACAAAAATTAGAAGACCGTAAATCCAGAAAAGCAAGGTAGGTTGACCAAAATAATACAAATCACGACATGTTTACAACATCTTTCAATGGAATACCCAAATTGTATTTCATATACAAAACAAAAATAATCTTAATATTTCAAACAATTTTCACATTCTAATTCCTTCCTCCGGACACAAAATCATCATCATAGTCAGCTGCATCATGAAGCCTTCACCTAACTGTTTGGTTTGTATTTGTGTTTTTTTTTTTTTTTTTTTGTTTAAATATTGGTGGGATGTGATAGTATACTTTTATTGAGAATTATTAAGATTGTATGGTAAAGAAACTGAAAAAAAAAAATTCAAAGAAAACAGCATTCTAGACTTTTCATGCTTTCTTTCTCGTGCTGTAAGAAAGCAGGAACCATATTTGGAGAAGACATGTTCCAACCTATAATATCAGGGGAGTTTACAGAAAACATACCAGAGAATATGAAGGGAAAGATAAAAACTAAAAGGTGAAACTATCACGATCAATGCATTTACAGCAAGGATAATGTAGGAATTACCTGGTTGTGCAAAATTGAGAAAAGCTTCAACTTAAGCCCCAGCTGCTGGAACTTAGATCTCTTTTGCCTCATCAAAACCCATATATCTGCTATTATCCTCCCCATGCTGTACAACTTTCTCTGCACAATCAAAATCGACTCAGGGCAACTATAAGTTTATTATATGATTTAAACTATCAGCATATAATAGTTAGTGGCTAAACTTAATTCCTAAATTTAAGACTGGAAGAACCCTAATTCACTCTGGTTGACAACTAGCTATAAGAAAACCTATATCGATTTGAAAACAAGAAATTACCTAGAGCAACAGAACAGAACCAATAGAGAACCAAACAGGTGCATTTTGAGAGCTTAGAACTTTAAAGATACTAGAGGAATATAAATATTTAGGTTTTAAGAGACGACCCAACCTCGGATTTTACACTTTGAGAATGCAATGCTGCGGCAGCTCGTGCATTTGCAAATCTCCATTGCAAATATCTGTTATATAACAGCCTCAATTGATGAACATCTTCAACATTCTCAGCTGTGTTTGCCTTCTGAGCGTCGGCAATGTAACTAAGAACAGAACTTGAATTCTGAGGGTGTCTGGAAGGGCTGGATGGCCTTAGCCTGGCTGGACTAGTTCCTCTAGACGAAGGGATAGTAGCCTTGGCTCGAGATGGACTCACCCCCCTAGACACTGAAATCAATGGAAGATGAGGTGCTGTTATTGGCAAAGACTGAGTCCTGCCTGCAGCATTGATTGATGGGGTCCTTTCAGATGAACTTGAAGAGCTCGGCCTCTGCAGTTTAGGTAAATTTGCATCAATTGAGCGTCCATATAGCATCTCTTTTACATTGTCATCACGTGATATTTGCAATAAAATATCAGTAGCAGCTTTCTTTAAAGGTTTGCTTGTTCCATCCAGTGATAACCTTCTTGGAGGTGATTTACTGGATCCAGAATTTGACGAAACTGAAGCTTTATTCAACCTATCAGTGGCATCACTGATGATTGTCGGATCTAGCGATAACCTCCGTGGAGAAGGTTTCACTGTTCCTGAATGGGATACTTTATTCATCTGACCTGTACCATCACTTTTGACTGCTACATCTAACGATAGTCTCCTTTGGGAAGGTTTAGGCGATTCAGGATGGGATAAAGATGACATTTTGCCCATCTGATCACTATAATCACCTCTGCTTGGCACGTCCAGTGATAATCTCCTCGACAATTTGTCCATCTGATCACTAGAATCACCTCTGCTTTGCACATCCAACGATAATCTCCTTGACAATTTGCCCATCTGATTACTAGAATCACCTTTGCTTGGCACATCCGGTGATAATCTCCTTGAGCTAGGTTTAGCCATCCCGGCATGGGATAAAGATGACACTTTGTCCATTTGATCAGTAGCATCGGTTTTGATTCTTCCATCAAGAGATAATCTCCTTTGTGATGATTTAACCATTCCAGAATGGGATAGAGATGTTGCTTTCTCGATTTGATTAGTAGCATCACTTTTGCTTGTTCCATCCAGAGACAATCTCCTTGGGGGAGGTTTAACCACTCCAGATTGGGATAAAACTGAAACTCTGTCCAACTTATCAGTAACATCACTTTTGATAGTCCCATCAAGAGATAATCTCCTTGACGAAGGTTTAACCGTTCCATAATGGGATAAAACTGAAGCTTTGTCCAACTTATCAGCTACGTCACCTTTGATTGCCCCGTCCAAGGATAATCTCCTCAGAGAAGGTTTAATCATTTCCGAATTGGTACTAAAAACAGAACTTTTCTCCAACTTATCGACAACATCACTTCTGCTCAGGCCAGTGAAAGTCTTCCCATTTGTTCTGCTTGGCCATCGATGTTGATCAAGTAGATGAGCATTTAAACTATCAGTAGGTTTTGAATTCTCTAACTGATCAGCAGAACTTTTTCCTTTTTGTGAGCTCGTCTTTCTTGGTGTTGTAGGCTTGTGTGATTGAGTTGATTCACCCTGAGAAGCTGCATTGGATGATGTTGGCCTTAGAGTGCGATCAGATGGTGTATGCAAAAGTGCCTTTTCTCTTTTAGATATTGAAAGAGAACCCGAATCAGACTGAAAAGAACTAGCTAGACTTCGCATTGTTGACGGCCATAAAGATTCTGGCATCTTACTGGTTACCATCTTTCTTGATGCCAACAGCTTATCTGCTGCTGTATCACGGACTGGTGTTGATGGATATCGACTTCGTGGAGAGGATGGAGTGGATGGGCGCTTTCTTTCAGCTGATATAGCTCGGGGAGACACCGATACATTTGAAGCTGTTGATTTCCTGGTGACAATGGGTGAAGGGCAGCGCTTTGGACCGGCGGCTGTAGATGGCGGAGGTGAGCTATATCTAGAAGTAACTTCTCTGGTTCGGGACCTGCGGGGGGTTCCATTCTTGTTTTCAGCTGCAACAAGTGGCTGTCTGGTAGTGTCTTCTGTATATTGCTTTTCTGACGATTTCTCTAATTCACATGCATCCATTCAAACTGTGCAGATTAGACCTCATTCATATCCTCTTTCATATACACTAACAAAAAGTATGAACATACTTTTTGACAGGCAATGATCTCTAAACCAATCGATTCATCAACACCAAGCAACGTCTCCAAACACAATCATTTCAGTTCTAAACCTGGACAAATGTGCAACCAGAAGTCAGATAACACAGATGGGAAACCAGAGACGAAGGAAGAAGAATAACAGATTAAACAAAAATATAAGGATCTTGAAGTTATACATCTCTACAGACACCTAGATCTTAATCAGATTAAACTTGATATCCATCCAACAGTTACAATAAGCCTTCCGCATAATCATCAGACTGAGTCAAATTCTCAGATCACAAGCTCCAGAACTTAATGATATTATCAAGGAATGAACAGAAAAGGCAGAATAACAAAAGTACAGAGAGTAAATAAAAATTACCAGTCAATATAACAAGCAGAAGAAAGCAGATGATATTGATATAATCTCACATAGTCAATTCCTACTATAAAGAGGAAGGAAATTGAAGAACTAAAGGTTATGATGAGAATGCACTCTGCTTTCTCAATGATATCTTTTTCTTTTCATTTTCTTGATTCCCCTTGTGTCCACGGTCCCAAATCTTTTGTCCTTCTCACGAGAATGCCATGGTTGGACTGGCGTAAGCTTGCAATTCATATATATACATACCCAGTAGAATCACATTAGCCCTTCTGGCCTGTCTTCCTTCTTTCCCCACTCACCTCCTTTTCATGAAAGGGAATTCACTGAAAATGATACCAGCACCAGCACCAGCCACCTAACCCTCGCCCACCACACACACACTCTCTCTCACGCACAAACATGCACAGAATATTAATTTCAGATTAAATGCTGTCACACAAAATGAACCTCTTTAATTTCTACCATACAATTGAATGAAGTGAGGAGTAAAAGCTTGATATAATATCAAAGTGAGGTAAAAATTACAGACTTGTATTGGGATCAATCTGATAATCAAACTCTCTAGTAACAAACAAGATACGGTTGTTTTCTAAGGGTTAATTTGTTTTGCTGTAAAACGAATTCCCAAACAATAACCAAGATTTCCCTCCACATGATATGCAAATTAAAAATGGAAGTATTGACAGAACACAGAAATGGAGACCACGTGCAGCAGAGATCATTGCGCAGTTAGACGAATTCAGAGGACAAAAAGCCCAGACAGCAAACAAAATTTAAATAGTTAATTAATCATTACTCAGCCATTGATTTCTGCAAATATCAAATATTACACTATCGATTCCAACATTTTTTTATTGCTCAACAAATATTAGTTTTCTAGAACACAGAAAAATCAAAATCGTCGGGAGTTTAAATCCATAATTACGTAACAATAGAACTGTTCTGAGCTCTGTCAGGATTTGTTCCGAAATTGACAAGCACATCTCCTAAGTTTAATAACTGAATCAACAAATTAAATTAAATCTTCGACGAAATCTCACATAAAACCCATCCAATCTCAATCAAAAACCACCAAACTAAAAATCGATCGCCCAAATTAACACACTGCAATCCATTTATTCTCCTCAGAAATGGAAATAACATTAATTTATCACAAAGATCATGAGCAACATACCTGTACATCTCCCCGCTACAAAAAACATATTTTTCCTGAATAAAAAAAAAAAACCCGAATTCGATACCCTAAATTACATATATATATACACACAGAAACGTCAAAATTCTCCCAGTCAAGGAATCAATCAACGAGTAAATTAGGGATTTTAATTACAAAAACTGACGTATAAATACATTAAATCGGAGGAAAGATGAAGTCTCCGTTACAGCGGAGGAAACGGCGGTTGTTTTCGCGCCACCTAATTCTCTATTTCTTTTTATATATTTCAATTTCGGTCTGTCATTATTTTGATTTATTTTCCACGCAATGTATGGACGAAAATACCCTTCTAGTCTCGATTTCTCTTTGATCCCAAAGTAGGTCAAATAGCAAGGGCAATATTGGTAAAATAAATTGTAGTTTTCTAGGAGTAGGTATGTAACTCTTTTATAATTATACGTCATAGTATAGACCAAAAATTGTAAAATAAATAAATAATTATACAATATTTTAAATCACATTGTAAATATTGATAATAAAATTTAATATATTTTATTTTAACAACTTATTATGCCATTTAATATGAACTCTATGATTTTTTTAATCCAAGTATATTAAAAATTGATTTATAATTATTTAGAACTTATTGTTAACTCTTACGTATAGAGAGTCGCTTTTATAAACGTATTTATTATTTAATTAATTATATAAATATATATATATAAAGTTTAAATATTGGGTAAAATTGATTTAATAGTCTAAAATAGTATTAAATTTTATTATCAATCATTGAAAAAACAAACCAATAAAAATCTTTTTAAATTAATTTCGATAGTATTAATTCTTTTTTTTTTTTTTTTTCATATTTAGATAGTGATATACAACTGTACATAACACAATCATATATTAATTAATTAATTAATTTTAAAGGTATTTAATTTATGGAAAGTGATTTATATAAATATCCTCACCATCAGGATATAGAAATTACAATTTAATCTATAATTACATCAAATTATATGGACACGTGTTAATATTATTAGAGGGTTAAATTGTTGAACTATGACATAAATTTGTTGAATGGTATTGCAAATTTATGTTAATGCTTATATATTGAATAATAAAATTAAGCATACAAATATTTTATAGGAAAAAATAATATAATTTTATAGAAATTACAAAAATTGATCTAATAATGAAAAAACTAAAACTATTAAAATAAAATTACTATTTAACTTGTTGAAAGATAAAATGCAGTTCAACAAAAATAATATAAATTATAAATTAATGATTAATGATTATTTTTTAAAATTTCAATGGTAATATATAACTACATAATTAAATATTTACATAAAATAATGATCAACACCAATTCGAATATCACGTGTGTGTATATATATATATCGTGAATTACTACTATTTTTATTTTTTATTTTTATGACGTGGGAACCCGCGACTGCTATCCGAAAGTGCGCACTGGGTAAACCACCTGTTGAATCTAATACCTTGCAAACCCGGACCGATGGAAAAGTCACACTAGGCGAACCATGCATGGTAAGTGACTTGAGGTGTCGAATGTTTGAATCCATGACATCACGGTGTGAATTACTACTATTATATATATATATATAGAAATTCATAAATTTTAAAAATTTAGAATTTTGAAAAAAGATATCATAAAAAGAACCTATATTTTTGGAGAATTCTTATTGTACTAAAAATGATAATAAAATTTGTATTGATCGATGAAAATGATTAGTCCTAAAAGCCACATCCAAAAATACATTGCAAAAATCAAAATAGATATTATATTATATAGTATTATTGCTCTATTCCAAGCCAAGAAAATAAAAGGACCACTCATACATAGCATTTTCAATTATATAAATTAACATATTGTCCACCCTTACAATATTTATGAAATAATTTAAAATACAAATAATTTAAAATACACATCATTGATGTAATTTATACCAACACATTCAATATCATATTGTTTTTGGATAAAAAATAAATTTACTTTCAAGTATCCAAATTAATAACAATAATAACTCAAAAAATCACATGCACTTATTCATTTTCAATTATTAGAAGTGACAAAAATAAATATGATCGAACACGACATAAAAAAAAACCATGTTTCGGCCTCTAAAAATAGGTCCGAAGATTTTCGGGTCATGCCTGAACCAGGACGCTAATGAATCGGGCCGTGTTTGGACTCATAAAGGTCAGACCAGCCCAAACCGGGCATGGAACAGTCCGTTTTTTAAAATTAATATTTAAATTTAATAAATTTATATATATATATATTAATTTTAAAAATAAAGACAAATTAAAATACGAGTTAGATCTTCCAGGCCCGATTTGCAACCGGGGCATGTGGCCCAACACAGTTTAGAATTGAGTCGGACCGGCCGGGCAAAGAAAAACCGAACCGGCCGGAATTGCCACCCATACCAATTTTTACTATTTCAAATATAGTATTCATAATAAAAATATATTATTCTTTCCAATAATACTTTAAAAATAATAAAACAAAGTTTTTAATAATATTTTTACTATTTTAATAACTAACATTCAATTACTATTTTACCTCAAAATTTTTTACATTATTTTCTCCAAATATATTAATTTTCAATTAAAAATATCACATCAAGCAACTAATTTATCTCGAAAACAAGATCGATGTCAATACTTTACGACTCCAACGGTTTGAGCCTTTCCAAACATCGACTCCACGACGCCCGCGTCGCAGAGGCCGAGATTCTGTGCTATAGCAAATCCGGCATGCATTCCATCCACGGCGGCGCTCACTATTCCACCGGCATATCCGGCACCTTCTCCGACGGGGTAGAGCCCTTTGAGGGAGGTACTCTCCCAAGTGTCACTTCTTCGCGAGATTTGAACGGGCGAACTTGTCCTCGTCTACGATAAAGATCGCAAAAAATTAACTTTTTACGATAACTTCACTTTAAGCATAATTTTGATGTGAATCATGAGATAGAGAAGCTAATGTACCTCGACTCCGTGAAGAAGGGCGCTGTCGGAGATGAATCCCGGCAACTGAAATGCGAAATCACATTTTAGAGAATGGTTTTCATGTCGAAGTATAAGAATCGACAAAAAGGAAACGATGCAAAACCTCTCGGTCGAACGTAGAAATCGCACGCTGCAAAGCTTCGGTGATGTGAGGTGGAAATAGATGGCGAAGATTCGCAGCCTTTACGCCTAATCGATAGCTTGACGGTGGTACTGACGTTGCTGCAGAACGAAGAACAGATTTGATAATTCTATGTAATGAAGCTCATTCGTCGTTTAATTCTATATAATTTCGACTCGCCCTTTCAGGAAAGAAAATTATCGACGTAACAAAGAAAAAGCAACGTACCAGACAATTTGTTGTCCAAAAAGTCTGTAATGGTTTGTACAGGAACGACGAAGTTGCCTCCGCCCATCGCAGCTGCTTTTTGCTCGAATGTTTTCTGAGGAATCAAGAGAAGAATGTTAAAAGAAATGAATTCGACCTGATCATGGAACGACACAAATTTACGTTTGATATAAGCGCATTAAAGGGACCTGAAATTGTACTCCGGCAAGAGGTCCGTGGAAATTTAGCGAGTTGAAATCAGGGGACGTGACGGTCACTACAAGCGCAGCATTCGCCCATCTAGACGAGCGTCGCGAGAACGACATGCCGTTAATGCAGAGCTCGGACGGGTCTGTGCTGGTGAGAACGACCTGCATACAAATCGAACCCTCAACATCATTCAACGTGGTTATCGAACACAATGGAATTATAAAACGTCGTCATTGAAAGATCGATCACTGAATTGCTATTACCTGACCTCCCGGGCACATGCAAAAGGAGTAACAACTACGGTTAATTGGCTCCGAATTAGAAGGCGCGCCCATTTCTTGTTGATTGATGTACTCGGCAATTCGGTAATCTGCCACAGGTACTTTACCCCGCCCGGCGTTAACCTCGTTGGCTAATTCAGAATACTGTGAAATAATTACACACAATGGCAGCTTAGCTAAAATGTCAAAAAAACATATGGAAGCAAAACAAAATTGACGATACATTTCCAGCAGAACTTCTTACCAGAAGCTGAATGCGGCACAAACAAATCGAAACCAAGTTGAACTCAAAAAATCACATTAACGATTTAACGGATTATTAGTTACTAGATAAAACACTCTTTAGTCGAATAAATAGCCATTTTGGATCAGCAAGAAGGATTGTAGAACTTGAAAACTTTCAACATGAACATCTTTAGTCTATCAAGCTAGCATCGTTTGAAACTATGGTATATTGGCTGCAATTTTAGCCTACAGTGTAAATTACCGTTATAAGATTTTGACTTATTTTTATGTTACATTGCGAAAAGGAAAAAGGAATGTAGACGAGAGGTGTTATGACTATACTTGAATGATGTACAATACATTATATAACGGTATTTATAGACACTATGTAGAGGTGAAAGTGCAAGGAGAAATCGAAGGGACAAAGAAGTTGAAACAAACAAACATTTAACACTTCTTGTAAAACACAAGCCTAACATCGATAAATATTTCTACTTAATATCTAACATATAGCAATTTCATTGCATTTTGAATCTTAAAATAATGGTAAGAGCCCCAGAAGACCATAGCACAAGCTTTCGTTGTTCAAAGTAAACAAAACAGTTCAAAGATGTCCCGAGGAGGTTTCAAATTGGAAGATGAATAAAATTCACAAAATAATCGTACAAAATGTGTCGACTAACCTGAATATTGTTTATCAATTCTTGGGGGTGTTCTATCCGCAACCCAACCTGTGGAATGTAAAAGCAATGCATCGATATTATATATTAATAAAACAAAAAGAGCCATACTATTGAGCATCAAAAAGTGGTAACAAGGATCGGTTAAAGTAACTCACAGCAAAGTCTTTCTGAACCAAATCCACATTGTGTGAAAGAAGCATTTGGTAAGTGTCCCGTGCAGAGTGCCCTACAGCAAGAACTATGGCGTCGTACCCGAGCATCTGGAAACTATGCTCAAAACCGTCACTTGAATCAGATATTTTAACACCAACGACTCGGTCATCCTTCACCAGCAGATCATCTACCCGAGTCCCAAATTTGATAGTAACCTAACAGCAACAATAAAAGAACCATAAGTAAGAAGGGTCGTAATAGAAACAACGATATTAACAACAAAAGGATCATTTTACAATACGAAAGGATCCATAATCAGACTCACACCCATCTCTAGCAAGTGCTGACGGAAGTTCCGGAGTAACGGAATTAATCTATCAGTTCCCAAATGAGGTTTCCCATCAACCAATATGCTGCTCGGAGCTCCAAAGCGGACCAATGTCTTTAGAACCTACAGAGACGGAAGGAAATTTCAAAGTGTCGTTGCAACATGCATAATCCAGGCAAGAGTAGTGTCTTTGTAGCCTAAAGAAGGGGAAAATAAAATTGACAAAAATGGCTCCTAACTGTAAGTAGAAAGAATCAAATGAATGTACAATCGGCAGTAACAGTCATCCTCGGACTCACTGTCAAAACACTGCTGTTGTTTCTTCCAATTCTTGTCACAAGTTTCCCATCGCTCCAAGTACCTGCACCACCCTGTTATATATAAGTCTTAATAATTGAACAGCCTAAACAAGAGCGACGAATACAGTGACATAAGAACAGGAAATTAGGATTCTCTTATTGCGATGGACCTACTTTGCAAATGGCCTATTGTAAAGTGACTTAAAATTGATTGAAGTTAAATTATCCTTCTGCATTCACTATTAAAAGCAAATAAAACTCAACTTTTAATTAAAAATAGAAGGCTATGCACTTGATCAATCAACCAAACTTGCACTGCTTAAAATTTGGAAAAAAAATGGGATAGAAATATGACCTCGCCAAAGCAAAAATTGCTTTCTAATTGTAGAATCCGACGGACCACCAAAGCGCCAATATCACGGCCTCGTTTTTCAACCGGCTGCCCTCTTTCCAGCAGTGTTACATCGGCACCAACTTCAGCAAGCACAAGAGAAGCAAACAAACCCGAGGGGCCACTGCCAACAACTACAACTTTGGGTTTTCTTGCAGCAGAGGCTCCCACACCTTGATTTCTGCGGACATCTTTTCTAGAAGATGCAGTTGCGTTTAGTTTCTGGTGATCACATATCACACTCATCACATCACCCGAAACTCTGTTGTGATGCAACAATTCTAGGCATCCCGTTTTCGGTTCCAATCCTGAAACAAACTCCCACGTACGAGGCTCGAGGCTCAGGAGTGTGTGAACATCCATATCCACAGTATATACAAACTTTAACTCCCGCTGCTGCTGTGTTATGTAGATCAGTAAGCTTTCTCAAGATCATCAATTAATTCTTTTAGGTAAAATATATATTATTCATAACAATCATAAAAGAAATTAAGCGAAAATGTAGTTTAACTATGGTTCTAAATGCATAAATTACCTAATCATGTCCACAAAGTTTGTAAACCACATTAATATGCAAGCAATCGGATGAAGTTAATATATACAGGGTGAAATACGGTACCTTGTGCATATAATATATCCGTACACCACAATCAAATCTAAGCCATCAGATATGTTTCTAGTCTACAACTCGGCAGCTATTACTATGCCGACTATAATTAGTCAGTAAATATATACAAGTAGCACCCGAGGTATAAACTGGCAACACAAGATACATGTTAATATTATACAAATAGAGCATAAAATGACAACACATAATAGTAATCTACGTACTACGATTGATTTTAGCACACAAGATATGTTAATACAACACACACATTAAATAAAACAGGCAGTGTGCTGTATAGATCCATTGAACTAGATTTCAATGCTGATTAGGGCTAATTGGCGTGATTACAGACCACTCCTCTACAACTTTTAGATTACACCATACACACCTACCCAAGACACAGCATTCTAGCTCTTGATTGTAATACAATTCCGATTTTTGCACAAGCTTATGCTTCCATTTAACAATATATCATAAACCTTCAAAACAACTTGAATTCACAATAGGTGACCGAATAATATCAATATTTCACTCATTATAACAAATAAAATGACCAGGGAAGCTCACAGAATCTTCGATTAATACAATCGTCAAATTATAGCAATTCATAACAACAATTTACATCACTAGTAAGGTATTAATAGATGCACAATTAAAACATAGACATAGACATACTATATATATATATAAAATCCCTCTGCTCATGAATTTTAACATACCTTCCTCGCATCAAATGATTTCCTAACCACAGTGAACGCCTCTGCCGGCAACATTGAAGCAACCTGCAAGATGCAATGGACAGAGTCAGTTTCCAGAAACGCCATTAACATAGTTAAATTCTTTCTAGCAATAAATAAATGTTCATCGAAACCAATTTCTTAGAAAATGAATTTCCATATAATTCAAATAATTTTCACCGGGAATTCGAGAATCTTAGCAATCTCTTGAAGCAATGCCCCCGACACTCCCCAGAAATCTTTCCCAGGGTCATCCTGTACAGAAACACCGAGCCCCGAAATCCTCCATACGCCTTGCAATTTTCTTTCCGCATCCACTGAATCCTGCTGTTGTGGCCTCAATTTCTTCTTCTCCGATGGGTACCTCAGCTTGCCGGTTCTCTTGCCCTTCTTCGCACATACTATACGGAAAGATCGAGAGAAAGTGGGTAATTGCTTGGAAATGGGAAACTGGAATCTGAAATTAGGATCTGAGAAGGGAAAATTGTTGGCTGCAGAAGCAAGATTGTGGGAGGAGATGAGCATCCTCGGGACTGAAGAGAACGTTGATAAGGTTTAGGAAATGAGGTTTTACACGGGGGTTTATCGAATAAAAAGGTTTTCTTTTTAAAAAATAAAAATATAGTACTATTCGATTGAAATGAGCTCAACTGTATCTCCAGATTTGATTTGAAAATTTTTACTCCCTCCGAAAATATTTTTTTTTTATTTTGATCCGTCCAAAAAAAATTTACTATTTTTAATTTAGTAAGTTTACTACTTATTTAACATAATAAATATTTTTTTAATTTATAATATATTATACAAATACCAAATATATTATTCAAATGTCATCACTTTTATATTATACTATATGAGAAGTATTTTTATCTTTTTTACTATAATTTAATATAATACTAATATTCAAAGATCTACCTAAAAAGGGACAATAGGAGTATTTTTTATTGGGATAATTTAATAAAAATAATATATTATTTATAAAATATTTTATTAAATTATTATTTAAATTTAATTTTTTTAAAAAAAGTCTCACAGCAAAGATGTACTTTCATTATAGGAAGAGAGAGTAAAAAAAATCTCACATGTCTATATGTTTTTTTATTTTACCTTCTATTATATTTTGTTTTTGTATTGTTTTCTATTGGTTTGTTTAAAATTATTGTTCAAAATTTTTTGTTGAATTGTACTCACTTCGTCCAATAAGTATTCATTTTTTCATTTTAGTATGTCTTATAATAAAATATTTATTTTATTTTTTAGTAAATATAATATCTGCTTAATATTACAAATATCCTTACGACTTATAATATATTATACACATGTCATTACTTTTATATCATATAATACTAATAAGGTTATTTTAGTCATTTCTATTTTATTCCTATTATATTCCAATATAATACTAATATTTCTAAAACTCCGTGCAAAAAGCAAACGAATATATAGTTATGGGATGAGGGGAGTAATAAATATTGTATATATGATACTCCCTCCGTCCCGAAACTAAGTATTTATTTGCTTTTTGTACGTAGTTTTAGAAATATTAGTATTATATTGGAATATAATATGAATAAAGTAGAAATGACTAAAATAACCTTATTAGTATGTGTAATATAAAGGTAATGGCATTTGTGTAATATATTGTAAGTTGTAAGGGTATTTGTAATATTATGTAGAAAATACAGTTACTAAAAAAGGAAATTGATACTTTGTTATCGGACGGACTAAAATGAAAAAATGGATACTTTGTTATGGGACGGGGGAGTATTTGTTATTATTTATAATACTTAAAACCTTGATTCGAAAATGCCCTCAAAATATTTTCAATGCACGGTATATTATTACTTCCTCCGTTTCACATAAAATATTCATATTTTTTATTTTCGTCTTTCCCACATAAGTTGTGTCATTTCTCATTTTTTTAAAAATATAATTATACACTTTAACAAATTTTAAATTTCATAATTTATAATTTTGTTATTATTAATTAAATTATTTCTTTATCTTAATTTTAATCTATAATTATTTTTATTATATGAATGATTATTTTATTAATATATTTCTTAATTACCTACTAATTATACTTTACCTAAAATCTTGTATCTACGAGTATATTTTAATTGATATAATTGAACATTGTGTGTAAATGGTTTCGAAAATTCAAAGCAAATGTTATATATATATATATATACCTTGTTAGGAAAACAACATATTAGAAATTATTGCTCCGTTTATATATGCTTTTTTGGGTGTTTTGAAGTTTAAATATTTTGAAGAATAGAAAATAAATAAATAAATCTTCAAGGTAATGTATTTTGGAAAAAAATATATATATTTAATGTAATATATATTTTTAAAAATATTATACATAATACACAAGAAAATTATTTTAGTGTAAGCAAACAAATGTTTCCAATTTGACAATCTTTTGAAGTTCAAGATTATTCAAATTAAAGTTCATCACGGCAATAGAAACTTAAAGATTAATTTATTAATAAAAATTAGTGTAATAATAACGAGTTTAAGGATAATATATAGTAACCTAAAAAAGTAAGATTAAGGAGGTGTTTGGTAAACGGTTTTTTCAAGAGCTTTTAGCTGTTTGACCAGCAAAATAGCTAATTTTGGTGTTCGATAAATTAATTTTTTCAATTAGCTTATTGGGTCCAAAAAGCTAATTTTAAAAAAGCTGTATATACCAGCGTTTCAAATTAACTTTTTCATTTTAATTTTTCTTATATCTTATTTGCACTTAAAATTAATTAATTATTTCACATATATTCCTATATTTTTTTTTATTACACTATTTATTAATAATTTAGATATATTTTCTTCTAATAATTTATAAATTTAAAATAATTATTTTTTATATATATCAATTATCTTATTTATAATTTTTTATTTTTTTTTGAATAAAGATAATATAAAATATTAATATATTTAATCAATTATATAGTATTTTTTATCATATAATATTTTTATTAAAAATTAATATATTTATTTAAATTATAAATTTAATGTAAATATATATTAATTAAAAATTAATCTAATAAAAATGCATATGCTAATAATAATTTTTGTTCTTTTATATTTATACTATTTCTAATGAAAAAAATATATATTTTTCAATAAGCTAGTATTAATTCTTTACAAAATATTTTTAAAATAATAAAAACTAATATTTTACTAAAATTTTTCTAATTTTTAAAATTAATAATAAAATTATAAAAAAGTCTACCAACCGAAAAAACTCAACTAAATATTTTGAAAATAAAATATAAAATGTCCTTAATTGTCATTTTACATATAGACAGCTAATATCAAACCGCTATTTTACTGAACACTTTAATACAAACAGCTAATCAAATCATCTAGTCAAACCAGCTAATCAAATCAGCTAACAGCTAACAACTAATCGAATCAGCTAACAACTAAGAATTATCAACTAATTGCCAAAGATACTCTAAATATGTAATTAGAATGATTACAATAATCTATTAAATATAAAAATTGGTCCGATTTATTATTATTATTATCATTTTATATATATATATATATATATAAAAGTAGTGTCATTATACTTTATTTTAAGCAAATACATCAATAGAAAAATTAAAAACTTATTAAAACCATTGATTCCAAAATGTAACAAAATTACATTTATATTCTCTTCATAACACATAACATACTAGAAATTAAAGTAAAATTTTCTCAAATATAATCCAACAAATAAAAATAATAAATTTAGCGATAAATTAAATCTGATCATAGAAGCATTTCTTGAATGCCGGCATATGATCCTCTTGAAGCCATATAGCCACATTAAAGGAGCCGTTCCCTTCCCGCCCCGGTATCAAAAAAGTTTTGCCGTCGAATCCCATCGGGCCGGGCCCCAAATGGATCTCGTTGCCCCACCCGAAATCCGTCCCAAATAGAGGCAACCCGGTCCAGCTTATGATAGCTAGATTCGGATTGCCGTAAAAATCTCCCTTCGGGCGACCATTGTTATCTAAGGACCTGAATCGGCCCACATCCGGCAACTCTTTAAGATATTCCAAATAGGCCCGGACCGTGTCATCAGTCACTTTCTCGACCTCTTCACGGATCCGTCGGGCGGCGGCGCCGATCGAATTCGAAAGGAGGCTTCCGGAAGTGTCGGTGGCCTCCACGCGGATCAAGGCGTTGCCAAAGTAATTTTGCGGCAACGCCGGAGTTAATTTGTTACGAAAATCTGCAACAAAATGGAGACTCGTTTGTTGGTCGGAGACGTGGCCGCGGGCCCGGCTCGTGCACCGCCAAATGTGGGCGGCCACCGCCTCGAAGCGGCTGTAGCTGCGGATTCCGGCGATGGAGGCCTCGAGATTTGCACGGCCGCGGAGTTTCTCGATTTGCGGTGCGGTGAGGCAGAGGAACGCGACGGCGATCGGCTTCCTCCGCTGTTCCAGGCTGTCCTCCTCCCCGATCAGCGTCGGCGGTCGCCGGAGCACCGCCGGATCGAATTTTGATTTCGGCGGACGCCCTGTTTCCACGACCTGACGGTCGAGGAATGGCGGCACGACGGCGCCGCCGCCGCCGCCGCCGCGGGCGAATTTCGCCCACTCGTCGACAAAATGGAGCGCGCTCGGCCCGTCGGCGAGGACGTGCGAAATGCCGAGGCCAATGCTGACGCCGCCGCACCGGAATCTCGTCAGCTGGACGATGACCAACGGGATTTCGTCGATCGGCGCAGTGTAGTCGACTGCCGGAATTAGCTCCTGGATCGCCGGCGTCGGGGTGAAGTCTCCGAAATCGTCGATTACCGCCTCTGTCTCCGCCTCGAAAATCGGCACGCCAGCGCCGTTGCACCGGAGCTCCACCCTGCTGCCGCCTTCCGCCGCCCAATTCAGGCGGCCGGCCAGCGGGTAGAACGGCACCAGCGCCTGACTCAGGGAGAACTTCAGCCGGAAAATGACGTCGACGGCGGCGAGGGCGGCAGACGGCCGGTAAAAGTAGATGGTAGGGGTGTGGGTAATGTCCTTAATTTGATCGCAGGAGTTTAGGTACATGATCTTTTCCGGCGTCGGTTCCGCCGGCCGGACGGCGTGAGTGGCCTTCAAAGTGGTCACCATTTTCGACGGATTTAAATTAATTAATTAAATCTTTTTTAAAATTGGAATAGAATTGCATAAATTTGATTTGGTGCCCTAATATATATAGTAGGGTTTTGCATACTTTTCATGCATGTGGAATGTTCACCACCTAAATGGGTAGATATACCAATTAAACAATTATTTTAATAAATAAAGTATTTAATTTAATATCATTAGAAAAATATATTTAATGTATTTTTATAGTACTCCATTCTTCGTGCAAATATATGTTTATTTGACCGGATACAAATTTTTAATAAAATTGAATAATAATTATTGTTTTTTCTTTTTATAATTAAAAGAAGTACAATAATAAAATGATTTTTTACTTTAAAAAACAATGAAAAGGGAAAGTGAACATATTTGAACGTGTGAGAGAATAGTATATAACAATAGTATAGTAACAAGACTAAAACTAAACTACAAAAAATTATTCATTAGTCTTTTTATTTTATTATTTAATCTATTTTTAAATATTACGACTACATTTATTTATTTTTGTATTTTGCATTTGAATAATAATTAGATATAAAAATTGCATAAAAATTCATAGTTTTATTGTTTAGTTATAAATCATCAAATATACTCCATCTGTCTCAGTATCTGTTTGTTTTTGCACGGAATTTTAGAAATATTAGTATTATATTAAAATATAGTAGGAATAAGGTAAAAATGATTAAAATAATCTTATTAGTATTGTGTGATATAAAAGTAATGATATTTGTGTAATATATTGTAAATTGTAAGGGTATTTATAATATTAGGTAGATAGTACACTTACTAATAAATACTTTGTTATAGGAGGGAGGGAGTATATTATTTGCAGTTGATTCATACCATATTTTTATTTTATTTTTTAATATTTGAGGTCAAATAATTTCAATATGAATCATTATTTAATAATAAAAATATTACTATTATTTTTAGGTGGGGAACTTTGGTCACAAACTAAAGTCCAATCTACACTTGTTATAAAATACTAAATAATCTATCTCTTTTATTGATCAAGGAAGTGCTCTCTTTTTTTTTTCTTTTTTTTTTTTTATCTTTCTTTTTCATTTAAAGTTTTTTTTTAAATTTTTTAATCAAAAAATGACATATCACACATATGATAGATACAGTGTAAATATGTAAAAATAAATTACTCCCTCCGTCCCCATTAAAAAGTTACTATTTTCTATTTTCGTCCGTCCCAAAACAAGGTTATCATTTTCTAATTTAGTATTTGTATTGTCTACTTGACATAATAAATACTCTTTCAACTTACAATATATTACACAAATGTCATTACTTTTATATTACACTATACTAGTCGGGGTATTTTTGTCTTTTTTACTGCAATCTAATATAATATTAATATTTAAAAATCTACTTGCAAACGCCACCCTTCCAATGGGACGGAGGGAGTATTATTTCTTTTGTTATTTTTGAATGTTTTTGTAAGAATAAATAATATATTTATAATAAAAAGTAATGTGTAATAAAAACTATATTATATTGAAAGTACACACAACAATAGATTTTGCAAATAAAATCTATGATTATAATGAGCTAAATTAAAATTTTTGGTTAGCATTTCTACCTTATCTAATGAACTTTTATCATATTTTAAGTAAACAAAGGGTTTCAATTTGTGTGTTTTTTATGTTATAAAGTTTTTTTGAGTTGAATATTATTTTTTTGTAAATTGATAAAATATATATAATATATATTGGATTTTTAATAATATTTAAATCGAGATCATGTCACTTAGAAAAATTATTGGATAAATGCACCCTAAATTCACCTTCCTTTATAAATAATTTATTTATCATAAAATGTTAAATACTTAACTATAACCATAGCAATAATTACAAAAATGCATTATTATATTTCATAAAATGTTAAATATAAACACTAATTTTTTTTAAAAAAAAAACCAAAAAAAATAAAATAATAATAAATCAAAAGAATTCCCTGTTGAAGTTTTGGAAGTTCTAAATAATAGTAAAAAAATGGAATATTTAATATGATATTTTTTTTAAAAAAATTGTCAATGCATTGAATATATTAAAAATGCAATTTTATTTTATTTTACTAATTACACCTAAATTTTGAGTGATTACTAAAATATAATAAATTTATATTATTTTAAATAATTAATTTAATTTTATAACTAATATTTTACATAAAATAAAATAAAATAAGTACTATAAAATATTTTTTTAAAGAAATTTTTTAATAGTATCGAAAGTTCAAAGATGTATGTAAATAGAGCATAAGTATGCGTGGTGCGAGTTTGCACTATGTTTGTTTGGAAGTTTGGATTTTGATTTAGGATTTGAATAACAAAAATTTTTAATTGAAATAATTGCACGATGTGATATAAATAGGTGTTGTTGTGATGTTTTAAATATAATATTGAGTTTTAGAATAATATAAAAAATAAAAAATAGATGTTTAATTCGATGTTGTTTTTGGAGAAAATTTTTGGATGAACAGTAGAATTTTACTAAATTTCTCAAACAAACACACTCTTGGTGGATATATATTTAATAATTTTATTAATTTATTACAAAATCTTTCTTTGTTTGACTTGAAAACGGCTGTCAGCTGTGCAACTAAAGTCAAACACAAGTTCCGCCGAAAATTTTTAGGACCTGGACGCCAGATTGATCAGAACCGTTAAAATGTGTGGTTTAGAATTTTAACGGTGAGGATTGATTTGGTAATTGAAAGGCCTGGAGCTTATACGAATTACCATTCAAATTGTACGGGTCAGAATTGTACTCTTTGACTACGCGTAAATATTTCTTACAAACTTTACCATTTCAAACTCGGGTAGGGTCACAATGTTTTGGGTCGGATCTGGACTCCGGGTTCCACTATGCAATAAAATAAATATATAATTAAATATAAATTACTATAAAATAAGTTCAAATGAATTATGAAAATACTCTCACTCTTCCGTTCTAATTAAAAATAATAGTATTTTATTAGTGAGTGAAAGTATATAAAAGATTTTAACATTTTTGTCGATTGATTTTATGAATAAAATAATGGTATGTTTAATGGTATATTTATAACTTAAGTAAAATTAAACATATTTTAATATTATTGTATTATTATTTTTTAAAAAAATAAAAATGAATACTTTGAGTGGAACAAACAAAAAATAATAAAAATAATATTTTGAAATAAGATAGTGTATCTTTTAGCATCAAAATGCATCAATCAAATATATTATTTTGTTTTCGGCTTTAGGTTGATAAAAGTTTTAAAAAATTTCAGCTCTTTATATATATATATATATATATATAATTTTTTTATTTTATATTATTATTTTGTTTTTGAAAAATATCATATTAAATTACTATTTCTTTTAGCACAATACATTGCAATAGTTTTATCTTTTTTGAAGTTTAAGTTTTAGTTTAAAAAATATTACTTTGATGATGAGATATTTTCTTAGGAATATTACTTTGATGATGAGATATTTTTTTAGGAAAAAAAAATAAAATTCATTTATCCAGTAACAATTATATTTATTTTAATTTTGGTACTTAATATTAAAATATTATTATTATTAAACTTATATTATACAACACTAACAGATGTATTTTTTATTTTTTTTTACGCCCACACCGGATATGGACCGGAGGGATTCGAACCCCTGACACCGTGGTTCGGATTTGAACCCAAGTCTCGCAGCCGTTGAATTCACTTTTATGCTTTCGTGACCCCTGTACGCCGAAGGCGCCCTTGGGGTGATCTCGTCACCGCCTTGTCAAGGCAGAAGCTGCGGGTTTTATTTTATGTATAAATATAATATTAATAATTAAAATTTTACACACACAAAAAGTAAATAAATATTTAATTAAAGAACGAAGATAGTATATTTTGACTGACAAATACGGGGACTAAAGAGTAAAATAAAAAAAAAAAACAAAAAAAAAATCGAAATATATATTTACAATATTTGAATTAAATTTTAGTATTTGATATAATATTTTATAGAATTATATATTTACAATGAGGTTATTTGTTTGGTGGGTTGTTGAGTATATATATATATATATATATAATTTTAATTTCATAGGAAGATGGATGAAGTAATCCATGTAATATGTTGAAGTGTGCCTAACAAACTAGGAGGTGGGTAGGTCACCTAACAGAATGACAGGCACGAGGTCCCGGGACCTCGTAGTCCAATCGTCTGGTTTAAGTATGAAAATTCATAGCCACCCGACGAAGAAATACTACTTCTAAAAATGGAAGTCAGCTCATAACGGATAAGATTTTTTATTTTTTATTTTTTACACTATAGTTTTGCATTACTTATATTTGAAAGTATCATGTTAAACAAATAAATTTTTTTATTTATTTTATTATAAAGACCCTTCTTTAAAGCAATAATAATAATAATAATAATAATATCAATATCATTTCAAATTTAAATTTATATTATTCATTCAATACTATTTTCAATAAAAATATATTATTTTATTTTTTTTTATAAACTATCACATTAAAATATTATTAGCCTCACTATCGTTTTGTTTTAAGTTAGTAATTGAGTTATTTTTTTATGATAGCTTGAATCTAATACTTTATTATAAAAAATAATATATTTTAATAAAAAATTACATACTATAATTTGTTTTTCTACCAACTTTAGATGAGTGACCAAGTAATACAGAGATTCATGATAAATATATAAATTAATAAATCATTAAATATTTATTTATAATATATCAAAAATATTTTCAAAAGATCATACTGAAAATACATTCATACCTTAAAAGGTTCAAATCATTTGACTTGATTACCTATAGAATATAAGTATATATATTAGCCACCATTTTTTAATGAAATAATATTGACTCTACTTAGATAGAGGTTATTTAATACAATGTTTTTTTAATAATTATTACTAATAAATAATATAAAACCTTTAATATATATTATTGGCATTAAAAATTAAATGTCTAAATTAAATTAAATATCATGTATTTCGAAAAAAAATAAAATTTCAATAAAATAAATATATGATATTTAATTATGCACATATATTATTCTTGTACAATAAATATCGACCGTTAACTTAAAAATTAGCTAAAAATAGAAGATATCGTACAAATATTATGTGCATAAATAAAACCATAATAAATTTGATAACAAAATATTTAAATTAAATGTAATTTGGACGATTTTGTATTTATAAAAATATAACACAATTTATATATATATATATATATATATATATATATATAAAGAACGCTTGATTGTAAATCAAATGAATGTGAACTTAAACGAGCTAAACCCACTTGAATTCATACGAAACCCTAACATTAGACTTTTATCCATAATAATAAAAAAAAAACTATAATTTAATTTGAATTGAATTTCAATATGATGATTGTGTACATGAGATAGTTTGATTATTATTATTATTATATTATATAATATAAATATATATTTGACATAATATTTTAAATAAAAATTAATTTTTACTGTAATAGAAAAAATATATAAATTAAATATTTTAAATGATATTTTTCAATGACAAAAATAATAAGTTATTATTATAGATAAATAAATATATGTTTGAATATAGAGGCAAATACCTAAGAGTAAGAGCAATGGCTCTTTTTAAAAGAAACCTCCACTTTTTAACTCTCTCCGATCAGTCAAAGTGAATCCAGCGTGTCAAAGCTACTTTGAAGGTGAGAGAAAAAATTAACACGCAATAACTTTCATCGATTCAAACTTCTCTCCAAATAAATTTTATTATTATTATCTAAATGCTCTTGTTAACATCCCCAATGAACTCTTCTTTGATTCCCGCAATTTGTCGATACAAATAATCCCATTTAAGGTTTGATTAAATTAAAGCTGAAATGATTTCAAGAAATTCTATTTACAAAACTTAATTGTCAAGTTTCAATTCATATTGTCGGAATTTTCATACAATTCTTGTGTTTATATACTTTACAGTTTAGCCTACATCAGGGCTCTATTCCGCAACAATTATCTTCAACCAAGACTGATCTCAATGGCCATAATGATTTCAAGATGTTCTATTTACAAAACTTAATTGTCAAGCTCCAATTCATATTGTCGGAATTTTCATACAATTCTTGTGTTTGTATACTTTACAATTTAGTCTACATCATGGCTCTATTCTGCAACAAATATCTTCAACCAGAACTGATCTCAATGGCCATTTACTTCACCTGGAAATTTCAAAGTCATAGAAGATACATAGCACGAACGAAATCAGACAAAGTTAACTGAGAAAGTTATCTTCTTGGTCCTAATGTCTCGGAGTTAGTCCAAAATTTCAGCAAAGTTTGCAGGTGGCATTTGATAAAATTGCATGTTTTCTCCTGTGCTTGGATGCCTAAATCTGGTACAAAGACAACGATCTTTAAGTACAACCGGAAAGATATATATATTTTACATTAATCTTATCTAAGTTAGCTAATAATAAACTTTTCTTGAGACTTAAAGCATCAAGGCATGGCCTCTCTAGTCTATCAACTGCAGTAGTCGGCAGTTGCCGGATCATCTTCGGCGTCTTCAACGGCCGCTCTTATAACGTGTCACTAAAAACATTCAAGACTCTGTAATGGTATAACAAACACCTTATGACAATAAATAAGATAAAAAACACATTATACAAGTTGGATCAAACTTACGAAAGATTCAAAATTAGCATCAAAACTTGCAAAATGTACCAAGAGTGTCGTTAAGGGCCGACTTATCATACACACTGGTGAAAAGCAATTGCCTCGAAGGCCTTTCAAGAGGATGAGATTCAGCAGGCCATTGGCATCCAAGAGTAATGAAACTCAAGCTTACATAATTAGTGGACAATCTAAATATGAACATATGCATCCATGTATAAATTGCAGTTTGGATAATTAAAGAGTCAATAATAACCTTGGCAACAATGCATTACCAGACTTCGTCTTCACTCAGCTTTGGTGTAGCCTGAAATAATTACCAACCATTTACAGTTTTGAACATAAGAAAACAACATATTAAACATGAAAAAAAACAAGGAGAATCAATACCTGTGACTAAGCTTTGCTGTCCGCGGGGTAATGTGTGATCAACAGGTTTACCACCAGTTAAAAGCTCCAGCAGGACAACACCAAAGCTATACACATCGCTCATTGAGTTTAGTTGTCCGGTCATTGCATATCTGCCGGTAACAAAACAATCAAGAGTAGTTGCAAATTGAGAATGTGAGAGAAAAGAAATAGGAAATTAGAATAGGGATGTGTGCGTATAAAACACATTTTGGCGCATAATATCCAAATGTTCCAAGGACCCCAGTTGAATGAAGGCGTGCTGCCATCAGGAGCTTGATTTATCAAATCAAAGTCAGCAATCTTTGCTGCATTGCATCATTATCAAATATCACTACATTGCTCGACTTAATATCAGAGTGGATGATATGAGGTTCTGCTTTTTTACAAAGATATTCCAGACCCTTGGCAGCACTAACTGTTGTTTTCACGGGTTACTGCCAAGTATGGACTGGACCAAGTTGTGCTCTTTAACACCTTTTCGTCCTGTAAATGCAACAATATACATTTCATTACATCCTGTAAAATCACCATGCATCTTCTGTGCTTTTGCCATTTTAAAAAACTTAGGAAGCCAAATGGGGACTGAGGAGTGGGGAAAACAAGAAATAGCTTCATGCATAAGCATTATGCACATATGTGTAAGACGTTCAAAACATGTCTTGTCTTGTACATGAAAATCTAATAATATATATGTTACACCAACTACATGTATATGCATTACAGGTAACACACCACTATCACATAAATCTTGACTTTGCATTATTACCACCAAAATCTTACCATAAACATATTCATGGCAACAAAATCTTACCCAGATACACAAACTTAGATTACTGCCGGTTTAATAAAGACATTAAACTTCATATTCCCGTGAATAACTTCGTAATTCTAAATTAATGAGCCATTAAGCAACTTTTATCTACTCCAGCAACTTAATGAACAACAAGAAAATTGAGGTATGTAACAGATTTTAAAAGAAGTTCAGGATTGCAGTGAACATCTGATTCTCAACACGAACTTAAATTAATATTTCAGTGTGCTTAACAACGAAAACCAAATCGATTCACAACAACAATTTCTAATCCAAGTTCCCCAAAAAGATTAAACATTACTCCAACTAATATATAACCATAAAAACAAAATGCCAACTTCCTACTCGAAGCAAGCCCCAGCTCTCCAAATTTTCAAATCAAAAGCTATATAAATATAAAAAATTCAAAAAACTTATTGGAGGAGATAATAAGGAGACAACCTCTTATGAAAAAAAAAGAAATTGACCCCGATGAAGGCGGGAGAAGGCTTCGGAGGAGGCAGGTCGGTGGTCGCTATGGAAGGAGAAGAAGAGGGAGGAGAAGAGGTCAACGGTGCCGGAGCTGGGTTGGAGAAGAAACAAAGAAGCCAGCGTGGCGGAGAGAGAGGAGTGGAGAGAGAAATTTGGCCCCGAAGTGGCTTCGTCTGCACCATGCCATCGTCGACGGCGGATCGAGGTTTGAACGTCGAATACGTCGCCGTTGCTGATAATTTATTTCGAGTTTCTGACAAAACCTCTTTGAAAGGGCCAGCGACGGCTTCTAAAAAGAGCTGTGTTTGCTGTGTTATACAGTGTGTTGTGTTTGGATATAATATGTGTTATTCTTTGTATTTTAAATACAAACTAATTTTGGATTATACAATTTATAATAATTACTTCATTCTTAGAAAAAATGGAATTCAAGATTTATTTTTATTAAAATTATCATATTGAAAAAATGTTTTTATTTATTTATTTATTTACATGTCTATAATTTTAAAGCTAATACAAAATATTATGTTAAAAAATATAAAGAACAAATTGTTAAACAATACAAGTTCCAATAAGAATCTTTCAAAATATGTGTTATTTTGAAATTTGATTTTAATTTTTATTTGAATAATACTTTTAGATGTAATATTTTGTAATTTTTTTATAAAAATTTGCTATTATTGTATAATAAACAAAATAAAAATAAATTCTAAAATATATAGAATAAATAAACACACTGGATTTGAGAAAATATAATTTGAATGAATTTAAAACGCATGTTTACATTTTCGGAAAATAGAAAATACATACACTGTTTGAGAAAATAATGCAAATATATTGAATCATGAAGGTTGTATAATTAAAAAAATAAACAAAACAAAATAAAGAAATATAATAATAATTTTTTATTATTATATAAGTAAAGTCGCTCTATTTAGAAAATGCGAGGACACATAGCCGTTGGAGTTCTGCCGACTAACGACTTTTTAAAAACTGGACCGCAACATTTTCTGATTCTTGCTTAGCAGAGATTCATCGTCAAAACAAAGATTTCATCGAAAGGTTCGGCCGGGGGTTTACTCGGGTGCGCATTTTCGAGTAGCGGCTGCGGATTTCACGTCATTAAAAAATAAAAAATAAAAAAAATAAAAAAATAATTCATCGAATCAAATTCAGAGGAAATCAATTGCGATGAAAACATAGAAACAATTACATAATTCATCAATGAAAGAATGAAATATTCGAAAACCATTACATCGAGATCAATCTACGTTCCTACCGTACCAAGTAAAAACCTCGTATTTTTCTGAGCAACCGATGTCCGATGACAAACAGAATCGTCGAACATTCGATCAATCGAACCCATCAATTTGTCGATAATTGTTCTTCGGGGAAAACAACGTTAGCCGGGCTGCAAAGATACTGCTTCAGAAGGCCAATTTCGTGCGCAACGTTAAGCATCGTCGGTCGAGCGACGGGACTGTGCTGGGTGCAGATCAGCCCGATTTCGACCAATTCTAAAATGATGTCGGTCGACATTTTCCGATCGAACGTATCAATTGTGCGTATCGCGTACCTCGTCATCGCTTCTTCAACGATCGGGCCGAGCCTGTCAGGATACTGTCTCTTCATCCATTCGGGCAGGCTCGACCCGGCCCGAAAAAGCTGGTCGGTGGGGCGCTTCCCCGTCACAATTTCTAACAAAAGAACGCCGAAGCTGTAGACATCGCCTTTCGGAGAAGCGTGTTTTCCCAATCCGTATTCTGCGAAACGGAGAGTCGATTGATCATAAAATCGTGCGATTGCACGGTCGTGTAATGTCGAAATAAAATTAAAAGGGGTACGTACCGGGGGCGATGTAGCCAACCGAGCCGCATAACAAGGCATCCGTCGAAGTGTACGACGACGATTCATTCGTCGACGACGAGCTCTCATCAGATCCTCCGACGAGCCTCGCGATTCCGAAATCGGTGACCAAAGCTGTCATTTTTTCGTTGAGAAGAATGTTGCTCGGCTTGAGGTCGCAATGTACGACTCTCACCGGAGCGTGGTGGTGCAGATAGGCCATCCCTTCGGCGACGTCGCTGCAAATTCCGACGAGCTGAATCAGGTCGAGGCGATGCTTCGGATCGTCGATCGGGTACAGATGATCGTCGAGGCTGCCGTTCGACATCAACGGAAGAACAAGAGCCTTGAAATCAGGCCTACTACAAGTTGTTATGATCTTGATCAAGTTTCTATGCCTTGTTCTTTTCAAGATCTGGCATTCCCTCTTGAAACTCTCTGAAATCGAAATCGACGTCTCCCCGCCTGACGGCACGCAGTCGAGAACCTTGACGGCGATCGCCGTCTTGTCCTTAAGAACTCCCTTGTAAACATGCCCGAATCTCCCCGACCCGACTAGGCTCGAGCTGCTGAATCCTTCGGTCGCTTCGACGAGTTGCCTCCGAGAAATTCTCGGATACTTAACCTCTTCCGACATAGCTTCGTCTTCGTAGCCAACATAATCATCGTTTCGTCTCAAAACCGGAATTCGACATGCGACCTTTGATCGAAGCATCAGAAGACATCCCAATATGCATAACATCGGAATCGCGAGCAACGACAGAAGAATTTCGATCAAGAAACGGCGAGCGTGCTTCGCCCGACACTTGCGCATCGCCTCGATCGAGCCGCATAACCTCTCGTTCCCGAGGAACGAACTAGCTGCGACGGACGAGAACGCGCCCTTATTCGTTACGTTTCCGGAGAATTTGTTGTAGGAGAAGTTCATCGTCTTCAACGTCGTCGATTCCTGCAAAGTCGCCGGTAACTTCCCACTCAACCGGTTAAACGACACGTCGATTTCTTTAAGATAAGGCAGGCTGCCTATGGCCGCCGGAAACTGACCTTCGAGGGCGTTGTTCGACAAATTCAAATGCTCGAGCGCAATGCAGCTTCCGAGCTGTGGAGGTAAGCCGCCGGAGAGGTTGTTCGAAGACAAGTCGATCGCGAGAACCATATCCATTTTACTTAGCTCCAACGGAACGTTTCCGGTGAGAAGATTTCTCGACAAGTTCAAGTAAAGCTTCAAACTCGTCAATCCGGCGACTTCCCCTGGAATCTCCCCGGAGATACCGTTATCCGACAAGTCGAGAATCTCCAAGTTCACGCATTGTCCGAGGCTCGGAGGAATGTTGCCCGATAAATGGTTATCGTACAACAATAGTCGCCTTAATTGTACGAGGTTCGCAAAGCTATCCGGGATCGTACCCGAGAGCCGGTTTCTCGACAAGTCTAGTAGACCTAACCGAGACATATTTCCGAAGGACGACGGAATTTGACCCGATAACGAGTTATTCGATATAAGCAACCTCTCGAGGCTCGACATCCGGCTCAACTCCGACGGGATGGAGCCGTGTAGGCGATTACTCGATAAGTTTAGAAGCGTCAAATTGACAAGATTCGAAATTTGTTGCGGGATCGATCCATGAATCAAATTGCGATCGAGGTTGATTTGCACGAGAGAGGAGAGATCGCCGACGATCTCCGGCAACTCGCCACCGAGATCGTTCCCTGCCAAGTCGAGCTCTTTTAGGTTAGTCGAGTTCGCTAACGATGCAAAAAATGGCTCGAGGTCGGAGTTACCGTTGTGGCCAGAGAAACGGTTGTTCGATAGGTAGAGAAACGTCAAGTGCGGCATGGCGCGAAAGATCTCCGACGGCAATTCACCGGTTAGAAAGTTCGTCTCCAAGTCGAGCCACTCAAGTTTCGTAAAGTTCGATAGAACGGGAGGAACTTTACCTTCAAGTCGATTCGACCATAGAAGAATGTACTGTAGCTCCTTAGCTTCGCACTGATCGTCGACGGGAATTTTTCCGACCAACGAGTTGTTCGAAAGGTCGAAATATTGCAAAACAGACGTCCCGTTGCACAAAATAGACGTCGGGATTTCGCCCGATAGTTTATTGCTTCCCAAGTTGAGGTACACTAATTCGCGCAACGATCCCATCTCCGTCGGGATCGTCCCCGTTAGATAATTCGACGACAAGCTTAGTTCTTTGAGCGCGATCGCCAAGCCGATCTCGGATGGGATTCGACCGGAGAAGAAGTTTCCGGACAAATCTAGAATCTCGAGCTTCGACAAGTGGAAGATCGCCGGCGAAATCGTACCGTGTAACGACTTATGGCTTAAGTTGAGCTCGACGACTCGATTGATCTTCTCGTCGCACGTAATGCCGGCCCAATCGCACCCGTCGGGCGACGGCGATCGCCAGCTGGCGATTGCGCCGGTCGGGTCGGCCGTCACGCCGGAGGCGAATGAGAGGAGGGAGGCCCGATCGGAGCGGGCCGGACTTGCCACGTGGCAAGAAATGATGGAGATAATCAAGAAAATGAGATCAGAGTTGTAGAAGGTGTAGTAAGGCTGCCCCATTTGAGCATTAGGGTTTTTTATTTATTTTTTATTTTTTTAAATAAAAATAAAAATTGGGATTTCGATTGTTTTGATTTTGGAATGAAATGTACTGTTGCAAAGTTTATATAGGAAATGTTGTTTGGGAGAGTGCCTAACTTTGATTTTTATCAAATGGCGCCTTACTTAGTTGACAATCCTACGTGGCATGTGTGGTGGTGTACACGTCATCATTTTAGGCCTAACTTAATTGTGTGATTAATTAGTGGATGATGACTTGTTAATTACGTACTTAATTAGTGAACAAGTGTGAAGTCAAATTAGGAGTTGTTTGAGCATAGGCAATGGACATAAATAGATTACTTTTATTTTAATTGAGGGTGTGTTCTTTTAATTTTTATTTTTTTATTTTATTCCTCAAAAATATTGATTTATTATCCATATTTATTATTTTTATATTTTTTACACAATTTTTCATACCTCATATAAAAAAAATATCTATTCTAATTTTCTTATAAAACTGATCATGAAAATTATGCAAATGGCTATTGTACATGCTCTTTGCTAATTGTGATTAATTAATATTTTTATTATAATTTACATAGTAATATATATTTTTATTATTCTAAGGATATGTTATTTTTTTGGTCCAAATTTTTTTCTATTTTAATTTTAATGTAAATAAGAGAATTTAGAAAAAATATAAGTATTAAGTAATTAAAAAGCATAATAGTAAAAATAATTATAATATAATAAAATTAATTATAAATTAAAATTAAGATGATTAAATGGTTTAATTAAAATTACAAAAATTATGAAATTTAAAATATAATTAAAGTGTATAATTATTTTTTTTTAAAAAATATATAAATTATATGAAACGAATGAAGTATTTTATATGAAATAAACGAAACTCGAAAAATAAATATTTTATATGGATATTTTATTTGAAGGAGGGGTGAATGATTATGATATGTTGATTTGTCTTAGGCTCTTAGCACATATAAAATAAACAAAAATATATATTTTTATTTAAAATAATACCAAAATTTCAATGTGTTTATTTGTTTTTTCTTTTTTTTTTTCCTACTATTTAATTCTTATGAATTTTTTAATAAAATACGGTATTATTTTTCTATTGCTAAAATTACATTTGAAACACTATTCAAATAAAAAATTTAATTAAATATTTGATTTGAGTATGAGTTTAAATTTTAATATAATAGCATTTTATTACAAAAAATTGTATATTTTTATATATTTAATAAAACATCGAGTAAATACATTCAACCAAATTAAATAAAACTAAATATATTGCCACTTGGGGGAACTTTTGTCCACTGAAATTCCATACGAACGTTCATATGTCACATTAGTGGTCTCGAATTTATTGTGGAGGATATTATTTAAAATAAATTATATATTATTGAATTAGTGTTACTTTTATTTTTTTTAAGTACACAATAATTAGTGAAGAGGTGACAATTTGAATCGATGTTTCTTTTTTCTTTTTTTTTTTTTATCAAAAAAAAAATGAATATATTGCTCAACAACTTATATGATCAAATAATATGATCAAAAAATGTATATATATATATATAATATTACGAATAGTCACATAGTGTGACTTGCTTTGTCAGAACTGCGAATTTCCACTTTATAAAAAAAATAATAATAATATAAATATTTTTTGATTAATATAAATTTGCCTAGTACTAAATTTATTATGAACATGGTGTTAATTCAACATATTATCAATGTCGAAAAATGAGTATATATTTTTGGTATATTTATAAAAATAATCTTAAAAATAATAATAATAAAAAACACAAGAAAACATGCGCTTAATTTCAATATTAATTATCTTAAACTATTGATTCAAACAATTACATGGTGCACTATTAAAAAATTAAAGTGATGAATAAAGTTTTGTCCACGTGCATTTTTGTCATCATTTTCACATACAATATATAAGTAATGGATTATTATTTTTCTCAAAAAATAAAAATAAAAATAAAAAATATATTCAAATTGTTTTATATAAAAATAATTAAATAAAAAACAATTAAAACTAGAGACATACTACTTTATAACAATTATTAGAGCACTATTGATTATTAATTATGAAAGAATATGTGAAAATGTAGCAATTGGCATTTTGGCTACTTAATTAAATAATGTAGCTTTTACATTTATTCAAAACATATACGCCATAATGTCTGCACTTAGGGAATTGACATTTATATTATAATTAGCACATCAAATATAAAGGCTCTTTTTTTTTTTTTTTTAATTAAAATAATATACTCACTGTGCTGATTAAATATAATGAGTACTATAATGATAGTACTGTAATATATACACAATACAATACATTAGATATAAATTTACAATATATTTATAAAATCTAATTAATAAGATATAATAATATTTTATACAAATATGTTGTCTGTAATATTATTATTAAATTGAAAGTTCCCACAAATTGAACAACAATTTGAAAGAAAAGATGGCATATCGATTGTTTAAGACAAGGCAACATGGCCGGATGTAGGTGGAGACATGGGGCAATTGACCCCAAGCCCCCCAATTTTATTTTTATTTTTAGTTTAAAATAAATAAAATTTGTATGAATATATTATTGTTCTTTAAAAAATTTAAATTTATTATATATTTTGTTATTATTTTTTAATTTAATTTATATTAATATAATAATTTTAATTATATATTATTTATATAAAAATATAATTTTTTATGCTAAATATAATTACTGTATCTCTTTGCATTATCTTCCGGCATTAAAGAGAAATCGAAAAAAATAAAACTGAAATGGTATATTAATAATCCGACTGACACATTTTTATAAATTTTGAAAATTTTCAATAAAAAGAAAATTAAACCGTCTATTATTGACGATTCACTATTTGAAATATGTTGAAGTCAAAATCGAACTATAAAAACCTAATACTTACTGGACAACTTCGTCACCTGACTTCGAAAGCTAAGGAAGTATATTTCTTTCATTATGTTCGATACTATTCGGACGATCACCTATAAATTATGTCACAACATATCAATACATATAAGCATTGTAAAATTTGACATTAGTTATGAGGTTAGGAAACTTTCATTCCTTTCTCAAATTCAGATTTATTTTGAATTTTAAAGACCAATTCATCTTTAAAAGGTCATATATATGGACATAAATCAACAGCTTATCGGATTAAGTCAATGCTGATTTGACCTGCTGGTTATGTTAAGTGTATTATATAGGCTGATATGGTCAAATAAGCACTATGTTGATTTAGTAAGATCAACTCAAAATTTAGAGTCATAATATATATATATATGTATATTTATAAATTGAAGTATAAGTAAAGACACAAAGAGCTGATGTCAATGAACCAAGGCAGACATATATATGTATTTAGCCAAGAAACACTAAGGATGGCGTTCGACTACGGTTCGACAAAACTATCCGGCGATCGGGATTCTTCACGAAGTTTAATTTCAGAATCCGAAAGAGTCTCAAAAACCGAGCATTCCCAGCATCATCTAGAACAGCGAAAAAAAAACCGTCTGTATGTTTATCGACTAAGAATGCCAAAAACTTACCCGGATCGATACTCCTCGTCATTTTCAGATATTATCGGGAGAGAAGCGATGGGAGGAAACTGCTGAAGAAAGTCATTCAGCGAATCATTTCTCGGCAACAAAGGCGCCGCGCTGTCCTTATTATTTGTCTTCAAAAAGCTGCCAGCTCCATCGCCATGTCCGGCGTTTGTCGACATGTTCGTCGCAAATTTGTCGTTCCCTTGATCAGCAGCAGATTCTTCCGGAGCAATGGGAGCAGCCATGGCCCCCGGAATTTCGAGTAGGCAGCAGAGAGAATTAACTTTTTTCATCAGCGAGTTTTCATCCAATCCCATTGCACGAATCGGTGCGTCGCTGAGCAAAGCTTGGGAGACGCTTTCAAGCATTCCTTGGTACTCCAACGCTTCGTCCGAGGGGAAGGTTCCGGAATTCGCTTGCTTCGAAACAGCGTCGTTGTTCGCGGGATCGGGAATTGCGCTTGGGATTTGCTGATTGTTCATTCTTCGGTTGGTATTGATTGTCGTCATATCGACCACTAGCAGCCACGATTAAAGAACATAGTCAGTCAGTGTATCAATGGTTCAAGCCGGGAAAATTGAACGAAAGAATTACCTGAGCTAGGCAAACCATCGCCTTTAGATTCTTCAGAAATCTCGGGAACAGAAGAAGTTTCTGGTTCCAAGCACGGCGAGTCAATAACTAATTCGGGTTGCTTGCTCAAAATAGCGAGGCGCGTGTCGCACTGTATAAGCTTTTCGTAATGCTTGTTCAACATGCCAGAAGAACATTCGATATAGTGTTTCCTGCGCAAAAACGCCAAAAATAGAAACGAGGTTTATTTTAAGATTGCAATAATGGCGGAGAAATCTTCGAGGGGACTTACAGATACACGCTAGCCTGTCCATCGGTAAAGTCTTCGCTCGCCTGCCAGAGAGTGTGTTTTCTGGGCTGCGGATTGGTCTCCCGGAAGAAGACAGGTTTTCTCGCGAGCTGGAACAGACAATGTAGAAATCATGTTTGGGAAAACTTGAAGATGCCGTAAGTAGTGAGGATATTTACTAAGGTAAAAAATGATTACCACGACGGTTAAACTGCTGGACTCATTCTCAGGAAAATCAGCTTTCAGACCGGTAATATCAGACCACTGAATTTCGATTTTAAGCTTGAGACCATCTTCAAGAACTTCCCACACAATTTTATGCTTGGCGAAATAACACTTCGCCACCAGATCGCCTTCGTATTTTGACACATACTGTCATAAATAACGACTGTCAGCATCACACAATGAACAAGAGATAATTAAGTCGATTGTATCCTATAATTTCCATAAGACAAGAATAGTTACCAATCAATACCAAGTTTCAAGCCGATTGCGAAAACAAAACCATAGCAAGACCTCGATCCATTTACTTTTCTCTAAGATTAGCAAAGCTATATACAAACAGGTAAAGAACATATTAAATCGAAAACTACCTCCCAGGTGCCGATTCTCAACAGCTTAGCAGGGAAATTTGAGGCCTTCAACTTGTCGTTAGCACTTGAAGCATTACCAGTCTTTGAATCTCTCTTTTTTCTAGTCTCTGAAACTCCATTAGAGGTCGCTGGAGTAGAAGCATTGCTTTCTTTAGAGATCTGCATCTGGATTAAGTCCAATAACGAAGGAGTTTTCCTAAGCTGCAAACCCAAAGGAGGGTCGCACAGGGGATTGTACGCGGGTGCTGGGGCTGCCACCAAACCAGTGTTGCAAGAGCTCAACTGCTTAAGACAATACAGAAAATGAGTGAGAAAAGGTTTTAATAAGCTCGAAAGCAGAGATAGAAAGTATAAACCGTGATAACTCATCTGATCGAAGCTTCCTAAATTGCAATGAAATGAAATCATTCATAAACGCTAAACGGCAGAAACTTAAAATGTCGTTTAAGGTAAATGTTAAATCCCAATTGATCAAGAAAACAAAGTCAAGTCTCCAATTGCAAAATCGCCAAACAAAGAAACCAATAAAAGGGATTAAGAATCATTGATGGTTATAGTTTGATCCACATTTATATCGACATACAAATCTCAAATCTCATTAATTATACGAATCTAGGAGAAATATCAACCCCCGACATCCACGTGGCACAGCTGCGGCTAGTTAGCTTTATGCCAATTGTCATGCCCCCGATCAATAAACAGACAAAACTTTAAACTCCAACGAACTAACCACGACAACAGTTATCTACAAGTATCATCGTACATTGATCTTCATGCATACATCAACCACATAAACTTACTTAGACGATGATAAAGATCGAAAATCTAGATAAAACAACATTACTAATTTACCAATGTAGGTAAAATTTATGAAACTATACCTGTTCTTTTAGGGCAATGCTTCTAACATACAAATCGAATAACATTACATCTACTCAACCAGATTTATGATCAAATGAGGCTATTCCTTTTTCAATCATCCTCAGTCAATACCTCATTCAACATACATCGAGAGCTAAACAGAAGATTAACACGCAAGATTTGTCTTCGTTAAAAAATTAAATTGATCATCGAATGTAACTTCAACAATTCAACCAATCGATGAACGCAACAACTCAAACTCAGACTCAACAATGTCGCAACTTAAAACCCTAGAAAACAAATTATCAAACAATTAAAAACATCTTGTAGGGGTTTTTGTTTACTCCGACGAACCTGACTGAAATGTGCGCCGCCCAATCGAGATCGTTTCGCGAGTGACCCATGCTCTTCCTCTACAAAATCCTCGACGTACTCGTTGTACAAAGATCTCATCAGCTAAACCATCAAACAATCAACCATTTAAGAACGGAAAAACACAAATGAAAATCTAAAAAAACAAAAACCAAATTGAAATTCACAAAACCTCCGACTGAAAATCTGAGAACTTCAAAACGTCCGTGATTCCCCTGAAACGCTGAAAATACGGAGATTGGGTGTGTATATGTATACAGTTAGCGAGGGTTTCTCCTCCCCCGACCCCGAGATTGTTCCGTTGGTTCTTCGGAGAATCAGAGGAGAAAGTAGGAGGATTTGTTGCTTAATGCTTACCAAACCAAATGCAACAGTCCAACATTTTTATAACGAAACTCTTCAATGGAATCCATCAGCCGTCTGAATTGACAGTTTTACCCTCGAACAGATATTCATTCTATTTCTAAATAGTAATTTTATGTACCAAATCAACCAACAACAACCCATGTTTGTCTACAACACAACAACTGCGGTCAAATAATTATGAGATAATAAAATCGAACATTTAACTAATTTGTCTTATTTATTAATTGAATGTTTCTTTTGCCCAAAATTTTAAATTTTTATTATTTAGACTCTGTTTTTTTTTTCGAAAAAAATATATTTTTTTTCTCTCACAAAATATTCCATCATATATTATTTTAATATTAAATTTAAAACAAATTTTTTTCAAACTCATATAAAAAAACATAAGTATATTAGTCAAAATAATTATGATTTAATAAAAATAATTTTATATTAAAATTAAAATGACTAAATAGTTTAATTAAAATAAAAATATTATAAATTATAGATTTTAAAATATAATTAAAGTATATAATTAATTTTCAAAAAAAAAAGACAAATTTAATAGGACAGACAAAAATAGAAATAGTGAAAAAATTAAGTGGGAGTGATTAAGTATAAATTAAACTTAAGATGAATAAATAATTTAATTAAAATTTAAAAAATTATAAAGTATGAAATTTAAAAGTAATTAAAGTGTATAATATTTTTTTTAAAAAAAATTAAAAAATATATGAAACGAACAAAAATAAAAAACAATGAATATTCTTTTGTATAAGGGAAATTATACTTTTTTGCCTTTATATTTAATTAGATATGATAATATTGACGAAATAAATATAAGTGATATTTTATGTTGGTCTATATTAGTTTGAATGAGATGCTTATTTTTTTAAAAAAATAATATATATTTATCGAAAATAAATATAAATACATAGTAAAAAATTTAAAATAATAATAAAAAATCTTTTAATACTTATCTAATATAAAAAGACAAAATATAGGATGAACTATTATTATACTATTTCATCTATTCACTTTAAAATATAAAATATTTATTTTATATTTATTTTTAATAAATATGAATTTGATTTTAAATTATACATATTTTTAAATTTTCACTTATTTACATTTACTTTATAACAACAATTTACATATTAAAAGTAAAATAATTTGTACATATGAATTATAAAATACTATCAATTACAAGTAAATATAGTCCTTCATTTGTCCTATATAAAATATTACATTTTTTTTTTCGTACATATCTTATTTCACCTTTTTTTTAAAAAGAAGAAAAAATAATTACATATTTTAATTGTATTTTAAATTTTATATATTTTTTATTTTAATTAATTTAATTATTTATTTTAAATTTTAATATATAATTATTTTTATTAAATTATAATTAATTTTACTAATATATTTTTTTAAAAAAAATTATCGTCTACGATAAATATCATAAGTAATTTTTATTAAACTTTGCATTAAAACTCTGAGTACTTTAAAACATAGAAAAGTAAGTATATAATTACTTGTATAATATGATTTTTATGACTAATTTTATAATTACAAAGTATTATACTATATTTACTTGTGAAATTTATTTTTGATTTTAATATTTTAATTTTATTAAAAAATATCAAATTAAATATTTATATTATTTATTATATTATTTTAAAATAAAATTTTATATTCAAAATATCACGTTAGATATTTATATTATATTAAACAATTATTAAATTTTAAAATTTTAAAATTAAAAGCAAAATTCAAAATCAAAATTCAACAAATAAAACTTATGATTTTATTAAATTACTTTAAACTTGGAGGGGTAAAATGGTAATTGCACATTGACGCGTGTGTTCAGACACCATTTTAGAAGAGTGGATAATGTGTGGGCCCAGATTCTTTCCCACCAATAAAAATAGAGAAAATGATTTAAATTAATTTCCTTATTAAAGGATTAGTCAACAAATTACAGACCATATATTTTAAACTTAACTAATTTGTAAAAATATACTTAATTAAAAAAACGTTTACATTATTTAAAAAAAAATTATTTTATTAAAAATTCACTTTCAATTCTAAAATTGTAAACATACTCAAATAAAAAGAATACTAAGTACACACATTTTCTATAATAGTACTCTCTCCATCTCGAAACTAAGTATTCATTTGCTTTTTACACGTAATTTTAAAAATATTAGTATTATATTACGATATAGTAGGAATAAAATAGAAATGACTAAAATAACCTTATTAGTATGTGTGATATAGAGGTAATGACATTTGTATAATATATTGTAAGTTGTAAGGGTATTTGTAATGTTAGGTAGAAAGTACCGTTACTAAAAAAAGGAAATAGATACTTTGTTATGGGACGGAGAGAATAATATTTTTGAATAAAATAAAATAAAATATTACAATACCAAATTCGAAAGAAATTCAAATTTTGAAAATATACTGTCAATTTATATATTATATTTATGTTATTTTAACAGAAATGGTATATTATCTTTTTATTTGTTATTATTTATATATCCAATACAATAGTCTTGTTTATCATTTTTATCCGTTTCAAAACAATAGTCTTATTTCTATAAATAACCATATCACCATAAAACTATCACTATTTTTTCATTATTATTACACAATTGCCACTACTTTTTACACTAATATACTCACGAGGCAAAAAAGTAATTTATCCTTACTTTTTACCAACTACCAATATAACATCAATATTCTTTGAATCTCATGCCCAACACAGTAAGACTATACTTCTATTTATTGAAAAAATAAAATAAAATAAAATAAAAATGAAGAGAATTTGTTGTATCGTTGAAGTGTAACAAATTGACCAAATATTAAATACCTATTAACCATAATTAGGTTGACTGAAATGTAAAATAAATTTGGTTATTAATACATTGACAATATTTATTGTTAACAATAAATTTGGTAAGGCCTAATGCATTAATTATGCATTACGTAATAAATATAATTCTATGTACTATTATGTACTGTATAATTTTGTATTTATATATATATATATATATTGGAAGAAACATATAATTAAATAACAAAAATGGATAAAAGTATAAGTAAAAATTTAAATTTGTACTATATAAGTAAAATTGTAATTGAATTTTCATTTTTTTTATTATTTTTTTAAAATGTAGAAATGAAAGTACTATTGTGTTTGAATTTTTATTTTTCTTTCACTTTCTTAATGCATATGTTATATTTAATTACTATTTAAATATCAAATATATAAAATATAAAAAAAATACTATAAATCAAATATTACAACATTAGTTTTTTAAACTTTACACTTCGGGTGTGTTTGTTTGGGGGTTTGGATTTTGAATTGGGATTTGAATAGTAAAAATTTTAAATTTGAATAGTTGTACGATGTGATATAAATAGGTGTTGATGTGATGTTTTGAATGTAAAATTGATTTTTAGTATAATATAAAAAATAAAAAATAGATGTTTGATTTGATGTTTTTGGGGGGAAAAAATTGGATGAATAAAGATTTTGCACAAATCTTACAAACGAACACACCCTTCATGTAAATATGAATTTAAATACTCACTCCATCGTCCTATAAGTAAATACTAATTTGCTTTTTGCACGTAATTTTAGAAATATTAGTATTATATTGGAATATAGTAAGAATAAAATATAAATAACTAAAATAACCTTATTAGTATGTGTGATATAAAAGTAATGATATTTATGTAATATTTTGTAAGTTGCAAGGGTATTTGTAATATTAGGCAGATAGTACAGTTACTTTTTTAAAAAAAAAAATAGATACTTTGTTATGAGACAGATTAAAATGAAAAAAATGATACTTTGTTATGGGACAGAGGAAGTACTTCATTCATCAGTCAAATTTAATCTTTTTTTTTTAAAAAAAAGTTTTTGTTATGTTTTTAAAAAGTTTATTATTATTATTATTATTATTATTATTATTATTATTATTATTATTATTATTTTAAACAAGTATATTGATGGACTAACTATAAATATACAATGTAGAAGCAAGAATATTGATGCATTTACCAAAAATATTAAAGAGTATTCAATTCAATTTAATAATTTTTTAGTAAGTAAGTATTTTAAATAGTATGTTTAATTTGATGGAATTAACATATTATTATTAAATTTAGTGGAGGAAAAAAAAATGACATAATTTTAATGGAGCTAGAGAATACTATATATATATATATATATATTTTTTTTGATATAAGATAACATGACATTTCTATTAATATTATATTTTAAATATAAAATTTTAAATGTAATACATTTTAGGGTGTGTTTGTTTCCGAGTTTGAATTTTGAGTTGAGATTTGAATAGTAAAAAATTTGAATTGGAATAATTGTATGATGTGATGTAAATAGGCGTTGATGTGATATTTTATATATAAAATTTATTTTTAATATTTGATTTGATATTTTTTTTTTAAAAAAATTTGATGAATAGTAAAATTTTGAGAGAATTTCTCAAACCAACGCACCCTAAATTAAAATATATAACGTGGGTAAGTTCTTTTTTGTTTTCCAAATCAATATATTTTATTTAAAAAATTAATGCATTATACACACCAATTATTTTTATATTATCTACTTAATTTGCTATATTTCATATAAAAAAATATCTTATCAAACTATTTCACAAAATATATTTTTGGAGAAAAATGTACTAGTTAATAAATATTGTTTTGTCGATATTTTACTAAAAAGAATGAGTGTATCTGGTTTCTACTCCAAACACAATCAGTACTATTTATCATAAATTTATAATAAATTTATATTATTATCATTTTTTATAAAATATTATATTAAAATGCTATTCATTTTCTTCTGGTTTGTATTACTAAAAATTCAGTGCCACTGAAACATATCACCTGGTAGACCAAATGACTACTAGCGAGTTTAAAACTTGGCACGATCGATATGGACATCCTGACAATGTAATGTTGAGGCAAATTGTTGAAAATTCAATTGGCCACTCATTGAAAAAAAAAATATTTTGAATCCCCAATAGAAGTTAATAATCAGACCATCTCCAAAAAAACGTTAGATTTGAATCCCCAACTTTTCTGTAAAGAATTAAGGGTGATATTTGTGGACCAATATCCACCGCCCTTCAAGTACTTTATAATACTAATTGACGCATCAACGCAATGGTCACACGTATGTCTGTTATCTACTCGCAATCTAGCTCTCGCTAGACTACTTGCACAAATAATTAAATTTCGAGTACAATTTTCAGATCACCCGATAAAGAAAATACGTTTAGATAATGCTGGAGAGTACTCATCATATACATTTGATAATTACTACATGTCAATTGGGATTACTGTGGAACATCCTGTTCCCCATGTATATACGCAAAATGGCCTGGTTGAATCACTTATCAAAAGATTGCAATTAATTGCTAGACCATTATTAATGAGTTTTAAACATCTCGTATCAGCTTGGGGACATGCCATATTGCATGCAGAAGCGCTCGTGAAAATAAGGCTGACAAGTTATCATTGTTATTCCCCTACTCAATTGGTATTTGGAAAAGTACCAAATATATCTCACATGCGAATTTTTGGATATCCTGTTTATGTGTCAATTGCGCCACCCCAACGTATGAAAATGAGACCTCAAAGAAGGTTGTGTATATATGTCGGATATGAATCACCATCGATTGCAAAATATCTTGAATCAACAACGAGTGATTTATTTACAACAAGGTTTGCAAATTGTCACTTTGATGAATCTCATTTCCCGACATTAGGGGGAGACAATAATCAACTGAAAAACGAAATTTCATGGAAAATACCACTTGAATTTGATCATCGTACGAAACACAGTGAACTTGAAGTTCAAAGAATTGTACATTTGTAGAAATTTGCAAATCAATTGCTTGATGCTTTTAATGATGCTGCCAGAGTTATGAAATCATATATTGCAGCAGCAAATACACCAGCTAAAATAAATATTCCAGAAGGGAAGATGCCGCGTGCTAATGAGTATATTGCCTGCGTAAAACGTGGCAGACAGTTGGATTCCAAGGATAAGAATCCACGAAACAAGAAAATTGTAAATACTTGTGAGGAGATCAACAATGATCATATACCTGAAAATGTCAGTACAACCCCTGAAGATATTGATAATAAAAATTCTGATGAAAGTGAGGATGAAGTTATTGAAACTTCTGTTAACTATACCACAAATGAAAAATATTGGAATAGAAAGAAAAAAATATTGATAATGCATTTGCATATTCTGTAGCACTTGATATAATGAAAGATGACGAGGATTATGAACCAAAATCAGTTGATAAATGTCTGCAAAGAGATGATTGAGCAAAATGGAAAGACACAATTAAGTCTGAATTGGACTCATTGAATAAACGACAAATATTCGGCCCTATAGTCCAAACACCTGTAAATGTAAAACCTGTTGGCTACAAGTGGGTGTTTGTGAGAAAAAAGATGAAAATAATGATATCACAAGATATAAAGCAAGGTTGTAGTCCAGGGTTTTTCCTAGATACCGGGCATTGATTTTGAAAAAACATATTCGCCGGTTATGGATGGAATAACATTCAGGTATTTGGTGAGCCTGAAAATACATAATAATCTTGATACGTGATTAATGAATGTGGTTACTGCCTATCTTTATGACTCCTTAGACAATGACGTCTATATGAAAATACCAAAAGGAATTAACATACCAGAATCATTCAAATCAAAGCCAAAAGAATCATATTCCATCAAATTGCAAAATTTTTTGTATGGACTCAAACAATCAAGCCAAATGTGGTACAATCATCTCAGTGAAAGCTTAACCAAAGAAGGTTACATTAATGACCCAATTTGTCCATATGTTTTCATAAAGAAAAACGGGCCTAAATTTGTAATCATCGCTGTATATGTCGATGATCTCAATTTGATTGGAATTTCTGATGAAATTTAGAAAGTTGTTGAATATCTGAAAAATGAGTTTGAGATCAAAAATTTTGGAAAAATTAAATTTTGTCTTGGTCTGCAAATTGAGCACTTGGAAAGTGAAATCTTCATCCACCAATCAAATTATACCAAAAGGGTACTGAAACAATTCCTGATGGATAAATCACATCCGCTAAGTACCCCAATGATCGTCAGAGCACTCGATCTAGCAAAGGATCATTTTAGACCAAAAGAGGAAAACAAGGAAACACTTGGCCCTGAAGTGCCATATATGAGTGCTATAGGTGCATTGATGTATCTTGCTAACAACACCCGACCTGATATATCATTTGCTGTAAATTTATTGGTAACATTCAGCTCATCGCCTACTCGACGACATTGAAATGAGATTAAGCATATTTTTCGCTATCTCCAAGGAACAATTGATCTCGGGTATTTTACTCGAAAGATTCTCAACATAAATTAATTGGTTTTGCCGATACAGAATATTTATGACCCTCATAAAGCGAAGTCTCAAACTGGCTATATATTCACTTGTGATCTCTTGGAGATTGATGAAACAAACTTTAACTGCCACTTCTTCAAATTATGCTGAAATATTGGCAATACATGAAGCTAGTCGAGAATGCGTTTGGTTAAGGTCAATGACTCAACATATTCTGAAAAATTATGGGTTAATACCTAACGATAAAATTCTCCCAACTACATTGTATGAAGACAATACTACTTGTATAGCCCAATTGAAAGGGGTTACATTAAAAGAGATAGAACGAAACACATTTCACCAAAATTATTTTTCACTCATGATTTACAACAAAATGGTGAAATCAATGTGCAACAAATTCAATAAGATAATAAATTAATGGATATATTAACCAAGACATTACCAACTGCTACATTTGAAAAATTGGTAAAGAAAATTGGAATGTGTCGGTTCAGGGATCTCAAATAATGCTCAGATCATGGGGAGCAAATAAATACAAGAATGGTGTACTCTCTTTCCTTCACTAGAATTTTTTTCTCCACCAGGTTGTTTTCTCTATAGTAAGGTTTAATGAGGCACATTCTCTGTGTAATAGCATCCAAGGGGGAGTGTTATATACATATATGCTTTATACGTAATTATGTGAATGCAACTAAATTAAACACGTACTGTAATTTTATTTGATTTATGTATGGTTAATTTTCAACCATGAAATTGAGTGGTGGAAATGTCTATATATACATTATGCATTGCAATGAAAGAAGAATAAGAAATCTTACCCACTTCTCCGTCTCTCGCCTATCTATTCTCTCCACATTCATACACATATATATATATATATCTATTTAAGCATTAACTTATCATCATCATAAATACATAATATACCTATATACAAGTCCATATATACTACATATTATATTACATTATATTATATCATATATAATATATAAAATAGTGGTTAGCGGTAGAAATAATTAATATTTATATTAGCTAATACTATAATAATATTACAACAAATTCTAATTTAAGCTTCTGAATGCATGATTTGTTCTCTCAAAATTCATTGATTGTCCAATCTTTTATTGTTAAATTTGTTGATTTTAAGGTCTGTGTGTGCTCAAACTAGCGAGGAGCGTGTCGCATTCTATAAGCTTTTCGAAACGATCATTCAACACAAAACAACAACACATTCAATATAATGTTTCCTGTCAAAATAAACGAAAAATTAATTTTATTATAATATATTTTAAAAAAATAAAAATTAAAGAGTGAGGGAAATTTCGAATAAAAGAGTTGCAATAATGGTGGCGAAATGTTCGAAGGGAACTTACAGACATACGCTAGCATTGCCATTGGTAAACTCGATCCTCGGCTGCCAAATAGCTTTAATTCCAAGCTGGGGATTGTCTTCTCGGAAGAACATAGGTTTTTTTATCTAGAACAAACAATGTAAGAATGAATTGATGTTCAAAACAACTCAAAGCATGTAGTAAGTAAGAAGTAAGGATATTACCGAAAGTAACAGATGGTTTACCACGATAATTAAATTGCCAGGCTCACCCTCAAAATTAACATCCAGACGAACAATACTATTCCAGGAAAATTTTATTTTACGCCGATGACGGTCATGGTAAAATTTCCACACAATTGTTCTTTTACCGGAAAGAAACTTTGTCTATTGAAAATTCTATTTTACGACGGTGACAATCATGGTAAAATTTCCACGCAATTATTCTTCTACCGGAAATAAACTTTGTCGTAAGATCGCTTCTATTTACAGAGTCATATTGAAAATTCTATTTTACGCCGGTGACGATCATGATAAAATTTCCACACAATTGTTCTTTTACCAGAAAGAAACTTTATCGTAAGATCGCCTCTATTTACAGAGTCATATTGAAAATTCTATTTTACGCCGGTGACAGTTATGGTAAAATTTTCACACAATTGTTCTTTTACCGGAAAGAAATTTTGTCGTAAGATCGCCTCTATTTATAGAGTCATACTGATATAAACAACGCCTTGGATTATAATACGTTCCTCTTTTCTAACAATTATCAAAACGAATAGTTACCAATCGATATCAAATTTTAAGCGTTTGCTTAAACAAAGACTTTTTATTTTTCTAAAATCAGCAAAGTTTATATGAAATTAAAAGAACATATATATTCAATAAGAAACTACCTTCCACTTGCCGATTCTCAACAGGCTAGGACTGAAATAAAGGGAGCTCGAACTCTTGCTAGAACTTGAAGCAATATAAGCGTCGGCAACAACAACAATAGCAGTAGAGGATGCCGTGGCAGCATCAGAAATATTGTCGGCTTCATTAAATAAATTTAATAGCTGAGGAGAATTATCCAAACAAGGACCGAGAAGAGGATTATATTTGAATGGAGCAGGCCGTGGGGATACCAAATTTGTAATGTTTCTTAAGCTCGACTGCTTAATTAATTACGATCAATCAAAACTACAATATTATTAATCATCTATATATATTACTTGCGAATCATTAGAAATTAAAATTGAAGTTCAAAATCATATAAGAATCATTATTAGATCGATCCACAATTATATCATCAAGATTTGTTTTCTTTGAAAAATTAAAGTAAAATTGATCGATCATCTTCAATAATGGAATTAATTGATTAATCAGACAAATTACCTCACCGGTGTCTTCCAATCAAGGGTTTTTAGGAAGTGTTATGTCATAATCTTTTTCCGGCGGAGAACCATCATCGTCGGAAGATTCCATCGGTTGCAAAACCATCAAACAATGAACCATTAATTAAGAAAAATAAAAAAATATCAAACAATAGAAGATCATTTATTAAAGAAAATGAAAAATTCCAAACGAAATTGAAATTAAAAAACATCCGATCAAAAATGCCGGTGGTGTGTGTTTGTTTGTAGGAGTGGAGCAAGACAAGCACTGCGACGATGTTTGATTTTTCTTCTATGTTTTTTTTTTTTTCCACAGAAGAGACGAAAGCGACAAGGCGGGGGCGTCTGAGACGGTGACGGCGGCGGTGCTACAAGACGAAGAAGGAAACAAAAGAAGAAAAAACGGAAAAGAGGAAGGAGTTTAGAAAGATGGAAAAGAATTTGTGTTGAGGAGATATGTTACAAAAGTACCTTTCCTTGTTTTGGCATATGTTACTAACTTTTCAGGGTATCGGAACTCGAGGACGACCCAAATATGGAATGCAGCAGACTGCTGCTGAAGACCTTTTGTATAGTATGTTTGTGCCCCTTTTGCACAGGTTTTGTCTGGATATGGATTGTCAAACATAGGAGAATGTTCAGGACAAGACAAAACAATGTTGCAAGTTTGTGGTGGCGCATTTAATACCCCAACATTGGTTAATCAAACACTGCATTGAGGCAGTGTGTTTGTTTGTATAAAAATACTGTGAAACAGTCTTGTGTTGAGAGTGAAAAATGGAGTCAAATCTAGTAAGAGAAAGAATGTATTTTCTCTCAATCTTTTCGTTTTCACTGCTTCTTGATCTGAAGAAGAATCTGAACTCTCATGGACATTTGAAGTTCATATAAAAATGAGGAAATGGATTTCCAATAGGAGAAAAAGATCAACCTGTACCCGCTTACTCTAAGTTAGACTGGTAGTATGCTAGGATTAAAACTGCGGTTTAATCTCTAGTTTCTTGTACATTGCGATGTAAAGAAGACTGTAGGAGATGATAGCTTTGGGTCCATGTTTGTTCAGTCACCCTTGTATACCTACTGATAGGTTTAGTGGACATCCCCTGTATTAGAATCCCCAAGATGTAGGTAGTTACACCGCACTGGGTTAACAAATCTTGTGTGCTGTTTGTTTTATGTTTAATTTTAGCCAGCCATAGGCAAATATCTGTGACACACACACAAGAGTTATAACCACGGAATAATACCACGTGTTTCCGAAGTGCAAACCCCTAGTGGTTTTCTATTTCCCCTGCCATTAGACTCGGAGGAGTTGACCTCTTATGTGTACATGTTCCAGTTCAGGTATTTCTTCTTACCCAACATGATATTATATATATATATTATTAGTGTGTATTTTTTTCAATTCGTTTTAAATTTATTTTATTAATTTTGACAAAAATTAAAGGGTAAACTATTTTTTTAGTTCCCTAAATGGACCCCTTATCATTTTAGTCCCGTAAGTGGAGCATGTCGCAACCTAGTTCCATAAATGAAAATTTTTCTCTGTTTTAGTCCTCTGGCGCCGGAGACGCCCGCGTGGCTCACCGGAATCCATGTGTCTGCCAGGTGTCTCGACAGGTCAGCGGCACCTGGCGGACACCTGGATTTTATTTTTTTTTTAATTTTTTTTCAATTGGACCAAATAAAAAAAATTAAAAAAGCAAATAAAATTAAAAATAAATTTAAAAAAAATGAAAATAAAATAAAGTAAAATCCACTTGTCCGCCAAGTGTCGACCCGACGGACACGTGGCCTCCGACGAGCAACGTGGGCGTCTCCGGCGTCGGAGGACTAAAACAACGAAAATTTCACTTATGGGACTAGTTTGCGACATACTCCACTTACGAGACTAAAATGATAAGGGGATCAACTTACGGGATTAAAAAAACAGTTTACCAAAATTTAAAATATTACTCCACCTTCCGGTTACCGTGTCCTTTTACTGTACATATAAGAAATTCGGAGAAATATAATTAGTGAAAATAATTATTATATAACTAATTCAAATTAAAATTAAAATAACTAATTAAAATAACTAATTAATTTAATTAAAATTAAAATTAAAATAAATTATAAATAAAAATTTTAAAATAAGATTGAAATTTTATTATTCTTTTTTTTTAAAAAAATGACATAATTAGTGGGACATATCGAAATAAAAAGATGAACATCGTAAATGAGACGGGAAAAATAATATTTAAATATTATTTTTTATTTAATATTTACTTAGAACAAATATTACTATTATTATTACACATTATTTATATTTTTTCTCTAAGTTTTATTAGAAATTTCAAAAATATCTTTAACTATTTTATATTTTTTCAATAAAATATTTTTATTTCTAAAAGCTAAACAAAATAGACTAAAATTGACATACTGAAAAAATGTTATAAGCTATAAAAGTATTATTAATATTAAATGGTAATACAATTAAAAATATATATATTTTGATTTTAGACGGATCAAAATTAAAAAAAAAAATTATGAATGGAAGGAAAAATAATTTATTAATACTTCGTTTGTGTATTAATTTATTTTTTTTTAAAAATATATACTGCTATATATTTTCATTTAAAACAAAAATTAAGCTCTTAAGCTATGTTCTTTAGTAAATTTTTTATAAAAAGATTTAATTCAAAATATTTTTAAAGCATATTTTGATATGCCTATAATAAAAAAAGTATTCTCGTTTTTATTTTAATAGAAAAATACTTTCTTGCTTTTTTTTTTTTTGGTTATTTAAAAGTTTCTTGTTTATTTTTTTAGTAAAAAATATTATCATTTTTCTATGGAGGAAGTAAATAATTGATATTAAAAAATTACACAAACAAATGAATACCTTATTATATACAAAATATTATTTTTTATACAAAAAATACAATTCCTCATCTAATATAAAAAAAAAATTTATCCATCCAAAAATGTAAAACAAACACACTCAAAATAATAGGTAATTATATTTATCAAAATCAAATTATAGTTAGTTGTGTTGATTTGGAGTTTGAATTTAAATAATAATTTTTTTTATTTCAATAATTATAAAATGCAAACACAGACTATATTTTTGTTTAAATAATTTATTTTAGAGATTTTAAAAAAATAGCAAAAAAATTCCAAAAATACAAATATAAACAAACTTATGATAATATACAAATTAAGTATGTATGCATTGAGTACAAAATTAAATCATCAAATAAAAATATATTGATAATCAAATTAGAAGTCTACATCTTTAGATTCAAATGTCTTTCGATTCTTTTGAAATCTCCAAACCAGAAAATACAGGTTTCGAGTCGAAAACTAATGTAGGATGCCGGCTCAATTGAGCAAGACGAGCGTCACACCGTATAAGCTTTTCAAAATGACTATTCAACACACCGGGGGAACATTCTATATAATGTTTCCTGTTTAAACAAAATAAAAATAAAAAATAAAATAAAATATAATATAATATGATTTTTAGTATAATATATTTCTTTTTTAAAAAAAAATTAAATTTGATGATTATTTGGAAAGAGGGAGAAGGAAATTAGACAGATATTAGAGTTGCAACGATGGTGGAAAAAATTTTGGTGGAAACATTTTCGAGGGACTTACAAATCGACGCTAGCTTGCCCATCGGTAATGTCGGAGCTCGGCTCCCAAACAGTGTGTTTTCGGGGCTGTGGATTATTTTCTCGGAAGAAGTTAGGTACTTTATCGAGCTGAAAAAGATAATGTATAATAAAATTATGTTTCAAACAACTTCAAAGCATATAGTATGTAAGAAATAAGGATATTTCCGAAGGTACAAAATAGTTTACCATGATCGTGAAACGGCCGGGCTTATTCTTAGGAAAATCACCTTTTAGACCAGTAATATTATCCCATAAAATTTCTATTTTACGCTTGAGACCATCTTCGAGAAATTCCCACACAAGTTTACGCTTGGCGAAATATAATTTAACCACCAAATCGCATTGGTATCTTGACTCATACTGTCATAAACAACGATTGTCATGTCAGTATTAAAACACATTTAGAATCAAAAGGAGATATAATTAAGTCGATTCTATCATAAAAATTTGTCATCTCAATTTCCATAGCAAAACCTCATTCTATTTATAACTTTTTTAAAAAGAATTAGCAAAGCTATATATATACCAATAAATAAGAAACTACGTAGATACCTTCCACGTGCCGATTCTCAACAACTTAGCAGAGAAAGTCGAGGCCTTGAGCTTGTCGTTAGCCGTTGAAGTAGTAGCAGAAGCAATTTTAGCCTTTGGCGCAAAAGCAGAAGCATTGTCGTCTTCGTCGAGCTTCAACTGGATTAAGTTTAGCAGCTGAGGAGTAATATCGAGGTTCAATTCCAATGGAAGTTCCCCTTTCGGATCGAACTGATCGCGTCGTGGGAGTACCAAACCATCGCTATTTTGAGACCTCGACTGCTGCAATTCAGCAAGATGACAAGAGCGAAATCTCGAATTAATTGAGCAATCACCAAACAAATAAGTTGACGATCAGCTGTGATTTTAGAAAAAATTTCACATTTATCAATTTAAAAATAAAATAAATTAAAAGATTCTATTTATTAAAAAAATAATAAAATAATATTCAGAGAAAATTATATATTTTAATTTATAATTTTTTAAAATTTTAATTAGACTAATTAGTTGCGTTAATTTCAATATATAATTATTTTCACCAATACAATTTTTAATTATTTACTAATCATACTATTCCTAAATTCCTGTGATTAGGATAAAGTGGATATAACATGAGTAATTTAAATTATCTGGATATAAGTGAAATTTTAAATAATTATTTATTTTTTAGGTAATAATGCGATTTCAAATTTTAAGCCAGCACTCCAAACTATTATCAAATTATGCTATTCATAAAAAAAAAAAATTTCTCCGAAAAACATCAAATCAAACATATATTATTTTATTTTTTATATTACAGTAAAAATTAATTTTAAACTTCAATTCAAAACTTTACTATTCAAATCCCAAATGAATATCCAAACCCCAAACAAACACGCCCTATATGAATCTTAACTGGAGAAAATAAATTTCCACACCGCATTTCACCCCTGATATCTAATTAATTCATGTCCTATCCCCGACGTTGATCTTCATGCATATATATATATATATATATATATACTCAGACAACGATAAAGATCGAAAATCTAGATAAACAACACGTCTAAGATTTGGTCTCCTTAAAAATTAATTAAAAGTAAAATTAAATCGATGATCGAATGTAGGTAGCACTTCAATTCAATAATGCAATGAATTCATCAAATTCAAGCAATCGATGAACAAACACAACAACTAAACTCAGATTCAACATCAATTATTTCTTATAACCCTAAACACATTAAAATACTCAAAAACAATTTAGGGTTTTTGTTTTGTTTGATTAAAATTGCCCGAACCTGAGGCTGAGGCTGAGGCTGAGGCTGAGTTGAATGTGCGTTGTCCAATCGAGGCTGTTTCCGGAGTGTCGCATACTCTTCCTCCATAAAATCATCGAACAAATCGTCGTTGAAAGATGCCATTAATTACCTGCTGCACAACCGTCAAACATTAATTAATTAATTAATTAAGAAAAATAAAATAAAATAAAAGAAGAAGTGTTATTAAGAACGAACAGTGGCAGAGAAGACGACGCTGGAAGACGAAGAAGAGAAAGAAGAAAGGAAGATGAGGGAAGGAGAAAACAAAATAACAGAAAAGGAGAAGAAAGAAGGTGAAGAATGAATGGCTGATCGAGGGGGGAAAAATATATATATATATATATATATAATTATAATTATAATTATGATTAAAATTATTAATATAACAAAATTACATGATTATAGGATATATTGTTGAAAATTTGAATTTTGAATGATAAAATTTTGAATTTAAATAATTATTTGATATTATGATATTTTGAATTTTAAATTATTTTTTTTTCACTACCAGAAAAATCAACATAAGCCTGGAAAATTAGCTTCGGAATTTAAAAAAAATTCGAAACTATTTTCTAAAAGTCTCAGAATTTGTCTCGGATAGCTATCCGAAGACTAAAACTCGTTGCCATTTAAATAGCTTCGGAATTTCCGAGACCCAATCCAAAGCTATATTAAAAATCAACGGCTTCGACGGCGAAGGCGTTGGCAGAATTTCCGAGACCATTTAATAAAATAAAATATATTTTTAATCTAAACCTCCCAAGTGGTGCAGAGTTTTGTTCTTCCAAAATTTGCTAATTGTTCAGTCTTTTATTGCTAATTATTTTTCAGTCTTATACTCTATTGTTGCTTTCAAATGAAGATAGAATATTCCCCAACAAACATAATTTTAAATTCAAGTGTCTTTAGATTCTTTTGAAATATTCGAATCACAAAATTGTGGTTTTGTGGCGAGTCAACGATTAGTCGTCATGGAAAATAAAAAGTTAATTTTTAGTATAATATATTTTAAAAAATTAAATAAATAAATAATATTTTTTAAGGAATGTAAGAATAAAATTATATTTGCAACAATTCGAAGCATGCAGTAAAAAGTGATAATTTTTTTTTTAAGGACTTCACCATCAGATCATTTATGTCTCTTGCCGTATGCTGTTATAAACAACGATGTGGGATTGAACATGTATGTTTAGAAGTGAAAAAAGATTTAATTAAACAGCTCGGCTCACTTGATCGAATACGCTCTTTTTTTCTAACAATTCTCAAAACAAATTCTAGTTAGTGTTAATTATGGGCTTATACATATAAAATATAAAATAGATTTTTATGATTTATATATTTGATGGCTGTTTAAAATGTAGTACTCTTTCCGTTCTATATACAGTGAAAATATTTGATTTTCAGCACCATAATTTATGTGGAAAGTCTTAAATAAAATAAATTAAAAATTATGTGATAAGATAAAAGAAAAGTATTTATATATATTAAACTGTGTGATAAAGTATAATTAATTATTTTTTATTTTGGAACTATTGCATACTATAAGGAACAAACTAAAATTTAAAATATTACAGAATTTGTATAACATATGAAATATCGTGCTTATAAGTACATAGAATTTATATCGAAAATTGTCCAATACTTTTAAGTATCAGTGCAAATTAGTAATCTACTGAAATAATTACACATATTTTATGCATGTTAGTATTTTATCTAAATAACTACACATGTTTTATCCATGCCAATATATATATATATACACACACATATATATATGTTATGCAAGCTCTTGTTTTATTTATTTGCTGATCGTTTTTCAGTATGAAATTCTATTTTCCCTTTCAAATGGAAAAAAAATATTTCTCAAAAGGCAGAATCCTTACGTTCGTTCATGTTCCTTTAGCTTCTTCAGAAATATCCTAATCAGACGATTCCGGTTCTGCGGATGGCTAATCGCGAACTAATTCAGGTTGCAGGCTCAAATGAGCGAGACGGGCATCGCACTTTATAAGCTTTTTGAAATGCTCCTTCAACACACCATGGGAGAATTCTAAGTAATGTTTCCTGTTCAAAGAAAATTAAAAAAAAATTAATTTTTAGTATAATATATATATATATTTTAAAAAAATATCTTGAAGGGACTTACACACGTAAGCTTTCCTGTTCATCGGTGGTAGAGTTGGAGTTCGGCTGCCACTTAGGTTGTTTATCGACCTGGCATAGATAATGTAGAATAAAACTATGTTTAGAACAACTCGAAGCATGTAGTAAGTAGGATGTAAAGATATTTCCGAAAGTAAAAGATAATTTACCACGACTATTAAACTGTCGGGTCCATTCTCAGGAAAATCGCCTTTCAAACCGATAATATCATCCCACAAAACTTCACGTCTATACTTGAGACCATCTTTGAGAAGTTCCCAAAGAATTTTACGCCCCGTGAAATCAAACTTCACCTCCAGATCGTGTTCGTTTCTTGGCACATACTGTTATAAACAACGACGGTCAGCAATACATTGGATGAATTTTGATTAAAACACATTTAGAATACATTCTTTTTTCTATAAAATCTCAAAATGAATTTTCCGTCACAATTTTCACAAGACAAGAATAGTTACCGATCTATGTCAAATTTCGAGCGTTTGGGAAAACAAAACCATAGCAAGACCTCATTCGATCTCCTTTTCTTTTTCTTTTTTCTAAAATTGGCAAAGATATATACAAATAGCAAAAGAACATACTATTAAATAAGAAACTACATTATATACCTTCCAGACGCTGATTTTCAACAGCGTAGCAGGGAAAGTCGAGGCCTCGAGCTTGTTGTTAGCAGTTGAAGTAGAAGCAGAAACAGAAGCAGTGCTAGTGTTGTCAACAGTAGCAGCAGTAGAGGATGGTGCAGCAGAAGCATTGCCTTGTTCTACGAGAAACTTAACTAAGTCCTAAATGAAACAGCAAACCACAGAAACTTAATATGAAATTGCAATGAATTGATCAAGAAAACAGAGTCGAATCTTGAATTAATTGAACAATCACAAACCAAAGAATCTAGCTGATGATGAAAGGGAATCATTGATCGTTATCTAAATCTCATTAGTTAATTGATTAAGTATACATATCTAGGAGAAAAGAACACACAAGATTTGTTTTCTTTGAAAAGTAAATTAAAATTCATCATCGAATTGAACTTCAATGCAATTAATTCCTTCCTTCCTTGTGCGTCGAATCAAATTCAAGCAATCGATGAACGAACGCAACAACTCAAACAATTGATTAAAACCATCGATCGATCGATCTTGTAGAGAGAGGTTTTTGTTAATCGAATAATTACCTCAAGGGATTGTGCGTCGTTCAATCGAGATCGTTTCAGAAGTCGCCCAAACTCTTCCTCGGAAGAATCGCCAGCGTCGGAAGATGCCATCAGCTGCAGAACCGTCAAACAACTAACCATTCGGTAATTAATTAAGAAAAATAAAATAAAATAGAAGAGGTGTTATTAAGATTAACGAACCAGCGACGAACACGAACACGGGCAGAAGAAGGTGGAGGAGGCGGCACGGCGACGGCGACGGCGCTGGAAGACGAAGAAAGAAATGAAGGAAGAAAAGGCGGGAAGGAGGAAAGAGAAGACAAGGAATGAAGACGGAGAAGATTAGAAGAAATGGGTGATCTAACTGGTGTGGGTATATATTATTAGACCTGAATATTTTAAAATTGCGTAAAAATAATAATTATTTATAATTAAAAAATACAAAAAATAATAAAAGTTTTTGTGAAAATAATTTTTTTTTATAAAAAAAAATATATAAATTTAAACGATGGAAAAATGATATATAAATACCATTATTTATTAATATTAAATTTAAATAAATAATGATTGATATAGATTATAAAACGAAAATAACTCAATATTTTCAATATACTAGTTTTCATCACGTGAAAAATTTTCATATTACTTTATATACTAGAGTTTAAAAAAATATAATTAGTGAATAATTAATAAATATATGAGTAAAAATAATTATTATATAATATAAAAAATTATAAAATATTAAATAATTTAATTAAAATTAAATTTTTTTATAAATAATAAAATTTAAAATATAATTAAAATTTATAATAATTTTTTAAAAAAAGAACATAAGATGAACAAAAATATAAATAATAAAAATTTTATGCCAGACAAATAAGGTAATATTTATTTAGTTATTTTTTACTGATAAAATCTGTTCTAATATTTTGGTTATATTTATTAAAAAATATGCTCACTATATCTTATAAAACTTCTATTTTTTAACTATGCATTCAAATGATATTTTACTTTCTGTATCAAAACAAAAATGCATAAAATTTTTATTTTAATAGAATTTTGATATAATCTTTTTATGAAAAAATAAAATATTTTTTATTAAAAATAATAAATATTATGTTTGTATGTCCAATTTTTTAAAAATTATTAAAGAAAGCAAATCTTTTGTGCGTGTTGTTTATATATGTAGATTTTGGATCTTTATATTGATGTAAATCTGCATGAAGGTGAATGTAGGAGGAGGATATTTGTACATAATTAACTGTTAATACTTATATTTGTATAAAATAATCATATGTTATATGCATGCAAAATATTTATGCTAGACAACATATAATACTTTTTTTTTATTATTAATTCGAATTGAATTCTAATATAAGCCTCTCATGTTATGCACTGTTTTGTTCAAAAATTTGTTGATTATTGTTCAGTCTTTTATTGCTGATTGTTTTTCAGTACTATATCCTATTGTTGGTTTCAAATGAAAAGAAAAAATTTCTCACCAGACAAAATCTTTAGATTTAGGCTCCTTTAGAATCTTCCGGAATATCCGAATCAGCAGATTCTCGATGGCGAGTCGAGAACTATTCAAGTTGCTGACTCAAAAGAGCGAGGCGCCTGTCGCACTGCTTAAGCTTTTCGAAATGCTCGTTCAACACACCAGAAGAGCATTCTACATAATGTTTCCTGTTCAAATAAAACAAAAAAAATTAATCTTTAGTATAATATATATATATTTGAAGAAATTTTTTTCTTTTTTTTTGAGAAGACTTACAAAGGTAAGCGTTCCTCCTGCCGAGCAGTAAAGTCGAAGCTCGGCTGACAGTTAGGTTGTTTATCAAGCTAGAAAAATGATGTAGATTAAAATTATGTTAAAATAGCTCGAAGCATATAGTAAGTAAGAAGTAAAATATTTTTCTGAAGTAAAAGATAATTTACCATGATTGTTAAACTTTCGGACCCATTCTCCGGAAAATCGCCTTTCAAACTAGTAATATCATCCCACGAAAATTCTACCTTATGCTTGAGATCATCTTTGAGAAATTCCCAATGAATTTTACGCTCGGAGAAATCAAACTTCACCTCCAGATCGATTTCATTTCTCGGCACATACTGTCATAGACAAAGACTCTCAAAACAAATTCGCCATCACAATTTCCACAAGACAAGAATAGTTACTAATCAATATTAAGTTTCAAGCATTTGCGAATGCAAAACCATGGCAAGACCTCATTCGATTTACTTTTCTTTTCTAAAATTAGCAAAGCTATATACATATATATATATATATATACAAACAGCAAAATAACATATTAAATAAGAAACTAGGTACCTCCCAGGTGCCAATTTTCAACAGAGTAGCAGGGAAAGTCGAGGCCTCAAACTTCTCATTAGCAGTTGAAGTAGAAGCTGAAGCAGTATTAGTAGCAGAAGAGGATGCCCCTGCAGCAGAAGCATTGGCGGCATCTTCATCGATCTTCGCCTGGATTTGGTTTTGTAGCTCAGGAGTAATATCAAGCTTCAATCCCAAAGGAGGTTTGTCATGGGGATTGAACTGATCATGTGTTGAGAATACCAAACCAGCATAATTGGTAGAGTTCGCCTGCTTAATTAAGATCAAAACGAAACAACATTCATCATATACATATACATTACTTACAAATGAGTGAGAAAAAGGTTGGAGTAGAAATTAAAAATAAAGTGCAGAACCAAATAGAAATTAAATATAATCTGCAATAGCTAGCTCATTTGATCGAAGCTTTTAATTCTTAAATGAAACAGTAAACCACAGAAACTTACTTAAAATGTTGCTATGGAATTAATGGTGCATAGTTATTCGATCAAATTACATGTAAGGAATATACTTAATCTTCGATCAAACCACAGATATGGTAAAGCATATAAATCACATGGTTAATTATTCGATCAAACCAGAGAAACAAACTTAATTGATCAGAAAAACAAAGTCAAATCTCCAATTAATCGAGCAATCAGGAAACGAAGAAGCTAGCTGCTATATGAAAGGGAATCATTGATGCATGGTTATTCACTTATTCGATCCACGTTTATATCGATTGAGATCTAAAATCTCATTAATTAATTATACGAATCCTGGAGAAAAGAGAGAAAAGAAGACGGAAGGTCTGTTTTCTTCAAAAGTAAAGTAAAATTAATGGTCGAATGTAGCGTAACTTCAATAAATTATTTCATCAAATTCAAGCAATCGATGAACGAACGCAACAAGTCAAAACCTCAGGCTCAACAATGAAATTAATTCATCAAATTCAAGCAATCGATGAACGAACGCAACAAGCCAAACTCAGTCTCAACAATGCCTGCCACATAATCTTAAAACCTAAAAAACAAATTCACAAACAATTAAAAACATCTTGTAGAAGATATTTGTTAATTTCATCAGACGTGTTACCTCACTGGAATGTTCGTCGTCGGAAGATGCCATCAGCTGCAGAACCGTCAAACAATTAACCATTAATTAATTAATTAAGAAAAATTAAATAAAATAGAAGAAGAGCTGTTATTAAGATTAACAAACCAGCGACGAACACGGGAAGAAGAAGGCGGAGGAGGCGGTACGGCGACGGCGGCGGCGCTGGAAGACGAAGAAAGAAAAGGCGGGAAAAAGGAAAGAGAAAATAAGGAATGAAGAATGCGTGACTTGTGAGGGGATATTTTATATATATATATATATAAATAAAATTATTATTATTTATTAATATTAAAGATGTTCTAAAATTTTGATTGTTCTGCCTTTAATCACACAAATCTTTCGATAAATTAATAATTGATTCACTTTTTAGTTTGACCCACTCAAATTCTTTAACCCAATCCATTGATTCAAATCCAAATCCAAACCCAAACCCAAACCCAAACCCAAACCCTAACCATAAGCCAGATGCTTAGTTAGAAAAGAAATAATTTTAAAATACCCAGAATCTTGATATACACGTATAATTTGAATTTAACAAAATAACAACCCACTTGATTAATAATCTTTTTCCTTAACTGAATTTAGTTATATAAACACGCAATTTGCGTATGTATATATCTCTATCCATCAATCCCCATGGCTTAACAAAAACCCTAAACCCTAAGCCCTTAATTACATAGATAGTTATAAGTTACAACCTAACGTACCAATTCATCGATTCTTTCCCGGCTCTCTAAATTCTCTATTCTATTGAATTTCAGATCGATCCTAATTATGATGTATTTGCCTGACGATCTAATCTTTGAGATACTGTCATGGCTTCCGCCGGAGACTCTTATCCGCCTGAGGATCGTCTGCAAGCTGTGGTACTCGACAATCGGCGATTCCAAATTCATAAGTAAGCATCAATCCAATTTCCGGCGCAGCAAAAACAACATCGGCCGCATTGTAATCCCCGGCAGGGAATCAATCAGGTTTGGTTTCATTAATATACACGAGGCTTTGGCGTCACCTGATGAACACAATTTAAGTGCAATCTTTGGAAATTGGGATGCTTTTGAAGGAGAAGAAGAAGTTTTACGTTGGGATATTCACGGTTTTTGCAATGGCGTCTTTTGCTGTAGTAAATCCGGAGTATCCGATCATAATCGTCGTCTGTTTGTATGCAATCCTTGCATCCGGCGTTGGATCTCGTTTCCAGACACTTATAATTCACCAGATTATTATGTGCATTACGGCGTCGGCTATGATTCAGAAATAAATGATCACAAGATTGTGAAGATTATCGGACATGGTAGATCTGCTCAAGTTTTTTCGTTAAAGTTGAATTCATGGAGAGAAATAGAACCTCCGGCTCGAACTGCGATGATCTATGGTGAGTCGATTTATATGTCCGGATTTATCCACTGGCTTTGTGAGCCATATTCATCGAGGAGATATGTAATATTGCTTTTCGACGTTGTAAAGGAAGTTTTTGGTGAGATGGAATTGGCAATAGAGAGTGACCTGTGTAGCTCTAATGTTGGCGCTCGGATTGCCGATGCCGATGGTTTGCTTAGCGTCATGACTTTGAAGACTATACCGGACTTGGTCTGTGAGGTGTGGACGATGAATGAATACGGAGGAGTTTGGATTCATCGGCTGAGACAACAGCCCCCTTGTCATAAAATGCTTGTGTCTATAGTGATAACTATTGGATGCAAGATATTTATGTGCCTCAGCAATTTTATTCCTCTTGTATTTATCGACGGCGAACTACGGTATTTGAAAAGGAATGATCTCATAGGTACATTGATTGTGCTCGACCTTGAGACGCCAGATCATATCTATACTTGGGGTCGTCGACTACCTAATTCTGGTGCTCTTGCATATCCCATTGAACCTACTCTCCAACTTCTCGACTGTGTTGCCACTGATGGATAGAGATTCATTGATCGATAATTATATATATATATATATGCATGTCTATTAGATCGACTATTTATCAATTAAGTTTCTCCGGTGCTCAGATTAGATTATATTTCATATGATTTACTTATGCTATGCTTTTGATTTCATTTTTTTCTTTGGATAATGTGGAAATTCGCAATTGCTATTCGAAAGTAAACTTTCGGCCGAACTTAATACAGTAATATTATGTAAACTAGATCCGACAAAGCAAGTCACACTAGGTGAACCATGTGTGGCAGGTGGATTTTGATTTGATAAAATATCGTCCATTACATCAGTCTGTCCATTACATCAGTCTACGAGGGTGTGTGTGTTTGTTTTTGATTTGATATCTGTATCGCGATGAGTTCACTTTTCGAATGTGATGTTTTGACCTAATTCTGCCAAGGGTTACACAAATTTCGTATTGGGATAATACAAAGTTTGATCTCGAATTCTGATAGAAAATATCCAGACAAATGAAAGCTGATAATAAAATGTGTGCGGTGGCTATATAATTTCTTGCGAGGATAAAATCTCTATAGATTTTGTTTATTTTCATATTTATGTATCTCGGCAATGAGATAAGTAACCTTTCATTTAAATTGAAAAAACACAATTGTTCAATTTAAATTTTAATTTTAAAATAAATGAATATGTTTTTCAATTTAAAATAAATTGATGTATTGATTTAATTCAAATAAAAGTTTGGATTCATAATATAAATATTATTAGACACATAAATTCATAAATAAACACAACTTTTGAAATTAAAAATCTAGAGATAATTCCAGAATAGTCCGTAGTGTCATGCATATGACTTTGTAATGTTAGGTAGATAGTATAGTTACTAAAAAAAGAAATGAATATTTTGTTATGAGACGGACTAAAATGGAAAATGGATACTTTATTGTGGGACGGAGGGAGTAATATATTCTGTTCCATAAATTGACTAAGACCGTATCAATAATATGTTCCAAAATTTGTGTTACTTGTCAAAATCATGTCAAAACTAGCTTCTTCGAGTGCACATTCCACGCATTCATTTAATCACAACATTAATTAATTTCGAATAAATCTAATTATGCTACAATTATTAACAGTTTTGTGTTTTTGTTTGAAAGAAATTTTTTTTACAAGTGAAAATATAGATAAATGCGAAGGAAGTATAAAAATAATAAGTATGTACTATATTAATTTTTTTTAGAGAAATGTGTTAAATGATAAACAAAGTTGATACCGCTTTTAGCTTTTTGATCCGTCAAAAGCTATTTTAACGGAAAAGCTATTTAAGGGAATGTTTGGATATTAGGTTTCACTTGATTCGATTAGCTATTAGCGAGTTTAACTAGTTAAATATATTAGCTACTTTTACTAAAGTATTTGGTAAAATAGTTGTTTTGTTTTAATTGTTTATACGTTAATGATATATAATTAAGGATATTTTATACTCTCTCCGTCGCATGTACGATATCTACTTTACTGTACATACGGGAATTTATGAGGAATATAATTTAATTAGTAAATAATTAAAAATATATTAATGAAAATAATTATCGTATAATAAAATTTATTATAGATTAATAAAATTAATTATTCTAATTAAATTTAAAAAATTAATTAAAATTTTTAAAATAAGATAAAAGTGCATAATTGTTTTCCAAAAAATAAAAACTACCTATGAAAAATGAAAAGGTTGACATAGTAAGTGAACAGTAGTATTTTATTTTTAAAATATTTAATTGTGTTTATTTTTGTGTAAGAGTTTTAAAATATCTGTTATTAGGTATTGAAAATGTTATTAAAATATGTACTTTTTATTTTTTTTAAAATATTTTGTACAAAATTGAATGATGTTAAAACATCGCCAAACACACATTAAGGGTGTTTAAGTATTGAATTTATTTTATTTAATAACATTTTAACTACTATAAAATGAATATAATTAATTAATTATGTCGTTTTTTATTTTTAGTGCAATCGATGCATGATATACAAGTTTACTTACTTACAAATTGTTTAAACACAACCCCAAAAAAGAATATTTGATACCGAATATTGCAGATTCGAGTGGATTCGGTATCAAAATTCCTAAAATATGTTTTTTTTTTTTTTTTGCCTTATAATTGATTTATATATAAAAACAGTTATTTATTCGATTGTATTCTACAGTTCGATCGGGTACGTTCGTCGATGTCAAGTTTCAAAGGTTTTCGAAAACAAATTAAAGAAGCCATAGAAATAAGTTGTTCGATTTTTTAAATTACTGTTCTATTCAATATATAAGCTAAGAAACTACCTTTCAGCTGCCGATTCTCAACAGCATGGAAAGTCGAGTGACATAATTGTGGATATCACATGAAGCAGTATTAGGCTGCGCAACCGTTCCTATTGTTGGGGATTCTCGTTTGCGGATAAAATTAATAGTTGTTTTTTCTTAACGATTTGAGCTTTTAGGTGATACGGTCTAGGTTTCGAGTTTGAATCCCATTATAATTAGGAAATATTACTTTTTATTTTATCGATATAATTTTTCATATGTCATGTATATAATATATATATATATACACTAAACAAACAAACCCGAATTTCATGTTCAATTTTAGTTCTGCGCATGGCATGCACATGTCTAATTACCTATTTATTTATTTTAATTCGAAACTAGATACAAATTCTTCAAGTCTTATCGTATGTGTAGTATATGTGCAGTTGTTTAGTAACCTCTTTAACCAATTTTCATTTTTATCTTAAAAGAAAATTAATTTTCTTGTGTAGATAGTGTAATCATATGACTGAAATATATATATATATATATATATATGATTTGACCTAGTTGTTTACAAAATTATATATACGACACAAGACTTAGGTAATAACCATTTAAGACGTTTTGCTTGAATAATATTTGAAATGTATATTATCGATCTTATGTTTTAATTTGAAAATAATATTTTTTTGTTAATTCTAAGTGAATTCTTATTTAAGCCTCCCGTGTTGTTCTCCCAAAATTTGTGTTATTGTTCAGTCCTTTATTAATTGTTCATCAGTCATGTTCCATTCAAATGAAAATGTAATATTCTCCGGGAGTTTGCATCTTTAGATTCAGATGCCTTTGGATTCTTCGGGAATCTCCGAATTTCGAAGGTTTTGACTCCGAGGATAGCGGGTTCGGAGCTAAGGCAGGCGATGGGCTCAACTGAGGAAGACTTGGTTCGAACTCCATAAGCGTAGGGTAATGGTTGCCCAATACGCCGGGAGAGCAATGGAGGTCATGTGTCCTGGTTAAAGGAAACGAAAATTCAAGTTTCAGTGTAATATATTTTGCAAAAAAAAGTTGGTTTTTGGGGAGGGGTGAGGGGAACTTCTAGGAATATAGTTGCAATAATGGCGCAGAAATCTTCCAAGGAGACGAGACTTACAAGCATTTGCTAGCTTCTCCCCCAGTAAAGTCAGCACATGATCGCCACGTAGCTCTCTTTCTGGGTTGGGGATTTTCTTCTACGAAGAAATTAGGTTTATTACGGAGCTGAAACAACAATGTAGAATGAAATGAGTAGTGTATAAATAATAAAAAGTAAGGGTATTTCTCCAGGTAAAACTTGTTTACCACGACTGTCAAAGTGTTTTTCCAATGATCGCAGCCGATACCCGTAATATTCTCCAAACCAAATTCTATTTTATGTAAACTGATGTTGTCGATATAACATTCCCAGGCGATCAATCGCCTGGACTTGATGAATTTTCCGGTAAGTTTTCCCGTGCCTGCGGATGTGTACTGTCATAAAAAACAAGATCCACATCAGTCAGCAATACATATGGGATCGGATGGATGGATGGATGGATGGATTAAAAATGTTTCTTTTATTTTTTCTTTCTTTAACAGTTTTGAAAATGAATATGCCGTTACAATTTCCAAAAGACAAGAATAGTTACCGATCAATCAATAAGCATTTGTGAAAACAAAGCCATGGCTAGCCAGAACCCGTTCGATTTACTTTTTGTTTCTAAAATCAGCAAAGTTATAATTTACAAACAGCAAAAGAATATATTCGATAAGAAATAATTTAATTAGTACCTCCCAATTTCCTATCACCAGCTTGGTAGCCGGAAAAACCGGGGACCTCTTGGTAGGACTTGAAGTATTTGCAGTGGTACCAACAGAGGATATCGCATTGTCGATTTCATTGGGTACTTCAAATGTAGCAGGCAGCGGGGGCAAACAAGACACAAAGAAACTACAATATTATTCATCATCTATATATTACTTGCAAACGGTAGAAATGAAATTTGATGTTCAAAATCAGCTCTGCTGCTGATGAAAGGGCTTAAAATCATCGATCGATCCACGTTTATATCATCTTCGAGAAAAAGAACAGGCAGGATTTGTTTTCGTTAAAAATCAAATTGATGATCGAAGCTTAATTCCTAAATGAAACAGGAAACCACAGAAACTTAAAATTAATGTCGTCAAGGAATTAATTAATGGTGCATGGTTTTCCGATCAAACTACATGTTATAAGTAATATACTTAATCTCCGATCAAACCACATAAACGGCAAAGCATAGAAATCACATGGTATAATTAATTATTTTCTATTTTGGAAATGTTGCAGGGTGTTTGGGACATAAAAAAAAAAAATATATTGCACGGTATTTGAGACAGAAGGAATAGTATGTTCTTTTGTTGTTTGTATATATATATATAAATAAAATGAGGTCTCTTGCTATGGAAATTGTGACGGTGAATTTGTTTTGAGATGAACTTAATTAAATCGTTGTTCTCTTCTAAATGTGTTTTAATACATCCATTCGATTCGATTTGTGTTGATGATTGTTGTTGTTTATGTCAGTACGAGCCAAGATACCAATCCGATCTCGTGGTGAAGTTTTATTTCATCAAGCGTAAAATTTTGTGGGAATTTCTCGAAGATGGTCTCAAGTATAAAATAGAATTTCAGTGGGATAGTATTACCGCTTTGAAAGGCGATTTTCCTAAGGATAAATCCGGAAGTTTAACGATCGTGGTAAACCATTTTGTATATTTGAAAATATCTTTACTTTTTACTTACTATATGCTTCTAGTTGTTTCGAACATAATTTTATTTTACATTATCTGTTCCAGCTTGATAAAGTACCTAAATTCTTCCGAGAAAACAATCCACGGCCCCTAAAAAAAACTTTTTGGCAGCCGAGCACCGATGTTACTGACGGGCAGGCTAGTGTCGATTTGTAAGTCCCTCGGAAAATTTTTCCACCATTGTTGCAACTTGAAATTTCCTCTCCCCTCCCAAAAAAAATTAAATCTTGTTTTTTTAAAAAATATATATATATATATATTATACTAAAAACTAATTTTATTTTTTTCTTTTGATCAGGAAACAGAATTGAATGTTCTTGTGGTGTTTTGAACGAGCATTACTATAAGCTTATACAGTGCGACGGGCGCCTTGCTTGTTTGAGCCGACAACCTGCATTAGTTCGATCGGCTCGCCACACTCGAAACCATAATTTTCTAATTCGGAGATTTCCAGAGAATCCAAAGGTATTTGAATCTAAAGATGTTGAATGCTAGAGAATATTTTCTTTCCATTAAAGTTACAATAGAATATAAGATTGAAGAATAAAAAGAGAAATTAGCATTCAATTTTTTATATTAAAAATTCTTTATTTAGCTTCTAATTTTATTGTTTATTATATTTTAAAAAAATCTATATATCCTAATTATAAACATTTTTTATTTAAAAATTCAGTTGTGTACCATCATATTCAATTTTGTATTTTTTATATGCTTGTTTACATTGGAAAATTCTCAGGGCTGCAACTATCACCAACATAGCAGGGTGTGTTTTTTTAATAAAAAAAAATATATATATATATATGTACGTTTAAAAATATTAATATATCATATATATATATATTTATTATTTTTATATTTTTTATATCTCATATTAAAAAATATTTTTTAAAATTATCTCACAAAATAAATTCATCCTAAATATCTTAAATATATGAAATAATAATAAATTCAAGAACATATTGCTGTTGGACATTGAGATAAGAGTTTTGAATTTATTCTTTTTTTTAAGCTTTGAAAATAATAAAAATAAAAATTATTATTATTATTATTATTACTGTTTGATGTGACTTATATGTACATATATATATGGGGTGTGATGTCTTATATGAAAATCAAATAATTTTTTAATATAATATTTAAAATAAAATAAAAAAATAGATGTCTAATATAATGTTCCCTCGTTCACAAATTAATATTCTATTTTTTTTTTATTTGAAACTTTCAACCACAATTATTTTATTTCTTTTTTTAAACACAAATTTTACATTTTTACCATTAATTCATTTATTACTTTTAATCTCTATCGTACACTTAAAAAGACAAATTTGTTCATTCATAACAAAAAGACAATCACCTATAAAATCGTGCAAATATAATTTAGGACAATAAAAATTAGACGAAGAGATATTCTTTTATTAAATAATTTTTAATATAATAAATTTATACATATATATATATATATGTATTTAAATAAAATTTTAAAATAGTGACCATTGTAGTTGAGCTTGAATTCAATTGTAGAGTTTCACCATGTCAGGCCTAGAGGATTTATTGAGCACAAGCTTTATATGAACATTCTTGCAAATAAATGTACATAATTTTATAGATTGTTGGAACAAACTTGGAATTAATAATTGTACCTCTCTTTATTTTCACTTTATTTTTACTAAGTTTCATGATTTTGTTTTTTAAATACATTATTTTCTTTTTTCGTTTACAAGATTAGTAATATTCATAAAATTTATTCTCTCTTCCAAAATATATATCAAATAAAACATTTGATGTTTATTTCTTTTTATGTTATACTAAAAATCAAATTTATAATCAAAATATTATATTAATATATATTTATACCGTATCAAATAACTATTCAAATTTAAAATTTTATTTTAAATTCAAACTCAAAACTCAAAAGTCCAAATAAAAACACTAATGTGGAAAATATATGGTTGATCCCTATATCTATATAATTTCTATTTTTTATACTTCCTGGTCTCATATTTATATATCTATTTGTTTTTTTTTTGCACGAAATTTTAGAAATATTAGTATTATATTGGGATAAAGTAGAAATAAAGATAAAAAACTAAATTAACCATATTAGTATTGTATGATATAAAAGCAATGACATTTGTGTAATATATTGTAAATTGGAAGAGTATTTGTAATGTTAGGGAGATAGTACAATTACTAAAAAAAAAAAAAAAAATGGATACTTTGTTATGGAAAGAACTAAAATAGAAAAATAGATAGATTGTTAAGGGACGGAGAGAGGATTATAATAGTACTAAAATTAGTTATAGATTCAAAATATTACTCCATCCGTCCCAAATCAGTTTTGTAATAAATTAAGAAATAATAGTATTTATTAGTTAGTGGAAGTGTCCAAGAGTTTTTACATTTTTGTTCTTTGACTTTACATATGTAATTGTATGTTTTTAATTTAAATAAAAATTAAAATTATTTTGGTATTAATATATAATTATTATTTTTTTTAAATAAGAAATACATACTTCGAAATAAAACAGTAAAAAAAATATTTTGAATTGAAACGAATAAAGTAAAATAAATAATTATTTAATATAAAATTTTACCTTTTTAAAAATTGAAATTAATAAAACAGCCGAAAATAAAATTTTCCTATAACCTATCTTTGAACCCTTAAACTCTCCCATGAGTCGGATAGCGACTCGAAAGTACCGTTTAGATCGCGCGCTTCGTATGTACTACTATCACTCAATTTCAATCCGACCCAATTCACTAAATCTTTTAAGGATAAAGTGAAATATTTTTATATAAATATAAATATCAAAATTTTATTTTATTTTATTTTTTAAATATTTATAACTTGGTTTTGGCTAAGGTTGTAATATAAATTATCTTGGTAATATTGTTAATTCATTTTTGTCGATTAAAATTGGAAGAGACAAAGTGTTAGCTCTCTATCTAAAAAAGACAGACGTGGCCTAAACATAAGCGCCCAAAATCTATCATCATTTTATCCTGAATTTTCAGCACCACCAAATCTTATCGACACCATTTCTATTTATTTTATTTTTATTATATTTTTTAATATTTATTTTTGGATAGTCGCTGCTGCGGATTTTCAGTTATTAAAAAAATATTAAATTAAATAAAAAACTAACTTTTCAAAAATAAAAAACAAAAATAATATACAAAATTTCTGACAAATTCTCATCTTCTCTGCCCTCAAAATTCCTAAATTGAAATAATAATTATAAATAATTATTTAATTCAATATATATATTTATTTTTATTTTTATTATTTCTCCAATATCTGTAATAACAAAAAATAAACTAAATTTCCAAAAACAATAAAAACAAAAATAATAGTATACAAAATTTCTGACAAATTCTCACCTTCTCTGCCCAAAATCCCCAAATTGAAATAACAATTATAAATAATTATTTAATTCAATATATATATATATTTATTTTATTTTTTTATTTGTCCAATCTCTGTAATAAAAATATATTTTGTCTAGTTTATTCCGTGTATCGAATAGCGGATTTCAATGTCATCAAAAATAAAAATAAAAAAATATACAAAATTTCTGACAAATTCTCATCTTCTCTGACCTAAAATCCCAAATTGAAATAATAATTATAAATAATTATTTAATTCAATATATATAGAAATGAGCGGCCACAATTCCTTACCCCCAAAGAATTCTTTTCTCACCCTGCAGTCTATACATACAGATAATATTGTATGTATATGAGGAGTGAGAAACATCTAGAGTGAGTGAGAGAGAGAGATGAATAAGGGTTTGTGTGTTACATAAAACCTTATGAGCTTATCCTATCCTTCTGCAGTTTTCTGCTCCCCCTCTCTCTCTCTACTCTCTCCTTTCTTTCATTCTCTCTCTCTATACAATTATATATATATATGTAAGTTTTTCTTCATTTCTGGTTTTCTTCATTTCCATCACCAGAAAAACACACATATTGAAATATACATATACATATATATATATTGTGTATGTGTGTGTTCAGATACAGCAGCTATGTGAATATATATTTATATATATACACATTATTATAATTTTACAAATTTATTGTGATATTTATTAATTAATTTTATTTACCAATAATGGCTCCCAAAAATGGAAAGAACAAAACACACAAAGCCAAAGGTGAGAAGAAGAAGAAAGAAGAGAAAGGTAAAATTTAATCATATATATATATATTATATATTCATTTAAATTAATAAATTAATTTTTAATATATTTCATTTCATATAGGAGTATAATATGATAATTTTTGCTAAATCAATACTCAGCATTAATATACGTAAAATTCAAATACTAGTGTATATTATTTGCATTGTTTCATTAATTAAGATTATAGTATATATTATAAAATATATTTACTAAATCAATTTTTTATTTTTTTATTTTTTTATTTTTTTTACAGTGTTACCTACTGTAGTGGAAATAACTGTAGAAACGCCTGAGGACTCACAGGTGACACTCAAGGTATGTACATTATGCATATATATATATATATATATTATTTTTTTTATAATTAATGAAAATTAATAATGATTTTTATAAAATAATAATAATTCTGAAAATGATAATATTAAGTGTTAAGTGCAAGTATTTTTATAATGCAGGGAATATCAACGGACAGGATCTTAGATGTTAGGAAGCTTTTGGCCGTTCATGTTGACACGTGTCACTTGACCAACTACTCTTTCTCCCACGAGGTAAACTTGCCTTTATTAGTAAACTTGCTATGAATATATATATATATATACATAATAATATTTAAAATTACACAATTTAAACTATTTAAATATTATTATATACTGTCATTAATATAATGTCACACGATAATACACGTAAGACACAAGAATTTTAAAAATATATAAATAATTAAGAATATATTAATAAAATTATTAAAATATAATATAAATAATTATAAATTAAAATAGAAGATAATTAATTAATCTAATAAAAATTTAAAAAATTATAAACTATAAAATATAAGATATAGAAATAAAATATTTAACATTATATGTGAAAGGCAAAAATATATTATTTTTTAATCAAATACTATTATATTAAAATATTATTTGAATTCAAATTCAAATTAAATAAATTATACTTGTCCACTTTTATTAGGAATATAAGGATTGAATAGTAAAATTTTTAGTTTGAATCTTAAAAAAAAAAAAAATCCTTTATTTTTAATTTTTATACATTTTACATATTCGATAAATATATAATTTTTATATAAAATATTATATTCATTATTTTATTTAATTAAAGTAATAAAAACCTTCATAATTAAAAAATAAAATAAAATACACATTTTTTGTTTGTCAAATAATTTTTCTAAAATTCAATAAAAGTGTATTTAACATCACTTAATTATATATATAATTCAATTTTATTTACTTTTTAAAAACTATATTATAAATTATAGGCCTTGCCTTTTTCTTTTAAATATATAGACAACTAAAATTTATTTTATTATTATGATCAATAAATTATTTACGAGAATATATACTAAAATGGAATAAGCAAAAGTAAACTTTTAATTATATATAATTAAGAAGTTATATGACAAAAAAGATAAAATATTAGTTATTTTTATTTGACTAAATTATAAAATTAAATCATCATAGTTAATAAGTATATATATTTTTTTTTAAAAAAAAATCACATTAAAAGTACTATTTAAATTAAAATAAAAGATATATTCACCTAACTAAAAATATTAAACACATTTTCAAATAATATTATTAGAAAATAGAGTATATAACTACTCTTATACAATATATAATATATATACTTACAGCCATAAAATATAATAAAATATTATTTTTTATATTATTAGTACATTTTTTTATATTAACATTAGAATAAAAATAAAAATAAAAATGGATACACAAGCAAATAAATAAACTCTCAGTATTTATATAATACTCAGTCCGTCATCACCCATTTCTTTTTTGATACAAAAGATGATCTATTTCTATTTTTGGTATGTTTATCAATCTTAAACATATTTAATAAATATAAATGAATTTAATTAAAATTCTAACATCTTATGTATAGGACCACTCAAAACCCCTTTATTTCTATTTCTTATTTTTTTATAAAACTAATTTATGATAATAGTAAATAAATAAATATATTTATTTATTCATTTGTATTATATAAAATTTTATTGTTTACGAAATGATATCCATATTGTATATATTTTATTGAGATATAATTTTAAAAATATTTAAAATACCAACAACATTACACATATAAAAAATAATAAAATATTATCTAACTTATTATTAATAACTTAATAACATACATTAATATGCTAAGAATAGAGCATTTTGAAAATGTAATATATATATATATATGTAAATTTATTTCACAACTTCATTTATATGCTTTTATAAAATAAATACATTAAGAATTGGTGATGTTTTTATTTATTTAATTTTCGTCAGATTAAAGGGCCAAAATTGAAAGATTCGGTGGAGATAACTTCTCTCAAGCCATGCCATGTCACCATTGTTGAAGGTAAATATAGTCATTCTATGCCAAAATATTATATTTATGTGTATATTTTTTTTTAAAATTATACCGCCCCAAAAAAATTTAAAAAAATTAAATAAAAATTAGAGGACAGATGTAGTACCCCAATGACATATAGTATATAAAATTTGATTTAAAATAATGAATTAAATTTAATATTTTATAATAAATTATAGAGTATTAATAATAAAAATAGTATTACATAATACAATAATAAAACAAATTCAAAATTAAAAAAAAAAACTATATTGAAGCAAAAAATGGAAGGTTTTATTGGAAGATTTGGTTAATAAATTGTTTAAATAAGATTTAATTGAGGCAAAACTTAAATGAAAGTTAACATTGGTTTGAAATTTCTGTATTATCTTTTTCTATGATATAAAAATTATATAAAATTATATTGTATTTTAAAAAATCTTACACAAAATTCTTTTTTTTTAAAGTGTCTATATAATTCTTTAAAAAATACAAAAAATATTCACAAAATTTCTATAAAATTTTATATAATATTTTTTAAAATACAAAAGAATTTGTGCAATTTCTATATCACAAAAGAGATAATACTGCCGAAGTTTCACACTAGGTGAATTATAAGTAAATTTAGCCTAAAAAATTAGGGGTAGAAAATGAATTTTCTCAAATATTTAGGGTGAATTTATAATTTCCTGCAGAGGACTATACGGAAGATCTAGCGGTATCTCACATCCGACGGCTGTTAGACATCGTCGCCAGCACAACGTTCTTCGGCGGTTCGCCCTGTTCTCCTAAAACGGGAGGACGAACCGGGAACAAAGAACCGGGTTCACAAGCGACCGGTTCAACGGAAAAGGAGTCCGGTTCTGAAATAACCGTTCCCGACGCCGTTCCGAAGCCAAAACACGATGGAAAAACCGCCATTCCGCCGAAGGGGAAGCCGGAGGCTCCCGCGGCGGCGGACGGCGGCGCAGACGCCGCCGAGAAAGGCGAAGCGGCGGTGACTATGATGTGCCCCCCGCCGAGGCTCGGGCAGTTCTACGACTTCTTCTCTTTCGCTCATCTCACCTCGCCCTTTCAATGTCAGTTCTCTGTTTCTCTAATTGTTGCAGTTTCGAAGTTTACGAGCTGTATGATGATCGATTTGTTGCATAATCCGCAGACATTCGGAGATCAACGCGGCCTTTTCTTGAGGATAAAACCGATGAGGATTTGTTCCAAATTGATGTTAGTATCTCAATCTCCTTGGCTTCTGGTTTCTTTCTTTCTTTGGTATGAACGTAATTCTGTATATTATCAAACTTGATTTTAGGTACGGATTTGCAGCGGCAAGCCAACAACAGTTGTTGCCTCCCAGAAAGGATTCTATCCCGCCGGAAAACGTGTTCTTATGAATCGCTCCTTAGTTGGCCTTTTGAAGCAGATAAGCAGAATTTTTGAATATGTAAGTGAAGGCTAACTCTCTTGTTTCCTTTTCAAGAACTATAACCAGGAATTCACAATAGTTACTGAATGAGTATTCATGTTCTTTTTATCCATAGATTTTTCTCAGCATAGCACAAGAAAATTGGGCTTGTCGATGTTCATATTGTTTCAAGTTCTTAGCTTTCATTACGATTAGATTGCATGTCTCATATTTTGAAGTTTGAATTTTCTTGGTTTTGTTTCCAGAGAGTATCCCTCAACTTATTGCTGATAGGCGCTTCTTTCGTTGATATTGTGAGCATGTTTTATTTCAAGAAAAATGATGTAGAATGAATATAGAATGATAGAATAAAATAAAAGTGACTTGGTGGGAGAATGATCCTAAAATGTTAATTGGAAACTTTGGAACTTGAAAGTAATTTGAAACATTGCAAAGATTTGAATAAAGCATTGTTTATACAAGCCCACTCCTCCTTAATTCTCTCTCTCTGTATAAGTATATACATTTTACATTTAAGTGTTTGTCCACATTCTATTACATTAATAAAAACTGCAATAATTAGGTAGTCAAATTCAATCCAACAGTTGTTTCTTCCAAATTAAAAACAGAGTTGCATGAATATACAGTTCATTTCTCTAAAGACAAATAAACAGATTCTGATGGACTTAACTCGGGTCTCTAGGAAATCTGTGAGTCTGTGACCCTTTCTGCTTTAGGATAAGCCCCAAGCTGATCAGAAGTAAAAGAAAAAGGAGAATTTGACCCAATACGGAAAGAAAAATCCTTCAATAGCTTTCTAACGACTTGCATGGTTAAAATCAACTATAAGTCAAGAGAACAATGTCCTATATAAATACAATAACTTTCTAAGACTATCAGGGACAGTGGGGGATCATCCATATGCTGATATATTGAGGTTTTTGGGCATATGTGTGGATTACGCCTAACAATGTATTTCCACTACCAAGGCTAAAACCAAATAATACACTGAGCTGAACTTTATTACTTTGTATTTTGTTTCTTGACTCTTTTTGTTAAATAGTGGTGTCAGATTATGATTGCTTATAATATTTGTTCTCTTCTAAAGTTCTGAAGTACTGCTGTTTATAATGTGCAGGCTTATAAGGCTCTGATGAAAGCTTTCACCGAGCACAATAAAGTGAGTACTTTAGTGTTTATGATTTGGAATGAATTAATGAATGCATTAATGATGGGTATCTATGTTCTCATAGTTTGGGAATCTTCCCTATGGTTTCCGAGCAAACACTTGGTTAGTGCCCCCTGTTGTCTCTGAGAACCCATCTGTCTTCTATCCACTTCCAGTGGAGGATGAAACTTGGGGAGGAAATGGAGGTGGACAAGGAAGAGATGGAAAGCATGATTACCGGCCGTGGGCCAAGGAGTTTTCTATTCTGGCAGCAATGCCATGTAAAACAGCTGAAGAGAGGCAACTGCGAGATAGGAAAGCCTTTCTCCTTCACAGTCTATTCGTCGATGTTTCAGTATTTAAAGCAGTAGATGCAATAAAGCTTCTGTTAGAGAAGAATTTCCAATCAGAAAACACACGTGATTCATTAATTTTACATGAAGAAAGAGTTGGGGATCTACTTATTAGCATCATGAAAGACATGCCAGATGCAAGCACAAAGCTGGATAGCAAAAATGATGGAAGCCTGGTTCTTGGAATTTCTGATGAAGAGCTAACTAAGAGAAACTTGCTTAAAGGGATAACTGCAGATGAGAGTGCCACTGTGCATGTTCGTCTAGTAAACTTTTGACATTTTTATCCTTTTTACAAGCCATTTTTGAAATAATTATTACTCAATGATGGGGTTATGTTGTTTTCATACAGGATACACCGACTTTAGGTGTTGTGGTTGTTAGACACTGTGGGTACACTGCAGTTGTGAAAGCATCCGCTGAGGTGAATTGGGAAGGTAATTCCATTCCTCAGGACATTGACATTGAAGACCATCCTGATGGAGGGGCAAATGCTTTGAACATTAATAGGTAGAGATCCGCAAATCAGTGCATTCATGTGTTAGTCTTTGTGATGATGCTAATATCTTATTATTTCTGGGAGAATATGTCACATTGTTCTGTGATCTAAATTTTCAGCTTAAGAATGCTACTACACAAGTCAACTGTGCCTCAGGCATCCAGCCCATGTCAAAGAAGTAGGAGTGCAGATGTCGAAGAATCGTCCACAACTAGTCCTTTAGTAAGACAGGTGCTCAGTGAAAGCTTAAAGAAGCTGCAGGCCGAGGAATCCAACCCAACTAAATTGATAAGATGGGAGCTTGGTGCCTGTTGGGTACAACACCTGCAAAATCAGGCTTCAGGAAAAGGTGACTCCAAGAAAAATGATGAAGCAATAGCTGAGCCAGTAAAGGGCCTCGGAAAGCATGGACTTCTGAAGGATTTTAAAAAGATGTCGAATACTTTAAAAAATAAAAATGATCAGAACAAAGAAGAGCCTAACAGTTCTGAGGCAAAGAAAGAACTTGACAAAGACAAGGAAACGGAAATTGTGTGGAGAAAGTTGCTCCCTGAAGCATCATACTTACGCCTTAGAGAATCAGAAACTGGTCTTCATCTTAAGGTCATCTTCTTGCTCATATGATGAACTATATATTTGCTTCAATGCCTTATTCTTTTATATCTGGTTTCCAACTATGGTAAAACTGATATTAGTTCGTTTCTGGCAATGATATATAGTATGGTTAATAAGGGTTACTAATAGTTAATATAAAAGAAATATTTTGATAGTCATCTTGACAACTAATTTGCCTCATTGTATCTTAATTTACAGTCACCTGATGAGTTGATTGAGATGGTACACAAATATTACGATGAAACCGCACTTCCAAAACTGGTATGTCTTTCGTACACAAAACAATCAGCTAATCTCTGAAACCTTCTGAAGTGAGGACTCAATACTTCTTATCTAATCTTTTTCCAGGTTGCTGATTTTGGGTCCCTTGAACTTTCACCAGTTGATGGAAGGACATTGACAGATTTCATGCATACAAGGGGCTTGCAGATGCGCTCATTGGGCCGTGTGGTAATTTGATTCATTCTGCATTTCTTTGCTACGTATGTCCTGCTTACTTTTTTCATTTTGTTGAAATAGTTATCCATGCTGCCTCAATTCTAATCTAAAAGTCAACATACTAATTAAATTATGGTGAGGTGAGAATGCATTTCCCTATATATTTTATGCACTATATATGATTGATTATTAATTAGGAATAGAGACTATTCAGAAAAACATGGTGTATGGAGAATATCATGCTTGTTCAGCATTGATGGAAGAAATCTGTTGGAGTACAGTAGCTATTCTTTAAATTAATAGAAGTTACCTCATTTCCTTTCATATACAAGTTCAAAGTGCAGAGCACATATTTAATCTCTTTCTGAAGATGCTATTAAAGGGTAAAAATTTACAAGAAGGTAAATAGGGTCAATTTTGCCAGGAATTAGGAAAGCAATGAAGGTCAAAGATAGTGTTTGATGTGGTTTACCAAATGATTGAAGAAAAATATCATGGTCGTACACATTGCAAAAGAATGATGGTAGAATTTTGTGTTTAAGAAGTGTTGACTTTGCAAAAATGGTGTGTTATAGATGGCATTGCATGATTGTTTGACAAAGGAACTTAGGAAATATTGAACCTGTCTACACCCCAAATCAGAGACATTCTTGTTTTGGCTTTTGAGTGAACTAAGGGAGTTATTTATTTAGTTTTTTTCCACTGAGAAGTAGTAGATGTCCATATTTTTTGCAAATAATGGTTATGCTGCTTTTGCAAACTTGCTAGACTTGAACCATTGAAATCTAATTAATTTTGGCACAGTTAACAATGTCGGTTCTTATAATTGATGCTTGGACTGTTGGACCAAACAAAGTATATGATTTTTCCATTTCTAGCAATAATTTTTATCAACTGTCAACAACACACCTAATATCTTGAGGTTGCAAGTCATGAAACTTTGAAGTAATCAGTCTTCATGACCCTCTTCCATTTGAAGGATGTCTTTTTGGTCAGTTCACGAATATGTTACTCCTATATATGGATTAAGACACTTGACAAAACCTATTTCTTTTTGTTGATTCTTTGTTTTTATCAGGTTGAACATGCAGACAAGCTCCCTCATGTGCAATCCCTATGCATTCAAGAGATGGTTGTTCGAGCTTACAAGCACATCCTGCAGGCCGTTATAGCAGCTGTTGATGATGTTTCTAACCTGGCTCCATCAATTGCTTCTTGTCTGAACGTCCTGCTGGGGAAACCACAAACAGAAAGTGCTGACACTGATGATGAATTAAAATGGAAGTGGGTTGAAAAATTCCTCTCAAAGAGGTTTTATTGGCAGTGGAAGGATGAAGTGCGAAACCAGATTAGAAAGTTTGCTATTCTTCGTGGGCTGTGTCACAAGGTAAGCTGATCCATAAAGTTTATGAGATATAAATTTTAGTGGTTAACTTCGTTTACTTGATTTGGCTTCCAGGTTGGACTTGAACTAGTGGTTAACTTCGTTCACTTGATTTGGCTTCCAGGTTGGACTTGAACTAGTGGTTAACTTGGTTCACTTGATTTGGTTTCCAGGTTGGACTTGAACTAGTTCCAAGGGACTATGACATGGATTCTCCTTGCCCTTTCAAGAAATCCGACATAATCAGCATGGTTCCTGTTTATAAGGTATGCTGCTTGATCATTTCAAAAAATTGGAGAAGCTACTTTACAGATTTCTCAAGTAGCTCTAAATCTGCTGCTGATATTATCTTCCACACAGCACGCTGCTTGCTCATCTGCAGATGGACGCACGCTACTAGAATCTTCTAAGACTTCCTTGGATAAGGGCAAACTGGAGGATGCTGTTAATTATGGAACCAAGGTATATTTTTATTCTTGACTGGTTCTACACCCTTCTCGGGGTGGCTTTAAATAATAGCTAGTTGTCTGATGAGCGTCATTTCACTGTTGAAGGCACTCTCGAAACTGATTTCAGTCTGTGGTCCTTATCATCGAATGTCTGCGGGGGCATACAGTCTGTTAGCTGTGGTACTGTACCACACTGGGGATTTTAACCAGGTAGGAGGATTTAATTTTTCATTTCTTCAACGCTGTGTCACTAAATTATTTGATACGGTGGACGAAGTATTGAAAAAAAGAACTGGGGGCAGAGAGATGCTCTTAACATCCCCAAGTGAAATAGGTTAAGTTGGTGCACCAAGATGGCCAAACAATTGCTGTTTATCTGAGAACTAGTATTTAGTTTTTCTTATATTTGAATTGATACTTAACATTTGAGTTTATTCTTTTAGGCTCATATAGCCTGTTATATAGTGTCAGAGGGAAACGTATCCCCGTGATGAACTTCATGGAAAAATAGAATAGTATGTGAATTAAATTTTACATTAGAAAAGCAACCTACCTGCACTTTAACACATTGACAATTAACTTGTGTTTTGGAAATGAACAAGATCATGATATTTGCAACTTCGCATGCTTAGCCTCGAAATTTCAAGGATAAAATTCCTTCAAATAAAAGATGCATGGACATTTTTGTCTCCTAAATATTGTCACTTATGTGAAACATCTTCTTGCATTTTGTGGTTCAGATTTGAACTTGAGTGAACTGATAATTTTTGTTTTACTGAGAGATGCTTTGCCATTAGTCTTTTGATTTGATACTCAATTTTGTTCTTATCTTAATGCTTTCAGGCTACCATATACCAGCAAAAAGCTTTAGATATCAATGAAAGGGAGCTTGGCCTTGACCACCCTGACACAATGAAAAGCTATGGAGACCTAGCTGTATTCTACTACAGACTCCAGCACACTGAGCTGGCTTTGAAGTATGTTCATAGATATTGCCTTACTGGTCTTTCTTGAAATATATGCATGCTCTTGCTTCTGCCGATCATGCTTGTAAACTATTTTAAATTTTAGTTTTTGTTACAAAATAGCTCTGAACTCCTGAATCTTTTATATTTTGATGCCTGCATTCCTTCTCTAAGGTATTGTTGGTCTCTTGTTTAGGTATGTCAACCGAGCATTGTATCTGTTGCATCTGACATGCGGACCCTCTCACCCAAATACTGCTGCCACCTATATTAATGTAGCTATGATGGAAGAAGGATTGGGGAATGTCCATGTAGCTCTTCGATATCTTCATGAGGCTCTCAAGTGTAACCAAAGACTACTGGGAGCTGATCATATACAAGTATCTCCCTTTCTCTATGTTATAGATATGTGGCCAACATAGGAAATATGTTCCTTGTAAATTATGCGTTCTATTCTTCTTCGTAATAGCAAACAAATGTATAAAAACACATGTCTAATAATTTTGAAGAAAATAAATTTCCTAATACATGGATTTAGTCAACCTGTAATATGCATATATTACAGGTTTTGCATATATACATTGCTATAATATGGATCTAGTATCATTGATATGCTCATTTTAGTGGCATTATAGTAAATCTCTATCTAAGTGGAGCATTGATATAATCGTACGACTTATATAGTTGATTTATTCCCAGGAAGCACCTTGATGCCTTGGTGATATGTAGCCTACTTGTTACCTAGGCTTCAGATGCTGTGTGATCATTAATCTTTATAATTCTCCTTGACAATATGTAGCCTACTTGCTATATTGAATACCGCCTTTTTTTCATGTGTTTCCAGACTGCTGCTAGTTATCATGCTATTGCAATTGCTTTGTCATTAATGGAGGCATATTCCTTGAGCGTTCAGCACGAGCAGACTACACTTCAGATTTTGCAGGCTAAATTGGGATCAGACGATCTACGGACTCAGGTAGATCATGCTCTCTTAGATTATGCTTGGATTCAGAGGCGACCTTCTTTTCATCTAAAATGCAAATTTTGTAGGATGCGGCTGCTTGGCTAGAATATTTTGAGTCCAAGGCGCTGGAACAGCAAGAAGCAGCGCGCAATGGCACCCCAAAACCAGATGCCTCCATCTCTAGTAAAGGGCATTTGAGGTATATAGTCTGCGCTGAATTTTGTTACCAAAGTCCAATTTACTTTTTAGTAGCTTAAATGTTTTCTTGGCCATCCATGCATCTAGATGAGTAACAGGTTATGATTATGAAACTCTTTTGTTCTTTCTTTTTCAATGTCAGTGTGTCTGACCTATTGGATTATATAACACCGGATGCGGAAATGAAAGCAAGAGATGCCCAAAAGAAGCAAGCTCGTGCTAAGGTATAAAGATTGATTGCTTTTGAACAAATCATCTGAAAATTTCCTTCTGCTAATGAAATCCCTGACCCAAAATATCATCTGTATTTCTACAGCTCAAGGAAAAAATTGGTCCTAATTGGGAAACAGTGACAGATGAATATCAGAAGGATGAAGTCACATCTGTAACAGAAAGCTCCAGTGATAAAGAGAATAGATCTGAATTGGAGAACAAATCTGAGGTTCAGTTTGTGGAGTCCACCCAAAATTCTGAAATATTTTCAGCGGATAAAAAAACATTTTTGAATTCAAACGATGACACTGCAAAGGATGAATTCTTGGAAGAGGGATGGCAGGAAGCTGTTCCAAAAGGGCGCTCAGCTGTTAGTCGAAAGCCCTCTGCTTCCAGGAGACCGAGTCTTGCTAAACTGAACACCAATTTTTTGAATTCTTCCCATCCTTCTAGATATCGAGGCAAACCAAGTAACTATACCTCTCCAAAAGGAAGTATGAATGACACTGCTGCTTCATCTGTATCAGCTCCACATGCTCCTAAAAAAATGGGAAAAAGTTCTAGCTTTAGCCCGAAGCCAAAGAGTCCTGAATCAGCCGTTGGAAGAGAGAAAATTGTAAATCCAAAATCAGCCCCGGCTAGTCCAGCTTCCAGCGAACAAGTCAAAGCTTTTGTTAGCTCAGTGAGTGTTCAAGCTGCTAAGAAACTTTTCTCATACAAAGAAGTCGCTTTAGCTCGACCAGGTACAATTGTTAAGGCTGTTTCAGAGCATCCAACTGAGGATAGTTCTGGGGAAGAAAAAGTGCAAGTGTGCAAGGAGACTGGCGGCGCAGAAATTGTAGTCGGAACAGAAGCACATCAAAATGAAAAGATGGCGGACAAAGGTCGTGTAGATTCGGACAAAGATGAAATTAGCAAGGAGGATGATCAAAATGCTGTGAATGGAGCTTCTGGGGAGTTGACAGAGGCTGCAACAGTTACAGAATCAGAACCTGCAGTTGAAAGCAAGAAAAGTGAAACTGGAGATGAATCTATTTCAGGAATGGGGGGTTCTGTTTTGTCTGAGGTTTCGAATTCTAGTAATGTAGAAAGTGAAGCATCTGAAACACAACATGTCACTTCACCTCATCTTTCGCCTACTGATGCTGCTGAAAATATTACTCGTCCAGTGGAGAAGGAAGCCTCCGGCTTAAAAAAGGAGGTGGCAGAGGAAGACGGGGATGCTCATTTATGTAATGAAAGTGTAGACGTTGATGGTTCACAAACCGGTGAAGCAGAGAATCAAGTTGATGGAGGTGCCTCTCTTTCACCTACCGAAACAGAAAGGCAAAGTGATCCCGAGGCTGCAAAGGAACCAGCTAAGAAATTGTCGGCAACTGCACCTCCATTTAATCCATCTACTGTTCCAGTGTTTGGCTCGGCAACCATACCTGGCTATAAGGAGCATGGAGGGATTTTGCCGCCTCCAGTTAATATTGCGCCAATGCTTGCTATAACTCCTGCCCGGAGATCACCGCATCAATCAGCTACTGCTAGAGTCCCATATGGTCCACGCCTCTCGGGTGGGTACAACAGATCTAGCCGTCTCCCAAGAAATAAGCCAGTTTTCCATAATGGTGATCACATTGGGGATCAGAGCCACTTCAGTCCTCCGAGGATTATGAACCCACACGCAGCAGAGTTTATACCTGGCCATCCGTGGGTTCCAAACGGCTATGCAGTTGCTCCAAATGGCTATATTGCTGCATGCAACGGATTTGCTTTCTCACCAAATGGTTATCCTATATCACCAAATGGAGATCCTACGCCGTCAAGTGAGATATCCGATGCTCAAAACGGATTTCCCGTCTCTCCAGTGGGATCAACAGAGCCTCTGTCAACTGAGAACAGCGATGTTCCTGTTGAAGCTGGACATGAAGCCCCAGTCGAGGGTATTGCTGAGAAGAAACCAACCGACTCAGTCATCATCACGTCACAAACATTGGAGAATATCCAGGAACAAGTTGAACTTGATGAGAAAACACCTGATCCATCAGAGGACATTGATAATTTATCTCGTGAACCTGAAGAATCTCCCGTTGTTGTTGAATCTGCAGGAGATAATGGCAGTGTCATTACTGTCGAAGAGAAGGCAGTGAAACGATGGGGCGATTACAGTGATGGAGAATCTGAGGCTATTGACAGTTAAAATTTGATCGGTTAACTATTTTTTGGAGACATGGAATTTCTTCCTATAGATGACTCCAACGGAGAGAGGTATCCCCAGAGTTCTTCAAACATGAACTTTACGTAGAAGACCTTGAAATGTCTTGCATCATTCCAATAGTTCGATATCATTAAAGTATGCTTGCTGAGAAAGCTGTCTCGCGTTGCTGCATGTTTTAGATTAGTCGTATGGAGAGCCAAGATCAGACCAGCTTGGAAATTACTTCTCCGGCAATCCTTTCGAGATGATTAAGTGTATTACATTTGTAACATGGTGCAGTAATCGAGTTTTGACATTTGGACTTTCTTTATCTAATATTAGGCATTACATCTTTGCTCGATGAAGTTTTTCATGCAGCGCCTTAATTTCTGTCACGAAAAATGGCTACGAGACAGCCATTCCGGTCATCTTCTAGTTTGATTCTCGAATCTTTCCTTTCCCTTTCGATATGCTTTATTTCTGCTATCTTTTGTTTATCTTCTTTCACTGCAGGTTCTGCACATGACATTGTTTTGTACCATTTGTCAGCATACTTTGATGGCGATTTCTTGTGCTCCCTCCAGGTTAGTTTCCAGCATTCTGGTTCGCTGTCATCGATACTTGCTGCAGTTTTTCAGTTATATCGATCCGTAACTCTAGTTTTTTGTGCTGTTATTTAGCAGATAAAATCATACACAAATGGGGCCTGTCTATTGTGCCGGTTTCGGGACTTCTGTTTGCTGACGTTCTATGGTAACTATTTTTCTTGTCTTTTGTCCAAATAATTCTTATCTTTTGGAGCAGTAAATATCCAGCTTTGTTTTATTGTGTGTCTTTGTTCCAGTGGTGATTCATTGCTTCTGTAATGAAATTACAGCAGTTTTTTATAAGGATTTACCCCTTTTTGATCCATCTCTAATTGCTATGACTAGATTAGATACGAACATTTGGAACCGGCTGGTTTCTTTGTTGCTTCAATAGAGCACGGAGGATTGTAGTTTTCAAATTCTATCTTCGATCAAAATTGTGCAGTTGCCTGTGTAGCAATAGTTGTTTTCTTTCTTATTGTGCATTCTAGGACTTGTTTCTATGGTATCTTCGATGACTCTCCGGCGTGTATTAACATGATATATCTATGGTGTGTTTGGATGAACTATTTTGCGCTCTTAGAACACTTGATTTTATTTCGATACTATTCGAATTTAGTTGACTCGATTGGCTCTAATGTAGTGTTCTTTCAAGAATGAGCTTTTAATTAGAGTGGCATGATAGCAAACTCTTGTTGTTTGGTTATTGACGTTTGTTTGATTTTTTTTTTTTTTTTTTTTTTTTTTTTTTTTTTTTTTTTTTTTTTTTTTTTTCTATAGGTGAAACAGTTCCTTAGAATTGACAATCTTGAAATACACACATAATTACATAATTTATATGGTCTAGGTATTGAAAGTAAGTTATGTGTTAAAATCAATAATAAACTATATGATAGCAATTTTTTTTTTTTTTATTATTAGGGTGCGAGTCCGCAGCCGCTATCGAAAGTGCGTTAGGTAAATTCTCGATCGAATCTAATATCTTACAAATTAGGTCAGACAAAGCTAAAATTGTGTCTTGTTTTTATTAAATGTGATAGATTGTATCCCATCATCACCAATGTTGAGTTTAGTTATGGCATGTGAGCATGCTACTATATTAAGGGGTTATTAGAATTACGTCAAAAATTGTGTAATTTAAATTTTTATTATTTTTAATATATAATTATATTGGGATATGAGTCTTAATATGGACTAGCATAGTTCATTAGTTTTTTTTTTTTTTCTTAAAATAGTCATATTAAGTATTTATTTTTATTTTAAAACATTACATTAAATATTTATTAATATAATTACAAAATTATTCATTCAAAATTTTACCGAATCTCAAACTCACATCCATACAAGGATTTGTTTGTTTGGGTTTTCATTTGGATCTAGTCCTTTTTTTATTGCATGATTTTCCTTTATTAATAATAACATCAATTTTTTTTATTTTTTTATTTTGTATTTAAGATATTGCGTATTCATATTATTATAGCAAAATTGTATATCAATTAAATTTTTTATTAGGATCAAATCACTGATCCAATTCCAAAACCAAGCCATTCTTGCAAACTAATTCAACAATATTTAGCTAATTTTATTTTTTTTAAAAAAAAAAAAAATTCAAAAAAAATTATATTAAATATTTAATTTTTTAATCATTTTTATAACTTTAACACTTCTTAAACCCACATCCAATCAGAATTGTAATGCTTAAAATATAAAATAAAAAATAAAGGAGGGGTGTCTTCATTGTCCCTCCCCGCCCTCACACAAGTCAACTATAAATAGTTAAATTAATAATTTTAATGTGAAATTAAATATATTCCTTTTTGTTATTTTTGATGTGTCCAATATGAGATTATATAAATAAATAAATAAGGCACTAATAAGAAGTTGATCGTTTGGTTTCAATTTGGGGCACATTCAACAAGCAAAAGTAAAGCTCGTCAGTCCGATGCTTTCAGGTCTTATCTGTCATACATAATTCGCCTAGTGTGACTTGTCTCATCGAGTCTAATTTATATAGTAAGTTCGGTCGAAGTTTACCCAGAACGTATTCGACTAGTAATTGTTACAAATTTTCACATTATCAAAATATATATATATATATATACACACAAAGGCTATTTAAACTTTCAAGGATATTTATTTAGATATGTTTAAATATATTTTACAATTTTGGATTGATTTGAAAATAATAAAATTAGATATTTGAAAATATTTTTATATGTAATATGTCAAATAAAAAATAAATTTTGACAAAGATATTCTTTTAAAAGAGAAATTTTGGTGATTAGTAAAAAATAGGTTTGAATATTAGTTTGACATAATTTTTTATACAATAATAATAATAATAATAATAATTTATTAGTTTATTCATCCAATATTTTTTTTAAATAACATAATTCTAGATAAATATTATAAAAATATATATTATTTACACACAATATATATATTATTCAGGTACACATAATCAACATTTAATAAAAAAAAATATATTATTATTTTTATATCACCGATACTATTCTTCGCACCTAATATAAAAAATACAAAATGAACATAGTCATGTAAAAAATTTATTGGAAAAAATCTAAACCAAACACGATTAGAATCTTATCTGTTTGTAACAATCAAGAGCATAAACGTTAGCTAATTATATAATCATAGTTTTATTTAATTCCAGCTATATATAATACTATTAATTTATATATATATATATATATATCTTTCCATTTATTTAATTTTTTTCTTCTTATTGTCACTTTCAAATGAACGAATTAAGTACAATTAAAGGCATAAGCTCTCTGATATCATCAATTAAATAAAAACTTTCACAGCCAAATCAAGATTAGACAAATGAATAAAACCCAAAAGATTTTTTAAATTTGTCATGTTACCCTAAAAAAATATTATTATTATTATTATTATTATTATTATTATTAATTTTTATTTTTTTGGCATAAGATGGTTTATAAAATTTATTAAAAAGACAAACGAGTATCTGTCTTCTGTCTTAATACACAGAATTTATTAGCAGGATTTTTTTTCTTTTTTAATTCCAAACTGTATTATTTAATTAATAGTAATTATATATATTTATCTGAAGTAAAGCAGCTAATAAAACCAATACTGAAGATATTATCAATACTGGCTTTTCTCTTTTAACTCCTTTGCTGTCATAATTTATTATTGTCCTAATTTTTATTTTTTTTTTTAAAAAAAAAATCAATTTAAATTTTTAGACACATTAATCAAAACACAAAGTAAATAAATAAAATTGATGATATGTAGAAAACTTATAAGTTAAACAACAAAAATTATTGAATTATGTGTAACATAAATGTTGGACATATTACATGATATTAGTGACTAAAAAAATTACTAAAATACTTAATAAATTTGTTAAACTTATATCAAACATATATTAGACTATATAATATTCAACGTTGTATCGTAAATTCATTTTTAAATAAATTACGGAAAGCCCCGATCACATTCCTACCAAACTAATTTGCTACAAAAAAAAATTAAATGTTTATTCAGTAAATTGAAAGAATTCACGTAATCATCTTTTCGATCTTCCGAGAGTTTACAACTCTATTTTTGAATGATTTTAAAAATTACACACGAATCGAGAATATATTTTGATAAAACGATATGCTAACCAAAGAAAAAACATTTCTATGATCATATTGATATTTATACTATACTACAATATTTATGTACAATTTTTTTTATTTGTTTATACTTATTTCAATCTACATTGTCAATTTTTATTTGTAATTAATACATATATATACTTATACTTGATAAATATTTTCTTTGAATTTAGTAATGTGAATTGAATTTGTCTTCTTATTCTAATTAAAAATGAGAATGTTATATTTTATCTGAATTATTTAGATGTATTTGGTATGTGTTTAAATAATAGTCCATTCTTCATTGAAGATTATGTTAATTTTGGTTGGGTATATTTATTAATAAAAATGAGTAATAATATTATTTTTTATAGTAAAAAAAAAAAAAAAGTATTTAAGTGTACTAAAAAAATAATTTTTTTTATAACAAAAAAAAACATAAATTTAGATGACACGATAGTAAGTAATTATATTTCATCCGTCCTACTTACCATATCCGGGTTACCGCAAATAAGAAAATTTAGGATTAATATAATTAGTAAATAGGGTAAACTGTTTTTTTTTTTTTAGTCCCGTAACTGGACCCCCTTATCATTTTAGTCCCATAAGTGGAGCCTATCGCAAACTAGTTGCATAAGTGAAAAATTTTCGTTGTTTTAGTCCTCCGACACCGGAGACGCCCGCGTGGCTCCGGAGGTGACGTGTCCCCCAGGTGTCCCGTCAGGTCAGCGACACCTGGCGGACACGTGGATTTATTTTTTTTTTTAATTTTTTTTAAAAAATTAAATCAAATTAGAAATTAAAAATATATAAATAAAATTAAAAATAAGTTTTAAAAAAAAAAATTTTAAAAAAAAAATCCACGTGTCCGCCAGGTCAGCGCCAGGTGTGGCTGACCTGGCGGACACGTCACCTCCGGCGAGCCACGCGGGCGTCTCCGGCGCCGGAGGACTAAAATAACGAAAATTTTTCACTTATGGGACTAGTTTGCGACAGACTCCACTTACGGGACTAAAATGATAAGAGGGTCAAGTTACAGGACTAAAAAAACAGTTTACCCACAAAAAAAAAAAAAACTCTTTCAACAGTATTAGTTAGCTACAAAAGAGTGTACGATGCTACTATAAATTTAAAGAATATAATTGAAATACAATGCAAGAACTAAGAATATATGACATATTCTTAGATAACACACGGGATATTCCTATATAGCATGTGATATAATTCTATAGAACACAACATAAACTCCAATAGAGTATATGATATACTCTATTGCGTATACAATATATTTTTATAAAACACATAATATACTTTATAAAGTACACGACATACTCGTAGAGAGCACGTCAGATACTTTTAACGAGCACACGCTTTAAATATGAATATATATCACGTATTTAATTAAATATGAGTATCTACTATCTGCACTCAATTGGATTTTTGATTTTTGGGAAAAATTAGCATTGTATCCAAACAACTATTTACTCGCTTACAAGAGATTGAATTAATAATTTTTAATTAAACTACGATTATGTCAGTGTTTTTTTGGGGCATTATAATACTAATACAAAGGAAAAATTTGATTAGATTGAATTAAATAATACTTTTTCACTCCGTCAAATTTACTTTTATTATTATTATTTTTTATCTGTGTGTTAAATTCATCCAATTACTAAATAAATTTTCAAACTACCATTAATTACTTTATTTTATTTTATTTTTAATTTTTTTGCGAATTGATGGAGTATTATCTATTATAATCACTCAAAATAAATATGCAAACAAAGATTTATTATTATTATTTATTTAATTTCAGATTAATTATTACAATCACCAGTCACGATTGCGTGCGTAATAATAAGTAACACGTAACACTAATTTTCAAATCAAGGGACTCTCCAATAACAGTTCAATAATAATAATAATAATAATAATAATAATAAAATTCTTCAAAGTTAGTTGGGGAAGTTGGACAGAAAAGAGATCTTCTTCTTCATTATAATATATATATATATATATAATTTATATATAATGATGAGAGATATATAGATCAGATGGAAACATGAGATAACACAAAAGTGCAGATATCGACAAGAAAGAAAGAGGCTGAAGCCGATCCATCAGACAGAAAATTAGCCGGTCCGAGACGGCCAAAATTATTAGCCAGCCGGCTGCATTAATTGAGCTGCTTAGCCTTAATTACCCTCATTAATTCCATCAGACCGTACGCTAATTAATACCCCCAATCATTAATCCTCCTTAATCGCCGCTAATCACATCCCTTTATAAACCCTTCTCTTTGTAGACTCAGTCATATTCATAATCATAATCCTCAAGCATCAATCTCAGTTCATTCTTTAATTTCCTCCTCCTTAAACTAAACTAAACTAAACTAGCTCGTAATTAATTATTTATATTATTATTTCGATGGGAAAGTTTTCGTCGCACCACGTGACCGCCACCATCCCTACCAATAATGTCGCCCCCGTCGCCGTGAAGGCCAAGCGCACGAGGAAAACCATTCCTCGCGACTCCCCGCCTCAACGGAGCTCAATTTATCGCGGCGTTACAAGGTTCTTTTTTTCTTTTTATTCTTTTCTAAACCTTAAAATTTTGGGAATTTTAAGAAATGGTAAAGATTAAGTATTTAATGTAATATTTTGTAAATATATATGTATATATATATATATATATTTTTTATGTGGGTTCTTGTGAAAACAAAAATATTTGATGTGAGTTTTGTGAAAATATATATATACTACAAAAAATATAGTATATTTGTAATGAGATTTCGTCCTTAAAATTCACGTAGTTAAAGTAATTTTATTTCTGATTCCGTCTCTAATATCATTAGTAACAGAAAAATAAATTTAAAAACTAAAAACCTCGTTACAAAATTGATATTTTCTTGTAGTGATATATATATATATATTTGATAAATAATGTCAAATTTTCAAAAAGCATCCATGTAAATATGGAATTTTTTTGGTTTATATAACTATGTTTGGTTTTTTATCTTGCAAAATTTAAATTTTATCCTTTGGAGAACAAATGAAGTAATTTTTTACATAGATAAATTCAGAAGCCGAAGGATTAAAAATAAAATAAAAAATTGTAATATGTCGAACAAAATATAACCGATCAGACATTCAAGACAAAAGTGTTAATTGATCATAATATTGTAAGTACACAACTAAATTTAAATTTTCCTGACATTTAAATATGCGGTCATACATTAATTGAACTAACGTAAGGGGTTTTATGTGTTTTTTTCCGTCGCATATGATTGGGTTAGACATCGATGGACCGGGCGATATGAAGCACATCTGTGGGACAAGAACTGCTGGAATGAGGCGCAGAACAAGAAAGGGAGACAAGGTTAGTAATAACCAAACATCTTATAATATCATCGATAAAACCCTAATCAATGTATATATATTTTTTTTAATTTTTCCGGATGTGAAATACTTTTAACTAACTTCATTCTTCGTGCTTGAACATCAACATCGTCATTTGTGGATTCGAACAATATAATGCAGTCTATCTCGGTAAGTATAGACTAACATTGATGTTTTCACACCTTCACAAAAAATGTCTTATTACATTCTTCGAAATAAATTAGCAACCTTACCATTTTTTTTATTTTTTTTCTTATCGATAGGCGCTTATGACGAGGAAGAAGCAGCCGCTCACGCCTACGATTTGGCTGCCCTCAAGTATTGGGGACAAGACACTATTCTTAATTTTCCGGTAGTAACATATGTTTTGTTTATATATATATATTTTAAGATATATATATATCAGATACTTATTTCTTTGACAGAATATCATATCAAATGCATAATTTTTAGTATTTCTAAAATTCTTTGAAATTTCTACACTTTTCAAACTCTTATCTAAACAAAACCCCCCAAAATTTCATTAATTTGTTTTTGCATTATATATTTGTGTATATATTATGAGTTCATTGGAAGATTAATGAGAAGATGGGATGATCTTGACCGTTGATCTGTTTAATGCAATGGCAGTTGTCAATGTACCAGAAAGAGATCATAGAAATGGAAGGGCAGTCGAGAGAAGAATACATTGGATCATTAAGAAGGCAAGATATATATATATATATATAAAATAATAATAATAATAATAATAATAATAATAATAATAATAATAATAATAATAATAATAATAATAATAATACAAATTTAGTTCTGCATCCATAAATTTTACTTTTACTATGTTTATTTCATAGATTGTGTGTTTTGGTCCTATATTTTGTAAATAAAAATTATTCTTTTGTTTTTCCTTCAAAATATAATACTTATGTCACAATATATTTGTTATTACTTTTAATTTTGAGTGTTTAAAATTTTTGTAATTTTTATTTATTTACACACCTTTTTTTTTTCCTTTTATCATTTTAAAAATAATTTACAAAAATATAACCAACAAAAGGGTTTGAAAAAAAAAAACTATTACAAATAATATCACCTAAAAAAATTATGCCAAAAGTAAACAAGGTAAAATAAATAAATAAATAAAAATGAGATGGAATAGTGTATATATATATATTGCAGGCTAATTCTGACGGCCGGAGGACACAAAACTGATTTTTTTGATAGATATGGAACGAAAATGCAATATTGAGTTAATTTTTATTTTTCATATATATATATATATGTAGTTATATTAAGTGAAATATTTTTTTTTTTAACCATTTATTAAAAATATGAATGATTGGAATTACAGGAAAAGCAGTGGATTTTCACGAGGAGTATCCAAGTACAGAGGAGTTGCAAGGTATATATAATCAATGCTTAATTTAATTTAATTAATTTATTTATTTATTAAGATGGAACTAATCATTTCATTATTTTATTTCACTCATGTATATATATATATATATATATATGCCAATAAATAAGACAACATGGGGTTATTTTGGAGTATCATTATTAAGTCAACAAAGAATAATATATATATATATTAAATACTAGTATTTCTTAATATAAATTATTTATTTATTTTTATGAATTGCAGACATCATCACAACGGGAGATGGGAAGCTCGAATTGGGAGAGTTTTTGGAAATAAATATCTCTACCTTGGAACTTATGGTAAAAATTTTCTACTCAAATTCTCAAATTAATAATATTTTTATTTATTACTATTTTTATAAAATTAATTAAGAATGGTCAAAAGAAAAATAATGTAATTTATAATGTCTTCATTTTGGTAGTTCCCATTTGGTAAGATTGGTTAAAATTTTCATTTCAAATATATATATATATATATATATTGCAAATTAGTTGGGCAACTTCACCAAACTAAACCTTCCACAAATTAGCCTCACTATTCCTTATTCATTTTTGTTATTCTTTTCAACTTTTATGATTTATATTATTGTAGAATTGAAAATAAAATAAAATAAAATAAAAAATACTCTTTTTTCAGCCAAAATTTAATTGTTTTCTTCTTTTGGACTATCCACTAAATTTCTATATAATCTAATTATAATACAAAACCATTCTTTTGTAATTTTATAACACTTAGTTTAACTAATAATAATCATTCACTATAATTAAATTTAAATCACAATCTTACTCTTAATAAATCTATTTCATAAATTTTTTATTGTATGTTACTTTATTTGTTACTTCCTTTATTTTTACATTAAAATATTGTTATTATTTTTCACTTTATTTTTCACTTGTTAGAGTACTTAGATAATAAATTCAATCTTTGGTTACATTGAATTTGGAGGTCAGGCCATAATATCTATGATGTAAAGCTTAAACATACTTATATAATTAGATTGTTCAATCATTAATCATTAATTTTAATTTTAATCTAATAATAAAAAAAAAACATATATTTAAGTTCATATTATAGTTTTTATTATTTTCTAAGTAAAATAGTAGCTAGATCTGATATTTTAAATAAACAAGATAAAATAATTTTATCCATTTTTTCGATCGTTGTTACAGCTACGCAAGAAGAGGCCGCCATAGCCTACGACATGGCGGCCATAGAATACCGCGGCCTAAACGCCGTCACCAACTTCGATCTAAGCCGATACATAAAATGGCTAAGACCTAACAACAACAATAATTCTACGAACATTAACACAACTCCGGCGACCTCAAACCCCCGGGGGCCCGGAAGCTCAGCCCCCCTCCACCTCCCCAATCACGCCCCCGCTGCCTCATCATCTCAGGCGCGGGCCCCCACAACTGCCACGTCAGCCCTAGGGCTTCTTCTACAGTCTTCCAAGTTCAAAGAAATGATGGAAATGACACTGGCTGCAGAGTGCCCGCCGGAGTCGAAAATGGCTGCAGACCCGCCGCCGCCGCCACCGAGCAGCATCCCGGAGGATGTGAAGACATACTTCGAGTCGAATGAATTCTGCGCGTATAATGAGCACGGCGACGATTTCTTCGGGGAGCTTAACTCGTTCATGGGGCAGCCTATGGGTCATGATGATCAGTTTGGTGATGTGATTTAATTTGATCTGTTGTTTTTTTAGGTTTTTCTTGATTCAAAAGGGTTCATTCTTTCGAGTATCTCCATATTTTTTGTAGATACTAAGATTGTAATAAGAGCTAGAGGAAGAACATGAATTAATTTGTTTATCTATGTATTCATCAATAAAGGTTCCCTTTTTTCTTGTTTCCATTCAATGGGGTCTATACATTTTCATTGAAGTTTTAGGCTCTATTTTATTCGTATTCAAAATTTGGTGTTTTAAATTCAAAATGCTGATATTCAATTCGATTTAATTCTTAATCAAATACAAATATAAAAAAAATTTATATTAATTTTGAATTAATTCATTTATAACCCTAGTTTTTGGGTATTTGATATTTATATTCTTTTAATGAAAAATACATTTTGAATATAATATCTAAATTAATAGAAAATAGATATTTTTAGAGAAATATTCAAGATTAAAGTCGATTAAATTAATTAGGTGGCTGGTAAACTAGTAATGTATAAGGATAGATGTATCGATTGGATCAACTAGTATTTTCAAAAGACAAATAAATAAAATAGATTCCTATAAAATTCGATGTTAGATGAAGGATTTAAATGAGTAGTAAAGCAAGTGTCTACAAAATAATGAGAAGTAGCTAAATAGTGGTTCTCCTCTTTATATAATATGTTTTCAATATAATGTGTTTTAGAGTGGAAAAACTATTTTACTATAGTTTCATTATTTAAAAAAATTTGGTTCGAATTTTTCGAGAAAAATTTTTTAAGTTTCCAAAACAATATCACAATCCATGTTGTTTTAGAAAATCCAAGATTATTCTTTTTATTTCAGACTCCATTTCCAGACCTATATCTGAGCAAAAATTATTGTAAAAACAAGAACAAATGTACCATAAACCTCTAGCCCTATAGCATGCATACAAACATCTTAATAATGACATGATTAATTCATCGATGGAAGCTAAATCAAGGATAGGACAAAGCAAGACGTAATAATAATAGTCATTTTATTTATAAAATAGGGTTTCATAGCAGCAAGCACAAATAGTCCGAATAAAACATAATGATTAGGGCTAATGCCCTACACATTCAGCTCTTATTATATAATTATAATATAATATATTATATGTCTTCATCGAATATTCGATGCAAACATAAGACTGAAGTCCCTCCAACTGCTCGCAGACGACCAGAACTCTTCAAACGACTCTCTCCATTATATATATGCTTACCAGCATATTAATTATTTATTTGTTTATATATATATATATATAGATATATAATAGCATATAGATCTTGCTGCCTGAACTTGTACTTCTCACATCCATGGATCCATGGGGACATCCTGTCCTCCAGCATTAGCCCCATCCTGCAGCCACACCAAATCAACCCTAATTTAAAAACCCTAAAATAAAAAAACTAGGGTATACATACATAAGCACATATATATATATATTTATATATGTAAGAAGTAGGGGAACCTGGGCATCAGAGATAACGTTGTAATCATAGTCAAACTGCTGCAGATCAAAGTCATCGTCATCCAAAGTGATGTTGAATGGGGCAATTCCATCAGGTCCCTGTGGGTGTTGTGGAGCAGGAAGAAGATCGATGTCCACCAGGACATCATCGACCACAGCGATCAGACCATCGATGTCGTCAGTGGCGTCGTATGCAGGAAGTGGAGGTGGAGGTGCAGCCACCTGTCCCATGATGTTCGATGGGCCGCCTTCGTCGATAGGCATCATTATCTGTCCCATGTTGTCGTTGATGTTGTCCTGATGGGGGACATTTGGGGGGACATCTAAGTTAGGGCAAAGTCCAAATGTTCTTGGCCTGTAACTGTTTGGCCTTGGCGAACGATTTGCACCCCTTTTCGGGCGAAGATGAGGCAGAACAGTGTATCGGCATTTCTGCGCGAAAGAATTAATGATATTTTCAATATGATTAATAAAATTAATTGGATCCATATGTTGTCCTAAAAAATGTTTGCAAAAACACCCTAAAAAGAGTATCTATAAACCCTAACAATGATGACTTTCTAGTTTCGACACATATATGTTAATTCAATTTAAGTTCGATGGAAACATAACTCAAAACCCTAATTTATTTCTTTTAAAATAAACAAAGGGTACTATCGAAAAAATCCCACCAACAATACAAAAGCACGAGACATTAAAAGAGAAAGAAACTATGCTAAAAAAATAAAAACCCTAAAAGAACAAATGAAGATGAGTGATGAAGATTTTAAAAATCCAATGAATTTATTAGTAACAATGGGTTATATATAAACTCTTACATACGAACTAATTCATGAAACTTTATTTGGTTTGATTAAGAAAACAAATCTTGAAATGGCTGAAGTTCTAACACAAAAGCATTCGTCAATAGATTTACGATTACCTGCAAATGGCTTGCGACCTGCATTCTTGTAAGGCCAGGAACATTCATGATCTCAAGGATATCTTTCGGGAAGCACTCTAATCAAAGAAAACAAAGAAAAACACCGTATAATCATTACAACTATTGATTAGGTAAAAATAAAAACAGATGTAAGAAAAGATCGTAAAAAAAAATATAACATATTTTCTTAATAGTAACGAGTTATAAGAACTTACTTCCATCGCCGAGTTGCTTAATAGCATCCACGAATTTGGCGTGAAGCTCAGGAGTCCATTCCATACAAGTCTTTTGTCTCGGGCGGCGAATACCAACATTGTTTCCACTAGCTGATCCAACATTGACGATATCCACCCGCCCTTTTTGACTTGTTACCTTACTCGCGGATGAACCTCGTCTCAAACCCGTTCCTTGAGTTGCATTGTTGATGGGAGCGCGATTAAAGATGTTTATGCCAATGGAAGTTTCATTGGATCGAAGATTTTCTTTGTTTTTGCGCAATCTTTCCCTCGCCGCATGTTGCCAAAGGTACTTCAATTCATCCAAGGGAAATGGCTTTTCCATCACAAGGAAAGCTCCATCTTCAATGGCAAACTTCACTTGATCCACATCGGCGCTATGAGACATCACTTCATTTTGACAAACAAATAGAAAGGGAAGTCAAATTATTTTTAATTAGGACATTATTTTATGTAAGAATATTTTGAAAGAAATTTTTTAGGACTTACGAATTACGATCAAGCCCATGTCCATTGCTTTGTGGATGAACTCTAGCCCGGTGGGATCATTTGAGTTTGCATCCACCATGAGAACATCGAATCCGGCATCCATTTGGGTTAGCATCATTGTAGCAGAAGATATATCCCGAACCGCGGTAACTAAATGGAAAAAAAAATGGTTAAGTCAATGCAATATACGATAAAATTGAAGATCGTTGAATTTAGTGAGTGACGACATAATATGTTTTCTTTAAAGAAAATTACGAATCTGGTCGCGACATAAGATTCACTACTCGCGACAAAATTCTTGGGGTTATAAGTAGTTGTGTTTGTTAGATTCAATGAATATATAACGTATTAGGTCGTTAGAAAACAATCGCGCGTCAAAATTCTTGTGGATATAATTTGTTGTGTTCGTTAAATTGAATGAATAGGTAACGTATTAGGTCGTTAGAAAACAATCGCGACGGAATTTATTCGTTGAGGTGAATCCAAGAATTTCGATTCGTTTGAGTTGCATTAGATGTATTTGTGTCGAGCTTTTAGAGGAAATCATTTTCAAAAATCACACAAGCAAGAAACCTTTCAAAACCATTTTTAAAGAAAAAAAAAAAACCTCTTCAAACATAATCACATCCTAACAAAGATGTAATTCATGTCTCGATAATTTTTATGTTGTGGTGAATTTTAGTGTTAAAATAAAAGAGTTTTTTAGAGAGAGAGAGAGAGAGAGAACCCTGGATGAAAAATACCCAAAAATTAAAGAAAAAGGAAACTAGTATGAACACAGATCCTAGAGAAAGAGGCAAGATCGAAAGTAAGATCTACTGCCTCAAATCCCTCACTGTAGGAAATGAAAACACCAAAAAAAACAACAAAAAAAACAACTTGTGAAATGATCGAAACCCCAGAAAAAGAAAAAGGGTTTATTAATAATCAATATATGTATATATATATGTCTGTATATTTTATGGTGAGAAATTCTACCCCTGTAGGAGCTGTCCTGCAGCAATTTGGCAGTATGAAGAAGGTCATTCATGTCAGCATCAACAAGCAAAACATGAACACCAACAACTACAGGATTGTAGAACGCCATTACAGCACACAAATTCAAGAGAGAGAAACACTTAAGAGTGAGAAATGAGAATGAGGGTTTCTTCTGGTTCCTTGCCCTCCTTTATATAGCCAAACCTAACCAGACATAACCCTAAAAGAAGAAAAAATATATTATTATTATTATATTTTAAAAAATAAAACATAAACTTGTAACTGATGTTTGGGTGGGGTCTACCTTCTTACAACCTCCGCTGCAGCCTTTTTGGACTCACTCTCAGTTGTAATTCGATTATCTCTGCAGCTACTGTTCACTTTTGCATTTCCAATGAATTATTTTAATAATTTTTAATAACGTAAATGGTTGGAGAAGAAGAAGACCAATGTTGTGGGCAGCAGCCATGGTTTTTAAAATCATTAATTTTGGAAGAAACCATTTCTGGTTTTCTGAAATCTGCAGTTTTTTTCAGTTTCACTCAAAAATGGCTCCAGGGAGAAGAAGAAGAGTTCACTTCATTTCTAGGGTTTTTATGTAATTAATTTTGTGATGGGCCCACAGAGAAAACCTAGTACTGGTCTAATAAATTATGACCTGACCAAACCTGAAATAGAAATATTTGTCTGAAAATAGAAAGGGATAATTATAAGCAATTATTAGTGCTGGTTGAGGTTTACAGTTCTAACCATAATTTTAATAAGAGTAATTAATTAAAATAATCATAAATAACCCATTTTAGTCCCTAATTAATACTCACTCCGTCCCACATACCATGTATACGTTTGCGGTTTTGTATGTCCCACATTCTATGTTACTTTCTTTTCTTTTTTTTTTTAAATTATTACACATTTTAATCTTATTTTAAACTTTTTAATTTATTTTTAAAATTTTAATTAAACTAATTAGTTATTTTAATCTTAATTTATAATTATTTTCACTA